GTGCCTGTTGAGTTGTGGGTTTTTTTTCGGACGGCAAGAATGATTGGTGACTGAGGTGTATGAGTAGAGTATGTGAGTGGTGAGTTGTATATGGAGCGTATTGTGTTGTATTGTGCTATGTCGTGTATTGTGTATGGTGGACTGGTTGACTTTCTCTGACTGTGGTTTGTATAATGACGTGTGTGTGTGTGTGTGTGTGTGTGTGCTGGTGCTGGTGCTGGCGCCTCTGCTAGTGTTGAGGCTGGCTATGGATGATTGTGAAACCACGACTGTTTTCAATGTTTATTCAGAGTTTGTTGTTGTGTGTACAGGTATACATATGTCGTCGTTCGTTTAGTGGTGTATGTATGCTGATTTTGTGTATGTGTGTAGTTATTTCCACCCCGATTTATATGTTGCAAGTTGTCCGTGGATATATAGATGTCTATGTATACTCATCACATGCATATGCATATAGGCCTTGATGGTGTTTAGATGGAGACGTGTGTGTCTGTGTTGGGTGTATTTGTGGTTGTTGTATGGATCGGTAAAGATTTAGTTTGGTGTTTGACGTGCTCGTCAGTGCCTGAGGAGGATATGTTTGTTTGTGCGAGTGTTGAATGGAAGAGGATTGTGCGTGAGGATTATGATGATGACGAGGTGCTGTGTGTATGATTTTTTCCCCGTTTTTGTGAATGGTGATGGAAAGTGTTTGTGTTGATCTGGAGACAGGTGTATATTGAGTGTATTTAGTGTGTTTACGGAGTTTGTATTATCCGGGAGTCAGTGAGTCAGTCTGTGTATGTGTTGTTGATGAATCTGTCCTGATGATGGTAATGGTGGTGTTATGTGATGTGTCTAGTGGTTATTTGTGTGATGGAGTGTTTGTGACTGATTGTCGACTGGTTGAGTGTGAGTATCTGCGGTTATGTGATTGATTGTCTTTCGTTATCTGATGTAAGTGAGGTAGGTAGATAGGTAAGTTGTCACATGATTTTTTCGTTAGGTTCACATAGAGTGGATTTTACTGCCTGTATTTGTGACGGCGGTTGTGAAAATCGCGGTGACAGGACGCAGGCTATATGAATGAGTGGATCTACGACCAATGTGTTTTGTGTCTGACACATTGGTAACCGTAATCACTGACAGATAGATGTTTTCATATAATGTATGCGTACATGGTACATAAAGAGAGAAGAAAATTCTTGTTGCGAGTGGTTTTCGAATTGTGGCTAGGCGGTGTGGTAAGGTGAGGTCGCGATAACTGTGTGTGGTGTATAGGGATGCGGAGTAATCTGTGTACGTGGTTTGTCGATGTTTGAAAGGAGACGAGCTGATGAGAGTATTTCTCATGTGATGAATGTCATCTGAGTATTCGTTGTGGATGGATGAAGTTGTTGTATTTCAGTGTCCTGGTGGTGTTTTAGTGTGTGTGTGTGTGTGTGTGTGTGTGTGTATTTATGTTTGTGATATTGGATGATGTGCTGTTTTTGGATAGGATTGTCGCACCCAGCTGGAATTACCCGGGAATGTTGTGAAGATGATTGGAGATAATAGTGATGCTGGTGTTTGTGTGTGTCAATGCAGTGGTTGTTGGCTTGTATTAATGTGGTGGTGGTGTGTGTTTGTCTCACAGATTGTGGTATTTTGATCTAAGTTGAGTTGACTGATGGTTTTGCATTTCGTTTGAGGTGAGTGTTTGAAGATGGTGTAGGATGTATTATGTATCGAGTGGGTGTTTGTGTTTTGTTTTCGAAGCGTTGACTGATTTGGGATTGTTCGATGCAGAGTATTTGTTTGTTTTCGTTGTGGTTTTGAATTTGAGGGTGTGTTTGTTTATTACTGGTGGTTAGTGCCTGTTGAGTTGTGGGTTTTTTTTTCGGACGGCAAGAATGATTGGTGACTGAGGTGTATGAGTAGAGTATGTGAGTGGTGAGTTGTATATGGAGCGTATTGTGTTGTATTGTGCTATGTCGTGTATTGTGTATGGTGGACTGGTTGACTTTCTCTGACTGTGGTTTGTATAATGACGTGTGTGTGTGTGTGTGTGTGCTGGTGCTGGTGCTGGCGCCTCTGCTAGTGTTGAGGCTGGCTATGGATGATTGTGAAACCACGACTGTTTTCAATGTTTATTCAGAGTTTGTTGTTGTGTGTACAGGTATACATATGTCGTCGTTCGTTTAGTGGTGTATGTATGCTGATTTTGTGTATGTGTGTAGTTATTTCCACCCCGATCTATATGTTGCAAGTTGTCCGTGGATATATAGATGTCTATGTATACTCATCACATGCATATGCATATAGGCCTTGATGGTGTTTAGATGGAGACGTGTGTGTCTGTGTTGGGTGTATTTGTGGTTGTTGTATGGATCGGTAAAGATTTAGTTTGGTGTTTGACGTGCTCGTCAGTGCCTGAGGAGGATATGTTTGTTTGTGCGAGTGTTGAATGGAAGAGGATTGTGCGTGAGGATTATGATGATGACGAGGTGCTGTGTGTATGATTTTTTCCCCGTTTTTGTGAATGGTGATGGAAAGTGTTTGTGTTGATCTGGAGACAGGTGTATATTGAGTGTATTTAGTGTGTTTACGGAGTTTGTATTATCCGGGAGTCAGTGAGTCAGTCTGTGTATGTGTTGTTGATGAATCTGTCCTGATGATGGTAATGGTGGTGTTATGTGATGTGTCTAGTGGTTATTTGTGTGATGGAGTGTTTGTGACTGATTGTCGACTGGTTGAGTGTGAGTATCTGCGGTTATGTGATTGATTGTCTTTCGTTATCTGATGTAAGTGAGGTAGGTAGATAGGTAAGTTGTCACATGATTTTTTCGTTAGGTTCACATAGAGTGGATTTTACTGCCTGTATTTGTGACGGCGGTTGTGAAAATCGCGGTGACAGGACGCAGGCTATATGAATGAGTGGATCTACGACCAATGTGTTTTGTGTCTGACACATTGGTAACCGTAATCACTGACAGATAGATGTTTTCATATAATGTATGCGTACATGGTACATAAAGAGAGAAGAAAATTCTTGTTGCGAGTGGTTTTCGAATTGTGGCTAGGCGGTGTGGTAAGGTGAGGTCGCGATAACTGTGTGTGGTGTATAGGGATGCGGAGTAATCTGTGTACGTGGTTTGTCGATGTTTGAAGGAAGACGATCTGTGATATCTTTCTTCTTGGAAATATTTATGTTATGGCTGTCGTATTTTAATTGTTTCTGGATTTCTATGTTTTTTCCTTTGTTTTAAAATTTTTTTTGTGTGGTTCTGGTGGTTTTCCTTCGTTTTTTGCTGTTCTTCTTGAACGTTGTGTATTTTTTTGGCGTTGGTTATAGTTTTACTAATTTTATGTTTGTTTTCTATCCGGGGTTTTTGCCTGGAGAATCTTTTTTTTGAAATCTTTTCTTTGTTGTGTTGTCTTTTTCTCTGTTTCTGCCTATATGGTAGCCATACGTATCAATATATTCTTTCTTAGTTTAGGTGAAACGTCGTGTATTTTTTTATGCGTTATTTTATTTTAGGAAAACCAGTTTGTTGTACTTCTGACTTTGTGGAATTTCGCCAAGAGCTTTTGCAGATGATGTTAACTAACTGCCCTGAGTTGCGTTAATTCATTCATATCAAATATGCTTACTAGTCAGAGTGATATTGTCCGATGCAGTTGCGTAAAAAAATGTCTCAGTCTGGCTAACTGAATGACAATTTCAGCTTTGAAGCTCTCATACGTGTGCATCGGCTGAAGTTGCCTTATTTCACTTTACTGTTGAAACAACTTGTCGACAAAAAGGGTGATGTCAGCTTACGTTAAGGTGCGTGAGAGACTTAAAGTTTTGAAGATAACATATATTGCAAATATTCAGGCTATATAAGATGTCAAGGAGTGTGCGCCATTGCGATCGACTTTCAGCCGCTTCACCCATTGTCCTTAACCACTGATTCCTTCTGTCTCAGGGACTTCAACCGGGCATTCCACCCCTCCTCCACTTGACCCCCGCTAACAGTAGTAGACTTCGTCGTCTGGTGCCAGACTTGATCTGACCACCTTGAACCCTTTTGCAACCAGCATGTTTGGGCTTATGCGACTTCTTAAGCAAGTAAGGTAATCGACGCATTGTACCAATTCACTCCTCATCATTAAACTGGAACTGATTGCAGCAGACCAGTTCTAGAGCATCATCTTACATCTGACGGGTGCGAAACGCATGCCAAACACACCTTGACATCTCCTCAAAGCGTTCAGAAAACCCGCCATTTTGTCAATATCTTCAGCTAGCAGGACAATATCGTTTGCATGCTCCAAGTCAATCAAATGATTTTCCGGGTGTAGGTCAATTCTTGTGGAGTTTGACGTACCTAACGTTACATCCATTAGTACGTTTATAACAAAGTTAAATAGGAACGGTGGCAGTGAGCATTCTCGGTGGACATCACTATTTGTTATCAATTCATACGACGACTCTTCATAAGTCCTGAAACGACTGCCTGAATTCGAGTAGAGAGCTTTGATTCGCGTTATCTATTTTCTCCGTACGCCCTTTCACGTTCAGACACTGTCATAACACTTCACGGACTCAACAACAAGCTTAGTGCTGCAAAGTTTTGTAATGCTGAAGGAGGAACTTCAACTATTGAGCCTGAATGCTCTGTAAAATTGACTTCAAGCCTTTAAGCACTCTCGGATGTTTGCTAACGGGTAATTCAGGACAGAAAAAACCCCATTCTAAATATCCTCACCATAAGCTGAAGATAGTCTCCACCTACTCTAGAATACGTTGGTTAGATTTTGTGGCTAATAATTTCTTTTTTATTTTATTCAATTGCCGCAGTAACTTTCATTTATATACATGATGCTTTATTAGTCCAGCGGTTTTCTGTGTCGGTTTTTTTAGAGATCCGGTATCTATCTTTCTTTTCTGACTATTGAAGTTTTTTCCTCGGTAATGATTAAATTTGTAATTGTTTTTTTTCTCTACTCAAGTATTTCTTTTTAACATGTTCATTGTTTTTCACCTTTTTTAATAGCTGATATTCACTGTCTGGATTATTGGATTTTTGATACATACTGTGGATATATTTCAATTGTTTTTCAATATATTTCTACACTTTCGTATATTACTCTTACAATATACTTCATTGAATAACTGGTTAAATCTGCCGTTAGAAAACAGTGACAATAGTAGCCATGATAGTGATTTGGATATATCTTTAGTTAGTGAACATTCAGTTCTGAATTCGGATGCTTTTATCACACCTCATGTTAATTCCTCTGAATCTCCTTTATTTCTGGTGAATTATTCCACTCATCATGAACTTCAAGAAACTTTATTGAATATTAGTAATGCTAATGTTTCAATGACATATATAGATGCAGAAGATTCAGATTTTGATGATTATGATAATTTTTCAAATCGACAAGAAATGAATCATCATGATGATATTATTCAAGAACATTATATTTCATCTCTCCCTGATGCTGATATCAAATCTCAAGTAAATATGGCCAACATTCCTCATCGTCTACAAGTGTCTACAGGTACAAAAGAACAGTTTACCTGGGATACGGTGTTAATCTGGAATTATTTGGCATATTATCATTGGCCGTTGCTGGCTAAACATTATAATCTAAGCCTGGTTGGTTGTCATTTGGCTTTGTTAGAGCCAGTACATTTGAAGTATAGATTCTCTATGACGAAGTTAGATAGTGGAAGTGGAAAGTCTATGAATTCTGATCAGTAAGTGACCAGGATTATGTATATATAGCATTTTAAGCTCACTTATTGTTGCTTCAAGGCAGTGTTCTTTTTTTGTCTTTAAGCAGTCAGTCTAGTCAACTGACTCGTCTTAGTATGAAACTCCTCAATATGACCCTAACTCCGCCAGAGATCGAACTCAGGACATTTTAGTTTCGCAGGGAGCACGTTACCATTGAGTCGGAATGTGATAGTTCCTACTTCTGTCAATTTGCGATACGGCTCGATTTTCATCTGTCATAGTTGATCAGTTATCCTTACGACTTGGTTTAGTCATTTGGTAACCACCAATATTTTACACCATAAGATTTTTTCAGGAAAACTTTTTATGCGATTTAGGTTACAAAAGCTTAATTTCAATTGTATCTAGATACTTTGGGAAGAAGGTAAATTTTTTTATTTTTACTCCAGTTCATTACGCTAGGCACTGTCATGAGAATATTCATTATGTACGTCAGATTAAGAAAATAAATAATCTATCCCTTATAGTTTCATTAGAGCTATAACTTAGTTATAGAGTCAGTTGACTTCTAGTTGGTGTACAGTTTCTTGAGTTACGCCTCTTTTCTGTCAAACGAGTAGCAGCTAAGACGTTGTATCCCTCAATATATGGATTTATAAGTCGTTGTTATATTGTATTTTGTGTCACGTTTGCTTTCAGCTTCAAGTTGAATTTTCTTCATGAATTTCTGATTTTTAAGCAATAATTAATAATGGTGGTATTTTATTTGTTTTGTGTAATAATTTATCTGACGCAATAGTGTAATTATTGCTTTTGATTTCCACGTGAGAAAGATATTTTGCTGTGGTCTGGTGATATGGCTGAAGTGATCAGGACACTTCCTTAAGACAAATTCTTTATCCATTGTATTTTGTCAAATATTGTTATCCTTCTTTCTTTCTCCATGAAGGGAATCTGTATCGTATATACCGGTTGAACATGAACGCACATTAGATATGAATAATCTACGATTTCTAGATGATAATATACTTTTATCAAATGAGAAAACTTCACATCTACGTGCATCATCAACGTCACCTGGTGGTTTTACTGGTTGGACTGCTCGTCTCGGCTTAACTGCATCTATGCTTGGAACTAGTTTGCTGGGTTGCAGTTTAGTTCTACTGCTTACATGTTTAGGAATGGTTTGCTTACAGTCCAAGTTAGTTTTCACTTTATGATGTAAATGTATAATTAAAGTCATATATTTATTTCGAAGTTAATGGGGGGTTTTAATGGTAGCATTCAAAACGGACTGACATCAGTTGGAGAATCATTGAAAACCTGGGAGCACTGGACTGCTGTTTCGTCCTAGCATGGGACTCTTCAGTAGTACGCACCCACGACCCTGTTAGGGATCGAACTCTGGACCTTCATGTTTCACGGCGAACGTGTTAATCATTCTGTGTGACTATCAACCAAAGTTTCCAGTTGGCATACACTTCCCATCCGACTCGTTGATTCCACAGGTCACGGGATATCCATCTGGAAGCTTGTCACTAATGAGCACTATACAGTAATGTATTTTTCGGTAAAACCTGAAGGTCTTTAGTTCGATTCCTGTCCGGGTCATGGGCGCCCACTTCTGGGGAGTCAGTCGAATGCTAAGATGAAACAACTTTCCAGTGCTTCCGAACTTTCAGTAGGTTCTCCGACTGATGTCAGTCTATGATGAATGCTACCTTAAAAACAAATCCTCAGTAACCTATATATATATATATATATATATATATATAGTACAACCATGATGCTTTGTTCTTTGGTTATTTCAAAGTATTCCGTATACTACGTTTCTATCTGGCCTACAGTTTGTTAAAAACCACCAATTATTTGATGGTCTCTCATTCATGGACCGAGCATGAAGCTTTCAGCAACAGAAATAAGTGTGCGGCCAGAACCAGATCACATATATAAATGAGTATATTTAAGGTTTTGTCTCCAGCTTTACGATGAATGGATTTCTAAATGTTTTCTGATGACATATATTGGCTACATGATGCAAAGGAAAGGAGTATTCAATGACGTTCTATAGGAATTTCATGAATGCATTGTACCCTGTTTTATACTTTAGTATGCTATACTTGTATTGCTGGCTTTAAATTCTTATTCGAGAAGAAATGTTTGCGAATACAGAAATACTTATTCTTCAGAATAATGTGGGTTTTGTATGCTCATGCTCAATAAATGCTGTCTTTCCAAACTCCTGCCTCTTTCTTCTTCATTTCTTTACTTTGATGGATTGTTTCATAGCATCTTACCTTCTTCTAGGCATTTTAGTTTTGGCTACTGACTAGTGTTATCTTGAATAATTCACTCTACTCTGAATTTCGAATCTTTTGTATTCCCTATTTTTTGACCGAATTTAACTGACAAATTCTTGTCGACTAAAAGTTTAGCATCTCTAGCCGTGTAGAGTTACACTGTGCTAGATACACAGCTGACTTTAAAGAACATTAACATATGCATATGAATGGAATTAAACGCTAATTTTTAGGGAAGAAGGCATATCAACAAAGTGATGACAATCAGTTGATTATTTCCTTGAAAAAAATCTTGGCTGGTGTTTTTATTGCAATATTGGTGCAAATCAGAGACCTGATGACTATGATAAGTTCAGTTGCTATGGTGATCTCTGACTTCAGGCACATAACCTTGAACTAATCATCTATTTGATGGGGTGATTTTAAAGGCCACCCTAGCAACGATAGTAATAGCCAATTAGGTTTCTTCATTCCGATCAGAAAGGTAGGTTTTCATAAAATGTAGTAGTTTGATTGGTTATTTCATTTCTTGCTACGATAGCCTTTAAATTCACTCATTTCATGTGATGAAAGGAAAAGATAGATCTTATTAACTCACTTTTCGGTCCTTCTGTCAGTATCCACGGTCTTTCAGGTGAGGTGACAGGATGTTAGTTCAAAATTTCATCCAGAAACTTCCTCTCTTTTGCAAAAATACCACTCCTTGTCCTAGTTTTGGTTCTTACCGCATACAAACTGATAGATTGAATGTCAATAAACTGTCGTGTTATACTACAAAATAATTGAATACTCATTATCTGACTGATCAGATTATGTGACCATAAGTGACACTTGCTGACAAAAATCGATCAGTTAACTCGATGTTACCGAATATACTTAGTCAATCAGGATCACAGCGGCACCTGATATTACTGTGTAACGATGCATGCTGCCTTATGCCTTACCAGCATGTTCAGATGGAAAGCATTAAAGCGAAAGATGGGGAAATAAGAAAGAAAGTCGAAGTACCAAGTAGACTGATATCTAATGGAAGCGTAACTGATAAGCAATAATCATTATCATGTAATACAAATTGTGAAGTGAAAGTTTTTGCCTTATCTATTAGTTTAGACTTGCATTAACCTGACGATTGTGCGAAGCAAATCGTCAACTGACATAAACTTGTGTTTGCGTATGCACCAGACATTTTTAAACCTGTTGTCAATGATGAAGCATAGCTGTAAAACTAACGTGTTTGCTGATGGTAAAATGGCGGTATGGGAACTAATCGTCATACAACATCACTTTGATTGTGTTTATAGTTTGCCAGTTGTGCAGAATGATGAATGCGGAACTTTGTTAGTTATTGATAGTGAACTTTATCATAGTTTTATTGACTATGCTGGAAACAAAAGCGACAGAATAGTTATTGATAACCGTAGAAAAATACGAAATAGACATCGTAAAAAACTGTGTGATTCAACCTCATGGCAGATTTCTGAAGTGCTTGAGCAGCAGTTCAGTTAAGCGTCAAAAGATATGCTGGTACTTATCCGACTACCTGAAATGATGTTTAGAATCGTAAAAGGAACGAACGTTAGGTCTTTGAGTACATCTATGCATTGGTCTATCAAACTATTCTCAAATGTTACACGTTTCCAAGGCAATTCGAAATATTATGTTTCTCCATCCTTCAAGGGATTCATAGACTGAAAATCATGTGTGACTCAACTGTAACTTAAGATGAGCTGATATCGAATTTTCATTTTATCACCCTTCCAAACTCAAACATTTTCGCCGATATCATCCAGTGACTGGGTTGATCAGTTCCAAACCTTATTCCGATATATTTATTCAATGTAAAACCTGTTAACCATACCCTAACCTTGGCGCGCATGTGTCAAGCAAACAGGCTGTGCTTTCTTCTCAGTCTCATTTCATTACACGTTAAGCGTAGTGTTTTCTCCAATGAAAACTTGGATTGGTACTTTTCCGGTATATTTATGGCATATACTTAACTTTTTGGAGCTACTTTAACGAACATCAATTTACATCGAATTGGAATACTTGCAGGAAAGGTGTGTTTAAAGATGACAACACGAAGATGTAGTGTTCTAAGACAAGGAAGCGAGATTGGATGTAATTTATTCACCTTCATAAAGGAATTGGATGACTTTATCAATTGTTTCATTCATTCTGATGTGTAAATAACAGGTTAAGCTTTGATTTAAATCGAAAAGAAACGCACTCAACAACTTTGTAAACAGTGAGCCATACCTATTGTGTAAGGGCCACTAGCTGACTGCCTAAGCCTTAGTAGATAGGAAGGGGTTCGAACCTATCATCCATTAGTTGATAGACACACCCTAGACCACGGCCTCACTTTGGTTCGAAATTCATCCATCATATTTTTAAGCAGTAAGCTTACCAGTGAAATATAATATTTTACTTGTCTAAATATTTCGAGGTACTATTTCTTCTACATATTGTAATATATAAGACTGTACTTCCATGTACTCGTTTGTTCTCTGAATACTTTTAGCACTACGCTAAGTGGGACCGTCGTTTTTAATTTCGCCAGTCATTCTCTTGTTCAAGAACGTATCGAGATAATATTCTAAATGATTGAGCTCGAAACTTTTATCAAGTTGGTATTCATCATCGTCTGACATCAACTGTAGGAACATTAGAAACCTGAGAGCACTGAATAGCTGTTTCGTCCTAGTATAGGACTCTTCAGCAGTGCGCACCCATGAACTGATAAAAGTTGGAAATATGGATCATTGGATTCGGACCCGGTGGTTCAATGGTAACGTGCTGACAACGGAACCTGAAGGTTGCAGGTTCGATCTCTGGCGGGGTTGTGGGTGCGCGCTGCCGAGAAGTCCTATACTAGGACGAAACAACTGTCTAGTGCTTTCAGGTTCTCAATGTTCCTCCAACTGGTGTGAGTCCATGGTGAATACTAACTTGAAAAGTCACTAAATCCCTACAAACCCCGAAATTGAAAACTTTTAGATTTGATGTCAGTGTGGGAGTGAGAACACTAGTATACAAACACATGATCTTTAACTGTTAGTGCATTTTCGTGATCTGCTATATTTACCATGCATACTTTTACTAGTTTTTCTTGAATATGAGGCTAATTTGGCTGGTTATTTCTAACCTTACTGCTTATTAATCTTCTCATGAACTTCTAATTTACAGAATTGTTATTCTGTAGGTCGTCAAATTCTACTAAGCGTGAACCAATAATTCGTGTTCTACCGTTGACTATCGAGCTTTTGAATCTTCCTACAGACTTAATAGATTCGGAATTTGATCAAAGTTGTTTATCATCTCCAGAATGGACAATTGCCTGTGGTCAAGTATACCATAAAAATAAGGATAGTCTATATTCTCGCGGAGTTCTAGCAGTCACATCTGTTCGGTCCTATATTCGCGTTAAATCAGATCGTTCTAAAGTTATTCAGTTGTGGTGTGCAAACTCAGGAAATCTTCTGAATGATTTAGAAAGGTATTTCATTTCTTGATATATAAACTGCGGTATAACTGAAGTATTTTCTTATCTTATTCATCTAACAGGTAATTGTTGCCATCCTTTTTTGAATTAAACAAGTTTATTCTAGGAATAGGTGAATTCGGATGGTTTATTCACCTTTTATTGAATTCATCATGAATACTTTTCTTTAGATTGTCATGGAAAAATGACAATAATCGTATTGCTGTACATTTACATTTTCATTGTTCCATTATACCGTGACTGATATAATCGAGCATTCATCACAGTGAATACTGACTGAATGAAACTTGAATTTCTTGAGTCTGAATAGAATTCGTAATGCTGCCCTGATGATCCTTCTCCGACTCTATGAAGCAACGTGAAGATAAAGTATAAATAAGTCAGTGCCAGTGAGATCAATTCTCAGTCGTAGCGTCTAGATTCTTCAACCATGAATTTCATTTCAATCAAGAGCTCTGCAACACTCTAAACCTCTCAAACCGACGTCCAGACTTCATGGATTGATACCATATTTAACCCTGATCACCTCTAACATTGTACGACGGAGCGGATGGTGATTAGACATGCATAATATATATTCCAGCCACCTTAATCTATGAGGGTTCACAACCTTATCAACTAACTCACCTCTTCTACCTAAACCTCTACGCCTGACTTCAGCATCACTGAGTTGGTGGTATCACGACACGGTCTATGGTATGAAGCGGCGATGGTTGAAAATCTGAAGCCTTCTCATGTCTTCTACCCTAAATAACCACTTTTCACAACCATATAGTAGAACACAGCAAACTATAGTGCAGTACACTAGAACCAGTCTAGTTTTCTCAAGTTTCCTGTTACTGTGCCTCACTTGCGCGTCTAATGATTACATAACCTACAACCTTGGACACTATGTTCGGTGGACTAACTCGCCTGTGGTTATCATATGAGGATTTCTCTCATTTCCTGAAGATTTGGGCAGCGAGCGAAAGCAACTTAACACTGGTTAAAACTTCAGTTACTCTAGCCAATAATCATCGGTCACCATACATCCATGCCCCCTGGAAGCTTTCTACGCTCCCTCGTGTCAATTTACTAACAGCCGTCTCAAGTCTTTTAGTTTTAGGAGGTCACTTCTCAATGTTTTACTCAGAATGTAGCTGGATATTGAGCAACCGAAGAGGCTAATTAAACTGTCACTAAAAAATCCTACCTATCCTCCTCGTCGTCTGCACTGCAAGTGACTTCTTGCTATCCTCTATGGTCTAGTAAACAATTAACCTTTTTACAATAGTTTCTTTGATTAGCTTATCTGACAATCTACGTTTATATATCAGGTGGTAGACAATTCTTGGCTACCTACACAGTGAAAGAATATTTCTTCTTGAAGTACTTCGAAAAGAATGGTTAGCAATGGTTGTGTGTGACAACAGAGCGGATGACACATTTGTTTGAGATCTCTTATATATAGTCTTTTCCAAAGTTTGAGATATTGGTTCATTTCTTTCGAACCCCTACTATTGGCACCGGAATATAGCAAGATAGTGAGGAATGTGCTAGTTTTTGAGGCCATCCTTTTCCAAATCCCCTCTTGCCACGGCGGAGGCAGCATTGGCATAGTACCGCTGGTTATTTACGGAAACCGCCTTACTACCATTGCACCCTGTCTGGCTAACATAACAACTTAGCCCCAAGATACCCATCATAGCGTAGCTGTTTACACTCTGACGGTGACTTCTTTTTATTTGACCACTTTTCAACACATGTTTTTGGCATGTTAGAACTTCCAGGAACAAGCGTTTCAGTTCGTTAGGTCGATGTGGTGTGCAAGGTCAACCACCACGTTGAGGTAGCAGCTATCGTTTTAGTAAGGAACAGTACTCCTCTTAACACTAGTTATGACTTCGTGAGACTAGAGGTGTAAAACTCGTGGTAATAAATTTTGAAATATGTTAAGGTGGACCTCAAGTAATCACTCTGTATTCTTCCATAAGGCATAGAAATCTTTACTGTTCTATGTGTATTCTTTCCTCGTTCATGTGTCTTGTTTCTCTAATTCACTTTCATAATTTGTGCTTTTACGTAATTACTGAGACGTTTAGCAAATTGTATTGAAGCGCTCTTTTACTAGGCTTTACATAGTACACTGTGATGTACAAAATTATTTGTCTTTTCTTGGCTTTGTCGTTCATGAAGTCAGATAAAACGATTCAGAAAGAAAATTTTTCTTTTCGATGGGTTATCTTCAAAAGGTGTACATGATAATCATAGTTACAACAAAATATGTATCCACTAATAGCTAATTGGTCAATATAAAGTCATCAGAATCGGTTACAAGGTGATAACGCACAGAGGGTCAACTCAAGGTCATCAAAAATTGTTCACAGAAGATCATAATAAATAAACAAAATTTGAATAAACTGTCTTGAAGAGATTACGACTGAGATAAAATTAGAGATAGAATGTATCTTTTTTGAACACAAAGAGCAGGCTCGTAATGGTGGATTGCCAGACACTCTCCTGTTTCGAGGTGGTGAATACGCACTTCTTTTGAAGTATTTCGCTTCATTTTGTAAGTGAATTTAAAAGATCCTTGTGCAATACAGTGAACAGAAATAACCAAATACTCAAGAATCAAGTTGTTGATGGTCTTACATTGTCCTTTAGAAAGCCATTCAGGATAGTGTTCAGAGATACGTTTGGACAGAACACGCTTTATTTATTTTTGTTTCCTTTGGAGCTAAATCTTCACCATAGAAAACTTATTTTAATTTTATTTTCTTAACCATTTATTACTTTATTATTATTATTATTTACTATTATTATTTTATTTTGATATTTATTCACATTGATTTATAGAAACAGTAATTTTTTTGTTAAGATACTCAGAAGCTGCTAGAGCTAGAAGAAGAAAAATACCGCCGTGTATACCTTGTCGAAAATTTTGTAAGTATTCTATATTAGCATATTCATATTCCAATAAATAGCTTTGTGTTTCATAGAATCAAATCTTTGTGCTTAGCATTTCTCTGAAGTATATAAAAATCAGACATATTATTTTATTTATCCCTTGGGTTCTTAGTGGAATATAGGGCTTCAGTAGCACGTCTCCAGTGCACTCTGTTCTCTGAAATCTTTTGAACCTGTCGCCACAACTGCCCACAAGCTCTCATTTCTTCCTCGCACGATCTCCTCCATGTCACCCTCGGATGCCCAACTCGTCGCTTCCCATGGGAGTTCTACTCGAGGGCCTGACGCGTGATGTCCCCAGTCGGCCTTCTCAGTGTATGCCCAATCTATCTCTACTTTTTTCCATGGTATATTTGAAACAATTAGTCCCTTTTATGAATTTGGATAATGTAATTAGAAGACGTAGATTATCTGAAAAATGTGATGTATCAGCGCTATACATTTCGAACAATCTGATCACACATTTACTTGTTAAGGCATTATATATGAAAGCTGGAAGTGGGGGAATGACACATATGACATAAAGGAATTCAATAATAAGAAAGATAATGAGAGGAATAAAAGATAAGACTTGTAGACAATCTTGGTAATACGATAAAATAAGCATTACCAAGGTAGGCACGTTGTTAAGTCTTTCTAACAAACATGTCACATCTTCATGCTTATCATATATCACAATTATATCATCAACATATCTTTTATAGAGAGTAACTTTATTGATGAGATCGCCGGTCAAACCCTCAATGTGTGACATGTAAGTATCAGCTAGCAATGGTCCTGTGAAACTTCCCATAGCCACACCATCTATTTGTGGAAAGTGTTCACCTTCAAATGTGAAATGAACTTTATCAGTACACAATAATAACAGCTCTCTCAAACACCTTGAGGGGATAGGGAAAGAAGGATTACTGGAAGATATATGATCGCAAAGAATGTCAGTGGTTTTAATTAGGGGTACATTAGTAAATAAGGAGTTGATATCAAATGAATACAATCTCTTATCTTTGATATTAATATCACTGACATAATTAACAAGTTCAAAAGTATCTTTTAAAGAAAACCTATTATAAATCATTTCGAATAGGAATTAGAGGCTATGGGAAGTCCCTTAGGACCATTGCTAGCTGATATTTACATGTCACACATTGAGGGCTTGACCGGCGATCTCATCAATAAAGTTACTGTCTATAAAAGATATGTTGATGATATAATCGTGATATATGATAAGCATGAAGATGCGACATGTTTGTTAGAAAGACTTAACAACGTGCAAAGCAACATAAGCCTGACAAGTGAAGAAGAAAAAGAAAACCGTCTGCCATTCTTGGATATACTCCTAAGTCGTAGAAATGATGGTTCAATAAAACGGTCGATCTACAGGAAACCTACTTGGACAGGTCAGTATTTAAGTTTCCATAGCTTTTGTCCAACCCAATACAAGCGAGGTTTGGTAACTTGTCTATTTAAAAGGATCGAGCGTATTTGTACGGAGGACTCAATGGATGATGATATCAAAATACTAACGGAAACATTAGTGGAAAATGGATATCCATTGAAGTTCATAAACCGCTGCAAAAATCAGCGAGGATTCAAACCTGATCTGTACTCTGTTTCGAAGAAATGCGTTTACATCGCGTTACCATACAGAGGAGAATCTAATAGCATAATATTAAGACGAAGGTTAAGGTCTGCTGTTAGCAAAACGTACTATGCAGCTAAGCTTATCATAGTTGAGAAGACCAAACACCTGCTGCTACCTAGACCTCAACGCTGTATAAACGATTGTGTCACATCCTAACACGTTTATAAATTTACATGTGTGTGTGGACAAACATACATAGGGAGGACGAATCGTGATATGCACTTGAGGGTAGGGGAACATGTTCCAAAGTGGCTACGAAAGCAGCTGGATTCACAAACATTGATAAGCGCAGATGGCAGACAACCATCATCATCCATTGCGAAACATATCATTGATAAGAGTCACAGAATTGATATCAAGACAGCCTTTACAATTTTGTACCGAAACTGTCAGGGGCGTATACTTAAGTTTGTTGAGGCGCTAGCCATAAATAAATTTAACCCCCCATTGTGTGTGCAAAAACAGTTTGTCCTTACATTAAGCCTACCTTGGTAATGCTTATTTTATCGTATTACCAAGATTGTCTTCAAGTCTTATCTTTTATTCCTCTCATTATCTTTCTTATTATTGAATTCCTTTATGTCATATATGTCCTTCCCCCACTTCCAGCTTTCATATATAATGCCTTAACAAGTAAATGTGTGATCAGATTGTTCGAAATGTATAGCGCTGATACATCACATTTTTCAGATAATCTACATCTTCCCCAAACCCCTACAGCATGTGAACGATAATGTCACATCCCATTGTATCTACCAGTTCAAATGTACGTGTGGTGACGCATACATAGGGAGGACTAATAGATCCATGCAAGTAAGGGCCTCGGAGCATATTCCAAAGTGGCTTCAGAAGCAAATCAAATCACCTGAACCTATAAATGTTGGTAGCAAACGTCCAAGCTCTTCGATCGCTAAACATATCGTTGAGACAGATCACAAGATTGATGTGGCTACTTCCTATACACCTATTTACAAAACATGTTGGGGAGGGATCCTGAAATTTGTTGAAGCCTCAGCTATTAGGAAGTTTAAACCACCTTTATGTATTCATAAACAATTTGTTTCAAGTTGTTATTCATCGAAGACTGACATCAGTTGGAGGAACAAAGGAAACCTGGGAGCACTGGACAGCTGTTTCGTCCTAGTATGGGACTCCTCAGCAGTGCGCACCCACGACCCCACCAGCAGGGATCGAACCCGCGACCTTCAGGTTCCGCGACCACTGCTGAGGAGTCCCATACTAGGACGAAACAGCTGTCCAGTGCTCCCAGGTTTCCTTTGTTCCTCCAACTGATGTCAGTCTTCGATGAATAACAACTTGAAATATTTCCAAATCTCCATAACCCCCTCAAAACAATTTGTTGTCACATTAAACCTTCCTTGGTAAATTCAACTATTGAAAAACCAAGTTCGATGTACTATTATTTTTTCTCTCCATTGATTTTCATTGTTATTCGACCTTTAAGTCAGCCTTCCTACCTGACCCCTTTTTATTTTTATTTTCTCACCCCTTATCTTCATGAGTTTTTATATAAATACCTATGACAAGTAGGTGTGTGATCAGATAGTTCGAAATGTGTTGCGCAAATACATTATACGGTTCAGACAATTAACGTCTTCTTATTGTTTTGTCGAACTACATCTTCTAATTACATTATGGTATATTTATTGTGCGATAGCTTCTTGGTTTGGTTCGTTGCCAGAGTTCCTTGTTGCTAATTCTTTCTGGCCATCTGAGCTTCAGTAACAAGCCAGCGTAGGCAGTTGTTAATGAATGTCTGTAATTTTTTCGAAATGCCTTTGGTAACCGGCCAAGTCTCTGAGCCGTATAGAAGCACTGACTTGACGTTGGTGTTGAAAATCCGGATCTTGTTCATGCTTTATGCTGAGTGCAGAACATCTCCACATTGGTTTTAGGCTAATAAACGCCTGTCTTGCTTTGACGTCCTCGTCTGTGCCGCTGCCTTTAGTTGGAACAGTGCTGCCTAGATAAGTGAAAGAGGCTGCTTCTCTTACGTTTCTCCCATTGATGGTGATCGGAGCTTGTTGTTACTGTTGTTGTTGGTTGGGTATCTTCATCACCTCTGCCTTCTCTACGTTCACTTGAAGTTTCGTCTTCGCTGTCTCGCCTCTTTTGTCAACTTGTTGGTTTCCGCCTGTAGGTCTTCAAGTTTATGTGACACTACACATAAGTCATCGGCGAAATCCAAATCGTCTAGGCACTTTTCCCGGTCCAGCGTATCCCGCTCTTCCCGCTCCTCACTGTTTGTTGCATGATCCAGTCTATTACAATCAGGAAGATCATGGGTGAAAGTAGACAGCAACATTGTCTTACTCCTTCCTGTCTTCACTTCAAAAGCATCACTGAGCTTCCCATTGTGAATTACCTGGCATATAGCGTCTTCATATGATTGTTGAACGAGATTGATAAAGGTTTGTGGTATTTCGTATTTTCGAAGAAGCTACCTGCTAAATTACTTCTCGGTCGACGCTGTCAAAGGCTTTTTTAAAGTCGATGAAGTTGAGGTAGAGGGTTGACTGCCACTCTATACTCTGTTGTATGATGATGCGAAGCGTTGCAATTTGATCCGCTTATAGTTTTTGCATTCTTTATGTTTTTTTCAAAAGTTCAGTCATCATTGGCGAATTCATTAAATATAGATCATACCAAAAAACTTAATGATCTTGAAGGTGTGAAACAGTAGTAGGTCACCTTTATAAATCTCATTTTTCTTCTGAATGTATTGTACTGTTTCTTTTGTGTAAATGTGGCTCACTGACATAGGCATTTGACTTTAAACCAGTGTGTCTCTAGTTTACACATCGATTCGTCAACTTCGACCTTCACAATCTTTTCACATTCATTTTGTCTCATAATGGTGTAACATGTAAACCTATACCAAGTTAAGTTACATTATTTCAGTCATTTTAGTGTTAAGCGTTTGTTAGTAATGAAGATGTTGATTGTACTGATATAAAAATCCATTAGTACCTTGGGTCCACGGTGTATGTGTGAAATAACAAGATTCGATCAATTTCCAAAGGTATTTGATCATGGTAATCGCTTGTGAGTGTTTATCACAAACAAGTATAATCCTTGGGTTTATTCTTACTGCTCACATTTCAAGGATGGTTTTATTTATTCAGGTTGTCTTAATTCTTGCGTATGAGGAAAAGTTCACAAACTCCAACTGAAGTGAATTCATGATCAATTTTTCCTCAGTTTACAAGATTGTATAGTGTGTAATCTGTTGACAGTTTGATACAAAACTTCCATTTTTGTACTACTCGTGGTGTTTCCACTGTATAGTGTTGAGATCTATACGGTATACATTTTCATAGTGTCATGGTAGTTATGGTAATTTAGTAGGGTGTGGCTAGCAGAGGAATCCATGACGCGCGTCTTTTCCTTTTTGGGGCTTATCTGCTAGATATAACTGCACCCCAGTGAGTGATGTTGTTCCCACTGTCGCGGTAGTTTTCTAGTATTGTTCTTTTAACCCAGGTACATGTTGGTGTATTAGATAAATTCATTGGTATGCAGCTGTACATAACGTGCTAAGATGGCCTGACTGACTGGTCGATCCTTCTGCATACATTCACTTCATCTCATGTACTTTAAGGAATAACGAATAACAATGGATGGTAGCTAGCATTAGAATTCAAGACACGGGTTTCATCCGATTGGGGACTCGTCAGCTGGACGTGCCTCCCTTCCAGTGAGCGATATTTTTCCCAATGGGACTCAAAGCTGGGACCGATCATTTCAAACACCAGAGAATTGTCTACTAGATCACCGAGTCGCAATAGCCTGTTCTTCAGTGACGGGTATTGTTCTTATGTTGTTATTTGTATCGGTTATTGTGTACCAGAAAGAAGTAGAACAGAGATGATGTGCACGAGATTTTGTAGATAGGGAGATTTCCGACTTTCCATAGGATGTGATGTATTATCAATGATCAAGGAAATTGAAATGAATAAGGGAATTACTCAAATAAAGAACCGAAAATGATTCGTAATTATATATTGGTGAAATGAAAATAATATCCGAATTCACGTGTACATTTTCTGTTCCATTTCCTTTCGATAAGTAACGAACCTCATTTTAGTCTGCACTACCGTAGTAAGAAGACAGAGATTATCTGAAAGATAGGGTGTATTTGCGCAATACATTTCTAACAATCTGGTCATATACTTGCTTGTTAAAACGTTCTATATGAAAGGTGAAAATAGAAAGGGGTAAAGTAGATAAATTAAGATAAACCAATATTTGAAAAATATAGTTATAATAAGGAGAAACAATACAATGTCACACTTTCCTTTGGATTTTAATAAGATAAAGATTACCAAGGTAGGTTTAAGGTAAGGATAAATTGTTTTTGAATACACAAAGATGGGGACTTGGACTTTCGTATAGCTAAAGCTTCAATAAACCCAAGTATATAGTCTTAACTTCTCCTATACAATGGTCTAAATGCTGTTTTTGGGATGAATCATGTAACCTGTTTTTGTAATGTGTTTACTTATCGAGAATGACGTCTATTTATCCCCTGTATTATTTGAATTTGATTGTCTTTCTAGCCGTTTATGGATATGGGGTGCTTGAAGCGATAGGTATTTGTTTGGAGTCTCAGTGGGAACAAGATTACTCACTAGGGTGCAGGTATGTACTCTTGACGACTCCTAAGTAGGACGAAACGCACGTCCTAGATCCCACTGCTTTTCACTATGATGAATACAACACAATGAATTTATATTGTTCTACTTCAATGATTTTTCTTGATTGACGATATGTTGGTCCCTATTTGTAAGTTATCTAGAATTCTTTTGAAGGAGAATATCAAATAATCTTAGTAATATATATTTCAGGCAGACTACGTAAAAATTTGTGGAATGAACTATGTGCGATAATAATAATAATAATAATAACAATAGTAACAATAATAATAAACCTCCTAACATTTCTTCTAGCTACTGTCTGGTGTATGGAGTTCTTACCTCAAGGACTTCTAGTTGTCGGATGTAGCGATGGAACAATCGAGGTAAGTTGTTAAAATGTTCATTAATTTGTGCTGTTTATTAATAAAAACATTGACAAGATACTGTTTACTGCGTAATGATTGAAGTGTGGGTCGCCACGAGATTTGAACCAGCGAACTGATGCGGTGCTCTACCAAAGGTATTGTTTCTGATTTCTATTGTCATCGAGGTATCTGTTATTAACTGATATAGTAGAGATTCACGATATGCGTTTCATCCTATTTGGGAGACATCTGCCCAATGTCTTCCTTCTAGTAAGTAGTATTTTTCCTCGCTGTAGCTCGTCAGTTTAGGCAGTTGACTTTCAACCGGTGAGTCAGGGGTTTGAACCTCGCCTCACCTAGTACTTACACTGTAGGTTTGACTCATTACCTTGTGGATAAACATGCACATGAGTGCATTTGCTGTCTTTCCACTGAAACACCAACCCAATACTCATCACTTCGAGCCCCAGATGTCTACCCACTATGCTGCGTAGTCACAATAACCATTCTTTGTGCAATGCATATAGTTTGATGTAATAGCTTATAGTGGTGCCACTATCAGCGTAACCGCTTCTTTTCTTGTTTACTTATCTTCACAGACATATTGGTTAGTTGATACCTGATATTTAAAAACGGTGTTACTCGACAGAGTTAATGCTGCATTGCTAGAGCTCCTGCTGTATTGAAGTGGCAAATACTCACCGTTATACATGACTTTGAAAGAAGACGCTTGTGGAACACAACGACCAGAGATAGCCAATTACTCAAGAACTGAGTTGTTGACGGCTTTACACTGTCCTTTAGACAACCATACAGGATAGTGTTCGGAGATAAGTTTGGATAGAACAAGCTTTGTGAGGCCGTTATAACCAGATGCACAAGAGCAGGTAAACTGTTAAGCACAGATATCGGCGGTTCAAGGCGTTAGTTTATCCTCTACACACCCTCGAGACAGTTGTAGACCAGAGAAAACAATCCGAACCTGAGCGGAAAAGAAGGTCTTCTTCAGTACTTTGCACAGTCGATTCTTCATCGTCTCAACCAATGTGCAAAGGATAAACTACCGCTACCTCCATATGTGTATACCAATTCATCTGCTCTTTAGTGGCTGGTTACATAAGCCACACAAAGCGTGTTCTATTCAAACGCATCTCTGAACACTATCTTCCATGGCTGTTTGAAGGAAAGTGTAAAATCATCATGGACTTTATTCGCGAGTATTTGGTTATCTCTGGTCACTGTACTGCACAAGGATCTTTTAAATTCATTTATAAAGTAAAGCGAAACATTTCTTTGTTTATTAAACACAGTTCAGTTGCTAAGTTTAGCATACTAAGTTAGTGTTTCAGTTATAATGTTTAATCAGCCATCTGTTTTGTTTCATTTATTACCTTCATTACCTATCCATCTCAGTTCTTTATCAGGAGTCAGAGTTATGCCTCATTGTGCATTTAACCCTTGAAGATCACACAGATATAGCACATAGCCGATTTCCTACTATGCCCACTTGTTTGTAACAACATTTTTGTTCTCTCTTCATGTGTACTTCACAATGAGATTAGTTATCTGTGTCCATTTTTTCTACAGATTTGGGACTGTGTTTCTGGACTTCTGATGAATATTCTGTGTTTAAATGAAGTCAATGATACTCGTTCGTTGTTTACGAAAGAAAATAAAGAAAATTCCGATACAGTTCCACAGTCGAAAGTACATCCTGGAGGAATAACAGTGATGAGGATAATTGATGAAACTAGGTTAGAAATGATTTTTAAATCATTTTATTATTTTCACTTAATCTGCTAACTATTCACAACCCCATTGCTTTGTGATATTATCTTGTTTTCCTCTAAATTGTATTGGGAAAATGAATCTTCCTTATTTTCTGGTAAGAGAAATGTTATTCTGTGCACTTCAGTCCCTATAGCTGATATCCTTCACTGTGAAACTACTGATGTAGTTGTATTTTGTATTCGAGAAATTTGCTCAAATGTCTTTTTGCCTCATTTTAAAATCGTTACAATTTCAAGCTTGCTATTTTCTAAATTTAAATGGATAAGCTTACGAATATTTACGCAACACCAGCAAAACTGACAATGTTATCCCCGCTTCTGAAGCAACAACCAGCCATTTAATTCATTTTACTACCATAGGTATCGTCTGCTTAAACTCTACACTAAGCTATGCATGCAGTGGTACTGCTTTAGGTCTACAACCGTTGATAGTGTTTCCCTGATATTGTTTTGCAAGCCTTAATTTTCATACTGGTTCACATCAACAATCAGCTACTTTATAGATTAGTGTAACGCCCTAGCCCCATCACTATGAACCATAACGTGAGTAAGGATGTGTAACACGTGTCCCAGCGACTAAATTCTCTGAAAATTCACAAACATATTGACTAGATTTCCTCCTTTACTTCCCACCCAGTCGTCGATTTTGAAACAGACTTATGGGGCTTCAGGGGTGGCCATTGTCGTAAGATGTATATGTTACTACTAACGCTATAATCCAATTAATAGTGGCTCGGTCGGTCCCGATTTCGAGCCGCGATGGGAACAACACTCACTGAGAGGCAGGTACATCCGGATGACGAGTCCCAGAAGGACGAAACTTGTGTCCTGGATCCCACTGCTAGCCACTTCTCGCCATTAAAACCCGTTAATGGGTTTGAATTGTATGTCCTGTCCTCTGAGTTACAGTGTTAGAACACTAAATTTATTATTGGCATTCATTAGCACAGGTCTAGCATAGTACATAATTTGTTGTTTACTTACCTAATTCACGGTGTTGTTACGATTACACCTAGGGTGGGTCGCGGGTTCGAACTACTGTTTAACGGTCCAAGTTGCAACACTTCATATCAGCACACCAATAATAATAATAATAGTCACTTTATTCCAGACAATAACTTTTAGTACAGTTTCGAAGTCTCAGTGTGACATTTTAACAAATTTCAAAAGCTATTTAAGTGAACAAAGAATATTCTTTTCGATATCCTCTTCAGGTTCTACAGCTCTGTATTTACATATTGAGGAATTATACGTCAGCAATAAAGAGATTCAGCATATCAGTTGACTAATAATACAGTTAAGGAAGTTGATTTAGAAAGGTCGGGTGTGAACGTTTATGATGGATGCAACTATTACTAGGATTCAATTCAAAATAATTGATTATTTGAATGATCATACGGCTTATGTAATACTTACTATAAGGGGATTGTTTAATAAAACAACAGGAAGATGTTTATGACAGTTGGATGAAATAAACTAAGGATGATAAAATAAGAGGATGACTTAAAATTATTTCAAATTATACGGAAGAAGAGGTGTCTACCGTATGAAATTAGATTGATTATCTAGGGCAGGATGCTAACGAATTTATGCGTCCCGTATCGGGCCACAGTAGTTGTAGTGGTGAGACTTGCTTTTTTTGAACATATAACTCGGGTTGTTTTGTCCTGGTTACTACTTCCTCTACAGTTTGAAGGATCTTGGGCCGGGTACCTTTTGGCAAGTTGATAGGAACGCGATACAGAATGGAAAGCGACTCATTCAGCCTAGTATGCTAATACGGAGCTAGTAATGGCCTTCACCACACCTTTATTAAACCACGCTGGGAGGTGTTCGTGAGCACGGAAAATTAAATTCCTAGAGCAGCGGCTCTACAGGAGCTGTTCAACTGATAAACAACAGGAAGTGGCCAGTCTATGTAATTCATCTTTTAGTCTCTGTGTTACCATTGGGCGTGTAGAAAACGATTTTTTAATTTACCAGCATTCAAAGTTCTCTGGCAAACCACAGTTAACTCAGGTAGTCAAAATGTTAATCTTATGTCTCTTTGTGAATTTGTCAGGATGATCGTTTCCGACTAGTGTGCTGTGCTAAAGTCGCCAGTTCCTCCCCAACTGTATCTTCCGAACATATGATGTTTATTCTGTCTGTAATTTAAAGTTTTTACTGTATTTCTTTTGTACTGAAGGGCAAGGAAGCTGAGAAAATGTATGTATTGCCCCGTCCACACACTTTTTCTAACCAAATTCCTCTTTATAGACTTGTCTTTTGTCTTTAGAGAAGAACATCGAGACAAGCTATCGTGACTTGTGACTCTTCCTCACGTGTAAATTTTATCACCGGGTTGAATCTGCTGAGTATCTTTGACTTTTCCATGTTGGTTTCACACACGATGAATGTATCATCAATATATCGGCTATATAATGATAATTCTCTGTTAGATGATCCAAGTAAACCATTGTTTAGTTTCGATTGAACTGAATCATTGATAATTGGTCCTATCATAAACGTTCACAACTGATAAGATGAATCTCTTTATTGCTGACGTAGAATTCTTCAGTATGTACGTATAGAGCTATAGAACCTGAAGAAGTTATCGAAAAGAATATTCTTTGTTCACTCAAATAGCTTTTGAATTGTTATAGTTTTTAATGATGTAACATTTCTTTCCTGTACACTATTTACATATTGAATAGTCATGACAGTTAAATAATGTTAACAATAACAGGCAGTATATACACAATAACCAGTAGTTTTTAAATCATCAAATAGTTTGTATGTTGTGACACGCTGGTCGGATTGAAAGAAAACCCATGTAGTGTAGAGTTTTATTCATCCTGTAATAGCTGTAGGATTTACTGTTGTGTGTTCAGTGGTAACTGCGATCTGCTGTGTCATTTTCTTGTGGTCTTGTTGATAACCCATCAAACGATAGGTTGAAGACATTATAAGAATTCAGGAGAGTATGTTATGCAACTTGTTTAGATTTGTTTGGTTAAAATACGTAAAAGAAAAAAGGAGCAATTTGTTGAAATATCTTCTAGGAAATATTTTGGTAGGTCAAAATTTGAGTAGGCCCTGAGAATGGACTAAAAACGAATATAAAGACTAAGAATTAACCAGTCGAATAGGGTAGAGAGTTATCAAAAGAGAGGAGAAAGGAATAAAAAAGAATACTGAATTCAATGTGCTGATTAAGATGAAAATAATGTATATGCAAACCGGTGTCATTGAGATAGATTGTAAAACATGTCACCTAGATTCTCCAACTACTGGTTTCTGTTGTCACACGGGCGTCAATTGCAAAGTTGATATTTTCCTACACGAATGAGACCAGCAGTCAAAGACTTCATGAATTGATGCCGTGTTTTAAAAGTGACCATCTCTAACCTTGTAACAGCTTAAACCTAATTCAGCCATCATTGTGTAACGAGGCAAACAATGACTAGGCATGTTATAACACATGGCCAACCATCTCAGTTAATGAAAGTTCATAGTATCAACAGCTGACTTCTGCTTTACTTACATGGTGTGACACCATGACACAGCCTATGCTATGAAGGGTAATAGTGGTTTATCCCAGTAAACTGTTTACTCAAAAAACTTCACTGCCTGCAAACAATATTTACTTAATTAATGGTTCTATAACTTGGAGGTGTAGATACATTCCTCTAGTTTCTTTCTTCAAACCCTCCCCATCGACTGCAGATAAGAAGGTGGATAGCGTGATTATTTCTCTTACAAATAAAGTATGCATAAATCTTTACTTAGTTACAGAATTATACTTTTCTGACAGCATTACTCTTAATATGTAATGTTTATAAGGGTTACAATCTAATTTAATTATGATTTTTTTATTTTTATGTTTAGGTTCTGTGTAGGAACTAGTCACGGTGTTGTGGCTTATTTCCATCTACACAATACTAACAAAAATTCATCGCAAAATTCTTTACCAGTGCGTCAATGGCATTTACACTCACGTGCAATTACTCAGTTAGACTTTCTAAAGTATTTTGATAAAGCCATTATTGAAAATCATCATGAAATACCAGATATAAATTCAAATGATATTGGAGTAATTGTGATCAGTGGATCAGAAGATGGTTGTGTTAAAGTAATCTTCAATATGATTGATTGACTTGTCTCTATTTTGAAATTCCGTAGTTCTATTGCATTGTGTTACATACCTCACATTTACTTCATTTGCATGGTTTGGTCTCCAACCACTGGACAAGAGGAACCAGTGGTTGGAGACCCTAGGTGATATGGCTCAGAACCGAAGTCAGTGGCGCAGATGTATACACACATTATCCTCATCTTAACAACGCTATACCGAATCTCACCATTTTGTCACTCCTCTTTCTTTTCTTTTCGTACTTTATATTTCTTTTGACTGCATTCACTTATCTTCATCCTTCACCTCACTACCTTTTTACTTGATGTGCTGATATGAGGTGTGGCAACTCGGACCGTTACGCAGTAATGCCTGGTCCTATGTTGATAATGATGATGATGATGCATGGTTTGCAGTAATGTGAATACCAATCTGTTTTGATTAACACTGATAGATATAGAATTTTGTCAGCAGTGCGCACCCACAACCCCACCAGGAATGGAACTCGTGACCTTCAGGTTTCGTGGCCAACACGTTATGTTTGGGCCACTGGGTAGAAATTTAACGCTTCTTGTTTCCTAACTCTATCAGTTCACGATTTAGTGCTACTAACATGTAATCTCATCGTTGAGTATCTGTCCTAACGGCCACCAGGTTTGTTCCCACCGGTCACGACTTCTCATTTGAACTTCGGGAATCACCTCTAGAAGCTAGTCAACAATAAGCGCTAAATTAATTATATCTGAAAGGTTGTGTTAGATTTAATAATTGATTTTGCAACTAATAAATCTCCATAAACCTCCAGATAGAATTAATCTAGCGCTCATTGGTTACTAGCTTCTAGAGGTAATTGCAATGAAAAGTCATGACTGTGGAGTCAACCAAGTCGGACATGAGGACAGTTACTCAATGTCGACATTGGATGTTAGTCGCGTTATATCGTGAACTGACAGAAGTAGGAGATATAAAATTATCTCAACTGTCATCATTTACTGAGGCAGTTGGGTTTATTAAAAATGTCTTATACTGCTGTTTCTGCTTATCTTTCATACTACTCTTATTCTTAAGTGGATGAGTTTTGAGAGAACTAGTAAATTGAGGGTTCGTCAAAATACTCAGGATTTTGAAGATGATAAAGAGTTTATTCATCTTTCTTAATGTTATTTGTTTAAAACTGAATCACAACGAGTCTCCAACCTTTGATGTCTGACATCTCCAAGACCCTAACTAGACAACCTGTAGCTCCTCACACAACTTAGACCTTTGTTCAACACTGTCCTGCTTCGACTAACGTCCTATGTTGAGATAGGCGGTATTTCGGCCTACACAACTCATATCCATATCAGTCAGTGAAGGTTGACAACCTCTTCGACTGACTTGCTTTCCTTGCCTAACATCCCACTGCTAACCTTGACATCGCTCACACGTTGATTGCACTACACATGAGCAATGTTGCGAAGACACTTATGATGAGAAACCTTTAATATCCTCACATCTCCTACTTTCTGAGACCATTTATCACAACCGTATAATAAGGAACAGAGGATTACAGGTTAGTATAGTTGTTCTCTGATGGGTAATTGAATATCTATGCGGTATTGTGAGTGGCTTGAGATGGCGAATAAGATGCATTCCTTCTATATTCGAGTTGAGATTTGTCAGTAGTCAGTGAATTTAGGCTGATGTATCTTTCTAAACAGTTGAAGTGATCAATGTATCAAACCACCACACTCCCTACTGTTCAACTTGCAGTTTCCGTCGACCATTCCTGAATTATAATCGTACATTTTATAGGTGCAAATCGCATTAAAGACATGCTCAGATTCCTACATTCAGAATACCCTGAGTTCTGTCATAATCTTCTGACAAAACATATCATATGTGTATTCCAAATTAATCAAACGACGTACATAGAATAGGTCATTCCGTGTAAAGTCAAAGGTACTGTGGGTTTATGTTTATTTATAAGTTTATAACGAAATTAGACAAGAACGGTGATGATGGACATCTTTGGCTGACGGCACTGGTTTTTGCAATTTCAGACGACATTTCCCTGTTAGCCCTTACATGACTAAATGAGTCCAAGTAGAGAGTTTCGGTTAGCACTATATACTTTGGCTCTCCTCCCAAAGTCAGACAATGTCACACCACGTCTTGGTTGACAGAATTTAATGTTATCTTCAGGTTAAGAAATATACCAAGTGTCACCGGCAATAGGTGTATTTGTTTTCCAAAATCTGTAGAATGGTGAAAACCTGATCGGTACAGTCTCCTATAGGTCTGAAATATTCATTGTTTTCTGGAGGTTTGATTAGATGTAGCATAAATATGAACCCTTTGATCTACGAAGCTTCGAATGTAAGTCAACAATTATGTTTTACCAGTTTCTACAACAGACTGAATTTTACGCCAGGCTTCATTAGGCAGAGAATTGTTGCCATATTCAGATAAATGCTCACTTGATATTCTCATTTTTTTCAGTCAACCACACAGAGGTGTGACTGCTTACGGTATTCTGCATTTTTTAAGGTACAAGTGTACTTATATTCGCTATAATTCGTTACCTGAGTCTCAGTAGGTACTTTAAAGTGAGCGGCAATATTCCTTTCCAACGATGGATCATAAAGGTAAGATACATCCGTTCACATGGTCTGTCTGATACTCTCCCTTATTTTGGAAGTTAGTGTTGGCCAGAAATAAGTGATTGTCAGTAAAAAATTGCAAGATATGATCATCCTTGTCAATTTCTGGGTATGGACCACCATGGATACTCTCAAGATGCGTTTCTGGTCATCTCAGGTTGCTACTTGAGCGTTGATGTCGGTTAATTTGACTATTTTTGAACGTTTTGCTTTCTGTAGCGAAATTGACAGCTTTTGGTAGAACTCATCCTTTCTCCATCCAAACAGCAGTTGGTGTATGTGTACGCAGATAATATGAATAGAAATCGACGAGTTTCACAGTCTCCTCCAGTCCTTCCAGATCTATTCACTCGTACAGCGCCTAGATAGCTTTGGACTGGTATCCAATCGAGTAGTTCTGACAACCTGCGAATTGATGCTCTGCCTTTGCCAGCTAGTTTATGGAAATAAACCGGTGAATCTGTGAACACTCATGAACTGAATTTTGGATACTAGCTATAGTGGCTAGTTAAAGTTAAGTGACTAACAACCACACTTGAGTCGTCTATGCACGTCTCAGAATCACAGCATACATCCATGACTCGAGATGGCAAAACCTTGACAAATGAGACCTGTTGTCCGGCTTGTTATAGGCTTCGAGCGTTGATTGGTCCACTGTGCAATTAATAGTAGTTTTAAGAAACTAGTAATGGTTTTTTGCTGGTTTGATTCGTTAAAAAACCTCACTAGAAACTTACTACCACACTTCAGACGACATTAAAATGTACCAGAATCGCTCTAGGTATCACAACACAGTACAGAAATATCAAGGGTGGATTAGTTTTGAAGATGTTTTGCATCACCAACTGATATCAATAGAGAATTATTTAGGGCCAATGGGTATCAAATAACTCTTCTGTTTTTCTGGGGACTCGCACAAGAGGTCTCTGAACGAGACTTTAAGGTATGATAGCTAGTAAGTTATAGTTGGGTCACTAGATTTGAACCCAGTGAATCCGTATTCTCCACTTTAAAAATTTGAATTTCAACATATTAACTCGAAGAATAGAAGACCTTTATTCAGTCTCGTATGTATTTGTTGGCGCACACTGATAAAACCTCTTGAGTAAAGACGAAATTGCTGTGGATATTCGGTTGGCGGAACCTACTCGAATGATAATCATTTCACGTGGTGTTAGTACACTTATTTCATGAGCAATAAGTAGTAGTTATTTCTTCATATTTTACCCGTGCAGTCTCTTTACATAAACTCATGGTACAAAAGAAAAAGGTTCGCTGAAATTAATAATGACTACATGCAACTTCACTAACTAGGTAGTGAATCATGTTCATCCTATGACACCTGAAGATACCACCTCATTGCTAAAACACTTTTAAGTGATATGCACTTTAGATCTGAGACTGGTTATGAAAGTCGAGCGTTGAAATATGTGCGATACAACTTCCTATGCTTGTTATGCGCTAATCAGATGTAAAATGCGTAAATATTATTTCCCACTTCATAAATATGTGTAACCACCTAGTTTCCTTACTTTTTTTCTTTCTAGTTTTGTTCTTCAGAACATGACACCCCATTGTTTCACTGTGGTGTAGACACTACACCCGTCCTGAGTATGGCTCTAAATCGTGTAAGTTCACAATTTGCTACTGAAATAATTCGTTGAATAGTTTTCCATTGCATTCATCATTGTTAAAATACAAAAATGTTACAGCAAAGGCACCAAGAAATACGCCACAAAAAATAATATGAAAACAATATGAAAGTATAAAGCGTAGGGAAGTGGATAAAAAGAAAAATAATAAGAATAGAATGATTAGAAGGGCAGTCCACTAAGAAACATTCTAAACGAAACACTCATTACTTTTCAGCAGCAGAAGATAAAAGGAAGCCACAACATGATTACCACTGGTTACGATTCTGTGCCATATTTGATAACATCTCAAGCCATTCAGTTGCGTGATCTATCGAACCCCGATCCAGGGAATCGTAATGCACCATTAGATGTTAACCCGATACAACTATCCTTCACTCTACGGCACCACGTCGTACACCGACCACCTCTCCACTTCTTCAATCCAGTCTCAAGCCTAGCAAACAGTGAACGGTGTGGAAGCCATCGGGAAGACATGCCTAACACATCTCAAGGCCACCAAAGCCTGTGTTTCCAAATGACTTCACTTATTCAGTGACCATCTCCATCATATTAAGACACACGCTGTTTTACTTCAGAATTGCTTACATGGTGTTGCCATCTGATACGAGCAATCCAGTCGAGACAACGATGATCGAACACACAGAATCGTCTCACATCCTCAGCTCCAAGAGGCCAGGTTTCACTGGCGTAAAGCAGAACTGCTGGCACCAAAACATTGTAAACCCAGTCAGACTAAAGTCTATTTCCATTACATAACTTGACGTAACCATATACGAATGTCATCTACACGATGTTTTTCTCTGATGAAATATTATTACATATTAGTAGCTAAAGTATTCACTGCCTAGCATTATTTGCATTTTGTAATCGTTCCACTTCTATGTCTTGTTCCCCTCAACTACCAACTAATTATCTTTCGCTTTAAATTTCAAATAACTTCAAGGGAATCAGAGTAATTGTAGGCATGTGAGTCGTATCAAAACATCACTCACGAAATAAAAAACCTATTATTTTCTGATCGTACACTATAACATGGTCTTTTGTTCATTTTGCAACAATTATGTCTAGGTATAATTCATTTGTTGAAGATTGAATATGGGGGTTTGTGGTGATTTAGAGATATTTTAAGTAGGTTTTCATCATGGACTGACAACAGCTGAAGGAACATTGGAGACCTGAAAGCACTGGATAGCTGTTTCGTTCTAGTTTGGGACTCAGCTGTGCGCACTCACGACCCTGCCAGGAGTCGAGCTCGCGATCTTCAGGTCCTGTGGCCAGCACGTAGCCATTGAGCCACTAGGTTGGAATCCAATGGTTCATATTTCCAACTCCAGTCACCTCTCGACACAGCGCGACCATCATCCAATGTCATCGTTGAGTATTTGTCCACACAAGCCCCCAAATTCACTTGAACTAGTGCTCATTGGTGACTAGCTTCGAGATGTGATTCTTGAAGTTCCAATGAGAAGTCGTGATCAGTAGGGCAAACCTGGTGATCGGGAGGAAAAACACTCAAGGCCGTGGGTTCGATCCCTGGAGCAGTCGTGGGTGCACTGTGCTGAGGAGTCCTATACTAAGATGAAACAGCTGTTCAGTCATCTGAGGTTTCCAATGTTCCTCCAACTGATGTCAGTCCATGATGAAAACCAACATAAGATTGGTTGAAGAGCACTTATTTTACTCAAATAACACTTGGGGTAGTAAACAAAAACTGCGAAATTCGAATTATTACTCACTGATTGGGTTAGGATCTGTTGGTCCATCAGGACTCCCTGGGTGGGATCCGAGAGATCACATAACTCAGTGAGGTTATGAGATATGACTAAGAATCGAAATCATTGGTGGTCATGCTGTAGCTCTCTTCTATCTTCTGATGCTGAGAAGTAATAATGTATCTTACTGGATTGCCGTTTCAATCATTCTATTCTTATTGCGTTTTCCTTTTTATCCACTTCTCTTCGCTTTATGTTTTCATAATACTTTTATATTATTTTTTGTGGTGTATTTCTTGGTGCCTTTGCTGTACCATATTAGAATAATAATAATGATAATGATAATTCTGGAAATATCATTCCTCGGTTATCGTTTCGCAGTAAATGAAATGACTTTACTCATTAGTGTTTACTAAATTTGCGTAAATCTAGTAATGCAAAATGCCACTTAGATCGCAAACAATTTGTATGATAGTAACTTAATTTTCTAACATTGGAAATAAATATTTCTTTGTATGGTTTTACTGACAGAGTTGTGAGAGCGATTGACACTTCACGGCTGCCCACACCGTCGAAGGCTATTTCTTCTTAAGGTGTCTGAAAGAGATTTGTGTAACCGCAGAGCCCATCAGACATCTGCCTGAGGCCTGTCACACGCAGCCTTTTGTGTATGGTTGTTTTGAACTTTTGTTGTTTTGGGGCCGGATGGTCGAAAAGAAACGAAAAATGAACCAACACCGCCGGCCCGGCAAACCGTGGGATATGGTGGAGTGTGTTATTTTGTGGCCGACCTTTTCTAGCCCTCCCTCTTTCACTGAGAAAGCAGTATCAGCATGGCACTGCTGGTAATCCAAGGGAAACACCTTAATGCTACCAGACACCATTCAGCTAGCAACAGTACAACTTCGCACTCAGACCCCCATCATAGTCTAGTAATTTGCATCACAACTGTAACTTCTTTTCGTCTAACCACTATCCAACCAATCTTTCTCGCATGGCAGGACCTCAAGGTAACAAGTGTTCCACCAGCATAGCTCGTTGGGTCATTGTGATATGCAAGCCTGACCACCGTCAAGGTAGCAGATATCGATCGGCCTAGTCGCCGATTGCCTCGTCATACAGTGTTGGTCGAAGTAGGTTCAGGCTGGAAATTGGCCCGAGGCAGTCAGACTAAAAAAATAGCATCAATGTATGAAGTCTTTGACTGTTGGTTTGAGTCATATAAAGCGATGCAGACTAACCGGTTGGGGTCCGCGGAAGAAGAGGAACCAGTGGTTGGAGACTGTATGTGATATGGTTCAGAATCAATGTCAGTGGAGCAGATGTATACATACATCATCCTCATCTCAACACTATACCGAGTCTCACCATCTTCTCGTTCTTCCTTACTCTCTTTTCGTACTTTATATTTTTTTGTTTTGACTGAGTTTTCTTTTCCACATTAGATTTGTTTATTTGCTTTATAACACAGTGATATAGTATTATTTACTTGATGACGTTTCCAGCATAAATTATTACTGCTCATAATCATATCAATGTAATCACACTACTTTCGACATTTGCTTTTTAAAGTTACGCCACCTCATATGATTTGTTTTTATTGGTAGTGGAATCTTCAATATTTCTGGTATCGGTGTTGCGTCATTCCTGTAACAAGTGTTGAGTGTTGTTTCGATGAACAAAGATTCAGTAATCAATCTCTCTCTCCACCTAATTATATTTGACTTAAGTACAGTGGCTTTGTCCCACCCTATTGTGTGGTTATGTGTTAATGCATGCATTGCAGTAACCGAGTTTTCTCTAGATTATTGATCTTATTCGGGTCTGTTATTCTACATTTAGCTAAATTCCTACGATCCGCTATTCTAACTCACCCTGACCGGGTAGCTTGACCTATGTACTTGACCTCACAGTCATTACATGGAATTTGATAGAATCGATTATTTTGTTTAATTGGTTCTATCGGATCCTTAGGCCAGCCGACAAAACTTATCTCTGAGTGAGTTTGCAAGTTTAAACGACACCCTAATACTCAACACATGTTATAGGGATGACGCAACACCGATACCAGAAATATTGAAGATTCCACTACCAATAAAAACAAATCATATGAGGTGGCGTAACTGTAAAAAGCAAATGTCGAAAGTAGTGTGATTACATTGATATGATTATGAGCAGTAATAATTTATGCTGGAAACGTCATCAAGTAAATAATACTATATCACTGTGTTATAAAGCAAATAAACAAATCTAATATAGAATTAAATTCTATCACAGTGCTCAAGTTTTACACCTATATTAATGAATTTTCTTTTCTTCATCTTCCACTTCACTACCTTTTTACTTTACTGTTATGTACTGATATAAGCTGTGGCAACTCGGACCGTTACGCAATAATGTCTGGTCCTATCTTAATGGATGATGATGTGTGGTTTTACCTTCTCATATTTATCATTCAATTAATCAACCGATGTTTGTGTTTATTTCAAATAAATTTATTTTGATATATCCCTTTCAGTTTGCGATCGGTATTAGTCATGCTTCTGGATCATTGTACGTTTGTTGTCTAGAAATATTACTTAACAGAACCAGTAAAAGTGTAAATTTTGAAGGCAAACATTTAGTGAAACCGCTTGAAATACGTTTAGTTGAACTAACATTTCTAACTAACGGTTATGGAGTTACTTCAACAATACAAGAAACATCTGCATCAGCTTCAGTTCAAAATAAAAAATTATCAACGCATACTCGACCAGGATCAATAAATTTACAATTATTTACACGGATAGAAGGATATTCTGGTAAAACACGAAAAAATTGTAATAAATTATCAGCATTGGCAAATTATCGTCTAGTTACCTATGATATGGATGGTACTGTTGTTATCTGGGATCTACAGCAAAAATGCATGATAAGATCTTTCAAAGCTGTAAGTTTTATTTGTCTTAAGTATTATTTTACGTCATTGTCATAGTCAGCTCGTTAGTAGATGACATTTCGTGATTCCAACTTTCTGTCCAATTCTGATACTATGACGTGTAACGAACACTTGGACCCAGAAGTAAACTATGTAACTTAATGTTCGACAGTAGATATACAGTACAACTAACGCACAACCGCGTCGAAAGATCTATTTTTCTTCAGTTGATGCGACTTTAGTTGAACGATTGTTGTTGTGTATTTTTTGTGTAAGTTTATCAACAATGATAACAATTGGTTTGAGATAGTCACAATAATTAGTTGACTGGTTTTGTCTTCATGATTAAACATCTTCGTAATGTGCTCCATACACGAAGTTGTTATCATCTAATTTCATCTCTGACACCCTGAATTTCTGAATTATGGATATTTTACTGCATACAAAGTGAAGCATAGTGTAATTTTTTCATAGGACTATGCTTCGCAAATCTTTGGAGTACAGTCCCTCTCATCCATTAACCGTTGCCTATCTATCAGTCGAAAATCGTAGGTATAATCAAATGACATCATTGGAAACAAATGCACATACAACAGTTTTATGACTTTTTCTAGCTTACTCTTCTTTAGTAGCTGCAACCTCCCCCCCCCCTGCTGTTCTATGGCTCAATGGTTTAGGGCGACGACTGTCAACCAGTGGGTCACGAGTTTCGAACCCCGCTCTACCTGCCGAGGTCTAGGCGGCCATTTTGTATCACAACCCCTCACATAAAAAATGTGCATCATTGCCTACTGCATAAATATGTAGGACATGGTTGAGCGCTTTTCTTTCTGTCTCTACAATGCAGCCTGTTACCTTTCGGAGTGATCAAACATATCATCACGCACCAAACAATCCATTATTAACTGTTTCTCCCACCTTACATGTAAATACCACTGTAAAGTGACTTATTTCTTATAAAATCTTTTATCTAGCGCAGGAATATAGTCATGTTGCGTCTATTTTGCTAGACAACATTTGATATCTCTTGAGCAGTGATAAATCACTTAATTATACTGTATCAGTGTTAATGCAACTCAACCCGGTAAGGTTTATGTACTAGGCTATGAGTCACACATTGTGTAGGGGTTTATCCTACTACCCGTTAGCGTTACCCAATGTAGAGGAGGCAAAGTTTGAACCCAGAACTCACCAGTTGAAAGTCGAATAGTAAGTCAATAAGCGATATGTCCAATAACCGTAATTTAGTAAAATATCGAGAAATATCAGCTCGAAATCATCTCAAGAACCAATCGAATTTTACTGTGAAATACGTTCGAATCGAAACACATTCAGCTGCATTGTGCACATCCGTGCAGTAGGCGCAATAAGCCACACCTATTGTTTGAGGGCTAGCTGCCCGAACCTCGGTAGGTGAAGTGGAGCTCAAAGCCATGGTCCAAAGTTGGGTAATAACCTCCATAAACCACTAAGATGTATTCACGATATTGTGATTTTCTTTTTAAGTCTGTGAATACACTTTAGGCTTATTTGTGTTCAATAAGGATTTCTACTTATTTTGTTTTAGAATTTATCAACGTTCAATATGTTGAATTTATTGTTATCTGTTGGTGGACGTGTAGTTTTTGGTGATCAGGTCAGTTGAACTTTAAATAATAAAGATTTCGTATAATATCAGACTCTTGGATGTATTTTTAGCCATTCATCTAAAACATAAAAATCCTGGCACATTCTCATCAAAAAATACGCTACAAAACGGAACACAACAACAGTATGAAGTCAACATATTAAAAGGTAACAAAACTGAATAAACTGTCGGTTTTATAGGACACTGTGAAGAAGGTTTCATTACCCTTGTGGTACTTTTCACATAGGCAGGACACAACACAACTACAATATGATAAGCAATGTTTTCGATTCTGTGCCATGTCTGATAACACATCAAGCTGGAGTTGTATGATCTCTCGGACCCTAACCAGGGAGTCTTGGTGTATCAACAGATGCTTACTTAACACTACTACATTTTATCTCATAGTGCTGTTTGATACACTGACCACCTCTCTGCTTCCTCTACCCAAACCGAGGGATAGCAGTAAGGCAGCCTCCGAAATGATATACGTAAAACATATCTAAGCTACTGAAACCGGTGTTTCAAAATGACGGTTCTCATCATGCAGATAAACATATGCCACTCCGTTTTTTATCTATCTTCAACATATATAATTACCTATATAATATGGACTTTTAGAAAATCTGCGAGGATGCGCGTAGGTACGGGTTACTATCAATCTGGTGAAATCGTTTTGCACTCCAATGATGCCAGAGCACGTGCCACTTCATGAACGCTAGCCACCAACTGTTTTGGTGCGATATCAGCAACCTATATGTTGTCGTATGGTAAGGTTATTTCAATCATATAATTAAGTGAAAGAGGAAATTATCCCTATATGATTCCACATTTGGTTCAGGACAATGAAGAGAAGTAGTTGTACGCTCTCATACTACTCGCTTTTGTATGTAGTCTTCAAGATGTCAATATAATTCTTAAGCACATCCTTCTTCAAAAGACAACTCCATGGCACAGTCCTGTCCGACATTTCAAAGATAGTCCTAACCAAAATTCCAAAACTTGATGTTTGGTACAAAGTACAGTGAATTAACATGAGAAGTTAGGAGTAACTCATACTGATCTACAGATTTCACTGGCTAAACCAGGATGATCTCAACAGTAGATGATAGTTCTGCTCGCTTAAGACTGAGACGTTAGCGTCATACGCGAGCAAATTCAACTGAATCGTGAAGAATATTTGTAGCTCAAGTGGATGGTCTTGGTTGTATTGTGTTCTCTGAGCTGGGTTGTTTAATCGTGAAGCTTTCATCGTCTTTCTGGACGACATCACCAGCACTAACTTCAGTATGAAGTTTGACCTGGCTAGCTGATCGACCCACAATAAAGTGGGTCTTTTAGGTCATCTAACGAGATTCAGTCGGTTTGCACAATTCCTCTTTTTCAGGTGAATTTATCCGGATAAACCGCTGATGAGCTCAACCATAAACGGGACAAACAACCGTCTAGTGTTTAGATTACCTTGGTCTGGATCGCACAGTCTGCAGATCACTGAGGGCTATTTCTAACTACTTACGTTTTTCTAGTAATAAACTTGAACTGAAATTTATATTAGTGTTTGAGCATCTAGTGTGAGGCAAACCAGTGATCAATGTAGTCACATGCTGAACAAAACCCTATCTGCTCTTCAGAAATCAATTTTTCATGCTTTTCACACAGGCTGTTAAGTATATCAGCAGGAAAACCTATACACTGATGACTGTTGTAGGCATTACATAAATCTTTGCTAATGACGGGAACGACGATGGCCTCCTTTTGGAGGTGACACTCTCAGCCTGCCCCCTCACTACAGTGTTGCTCCAATCCTTGAAAAACGCAGGGACAAGTTGCCTTAGCCAAGCAATTCCGTACTTTAAACTCCTTTTGGGCGCTCGCTTCTTTAGTCGGGTTCATGTTGATTGACTATCGACTAAAAGACACTGAAATCAACGTTGCTAAAACAGTAGGCCAGTGAAATCATTTTTCACAGACGAGCAGTCGTGTGAAATAAAGTTACATATGAAGGAAAATTTGTTAATGATGACAACAAAATAACACACTTTGTACACTACCAACTAGCAATAAAGTGAATGATTTAGCATAAAATTTGTTAGGCTACAGTGAGGTTGGTTGCTTGAAATACCAATTGGCAAGCATTTTGAAGCCGTCATTATGAGTCTGTCACTTGAAGTCTAATCTACCGAGCTGTTGAACAAAATTGGGTTGTTGATTACTACTTATTCGTTCTAGATTTTGGGGTCCATGTTTACCATTGGTCTGGAATCAGAGATTTTCAGCACTCCATGGTGAACCAGCTCTATCTACCGAAAACTGACAATATGCATCGGATATTTGCCTTCGATCCCTTACTTTTGTATACACAATCCCGCCATACGAACACGTATAAAGCATTTCAGAAAAAAACTGTAAATGTGTGGCCATATGAGAGGTAACCGCAAGAAAAAGCAAACTCTACTCACTACTGGTCACACCAAAGTATACTGGGGGCTTTTTAGGGTAGAATGTACTACTTATTTGCAATTAGGTCACAATCGCATACATTCTCAGACACTATTTTTATCCGTTATGAACTTGCAGACATATGGTATTGTTGTAAAAAGTATCTGATCTGTTGACTGAAATTCAACAAGATAGTGTTCATTTCTGATACCTGGCCTTGAATATGGTATTCATTCAGTACTTGAATAATCCAGATAGTACTCTTCAGATAGTTGCTTGAACTTTGAATTCGAGAGAAATTGACTTAAGGAAAGGAAAAAATTTCACGTTAACAGTAGAAAATCTTTTCGTAGTGTAACTTTCAGATAAATTGAAGCAAAGATATTGATTTTATTATCCCATAGTGTAGTAAATAAAGGTGATGTTGAAGCTATTAGAAGGTGAACTTCACCCTGCTGATAATCAATCACCTTTGGTTTGCCGTGACCTACTGAAAAAAGTATGTTTTGTATACAGTAGAATGAAAAGCAAGGAATTACAGGTATATATAGATGTCACATGTGATACTCTTTGCACAGAAGGTGGTTCTAGTAACTCAGTAGCCTAGGAAATCAAACTTCAACATTTGAGACAATGCATGTTATGTTCGAGTCCTGGCGGGGACAATATCGCCCACCTTGACATATGTACAGCCTGCTGATGAGTCACAAATAGGGTGAAACACGCATCCGAGATCTCAGTGCTAATCACACCGTAATTATGTGCACTTGATTATGTGTCCACTAAATTATTCAAAGATTTTTTATGTTATAAAGTATGATTGTTTACTATACATTTTTTGTTTCAGAGTTATCTACGTGTTGTAAATCCATGGACTGCTAAATACGAACGTTCAGTTCAACTCTTACCACCTTCTTCTGTAAATATGAGAAGTTCACATAATTCGAATTCTTCACATCTCTCTACTTTATTGCGTCGATGGACAAAGGAATTAGTTCCACTTGGTGTTACTGGTGGTGATTTTAAATCTTCCAAGGCATCTGAATTATATTTAATCGCTAATGGAAGTACTGAACACGTGAATTTAACTCCAATTAATCTAAAAACACCAATAAGAACTGGTGGATTATATGTTATCAGTATAGCTGATGGTGGAAGAACACTAGTTGTAGTACCTGTATCTACAATTAAATTTGATTAACTTTAGTCTTTGTATACATTTTTATTTCTTCAATACTGTGTAAATGCAAAATATTTCTACAGAAATTAGTTTTCAAAAGTTAATCGCGCCAGGGCTTTCAGGTTTCACAGTGAACGCTTTAATCACTCAGCCTCGGAGGTTCACAGTTTCCAACTTCTGTCAGTGGACGATATAGCTTGACTTCAATCCAATACCGTCTTCACGAACGACTCAGTTTGTTTCATTGAGACAAAATAAGCTTAATTGATTGCCATTATCTAACTGGCTTGTTAGTTTAAAGTCGTAAACAGTGTATACAATAAATGTCTGATATAACTGATGAGAAGAGATCACTTATTCAGGTTAGAGACAACCATAAATGTCAAACAAACTTGGCAGTATTGTCGTCACCGTCAAAGTTCAAGTAATACCAGAAACAATGAATCGACCTTCTTTTTATAGACTTACACACTAAGCCATGTGAACGAAGAATGTTTCATAAACTTATTTACCAATATTAGTGAGATGTAGACATGAATTCCTAAGAAGATCAAGTTATTTTAGCAGTAGCTAATTCCTTGATATTAGTCTTAATTGTTTCTACAAACTACAGTTCCATACGTGAATGTTATTAATATTTACATGATATTGGTTTGTTAGTAACTGCCTAGGTAAAATATAATGGATTTGTCTCACTAATTATGTGAACAGGATATGGCTTTTAACCAGTGGGTCGCGGATTCGAACCCCGCCCCACCTACTGAAGTTTGGAAAGCCAGGTAGTATCACCATAAACCTTCACATAATCGATGTGGCTCATTAACTGCTGCACGAATGTGCACAAGGTTGCTGAGTGGATTTTGATCCGATTCGATTGCTCATGGTATCTACCATAGACAGATGTCAGAATGAAGTTAATTTATACCTACAGAGACTGTACTCTATTGAGTCATTTTCTAACGCAATAGCTCCCTCTTAAAACACTCTAGCAATGCCACGAATGTATTTCACAAAAACTATCCTTTTTATCTTTGATGATTGTGTTTTTACAAAGACATCACATATGAAAGCGTGCCCAGTTCTTACTTGTCCAAATATACTTTCGTTATTATTATTATTATTATTATTATCATTATTATTATTATTATTATTATTATTATTATTAGTCCCTTAGGTTCCTAATGGAACATGGGGCTTCAGTAGCACGTCTCCAATGCACTCTGTTCTCTGAAATCTTTTCAACCTGGCTCCACGACAGCCCACAACCTCTCATTTCCTCCTCGCACGATCTCCTCCATGTCACCCTCAGCTGGGATGCCCAACTCGTCGCTTCCAATCGAGGTCCCACTCGAGTGACTGGCCTGACGCGTGATGTCCCCAGTCGGCCTTCTCAGTGTATGCCCAATCCATCTCCACTTCCTTCCAATGCATATTTGTTGGGTGATAGGTTCTTGCTTCGTTGGTTCATTGTCAGGCCAGAGTTCCTTGTTGCTTATTCTTTCTGGCAATCCATCTGATCTTCAGTAACGAGCCAGCGTAAGCAGTTGTTGATGAATGTCTGTAGTTTGTTGGAAATCCCTTTCGTAACGCGCCAAGTCTCTGAACCATACAGGAGAACTGACTTGACGTTGGTGTTGAAAATCCGCATCTTGTTCCACATGCTGAGTTCAGTGCAGAAGATTTCCACACTGGTGTCAGGCTAATGAACACCTGTCTTGCTTTTCAGTTTCTGAATTTGACATCCACGTCTGTCCCGCCACCTGTAGTTGAAACAGTGCTGCCTAGATAGGTGAAGGAGGTTACTTATTTTGAGTTTCTCCCTTTGATGGTGATTGGAGTTTGTTGTTGTTGTTGGAGTTATTGGTGCGGTATCTTCATCACTTCTCTATATTCACCTGAAGTCCCGTCTTCGCTGCCCCGCCTCTTCTGCCAACTTGTTAGTTTTCGCCTGTAGATCTTCAAGTTTATGTGAAATCAGGCATAAGTCATCGCTGACGAAATCCAAGTCTTCTAGGTTCTTTTCCGCAGTCCAGCCAGCGTATCCCCCTCTTCTCGCTGCCCACTGTTTGCTGCATGATCCAGTCCACCACAATAAGGAATATCATGGGTGATAGTAGATAGCCTCGCTTTACTCTCCTGTCTTCACTTCTAAAGCATCACTGAGCTTCCCATTGTGAATTACTTGTCTGGCATGTGGCATGCGTCTTCATATAGTTGTTGAATGAGGCTGATAAAGGTTTGCGGTATTCCGTAGTATTGAGGCACTTTCCAAATTACTTTTCGGTCGAGGCTGTCAAAGGCCTTCTCAAAGTCGATGAAGTTGAGGTAGAGAGCTGATTGCCATTCTATACTCTGTTCTATGATGACGCGAAGCGTTGCACATGACTTGTACTTCCTGAAGTCAGCCAGCCTGTTCTGGTCGTAGTTTTGAATCCAGTGCATCCTTTAGCCTCTTCAGGATGATGCGGCTTAATATTTTGCTTGCTCTGGGTGGACAGGAGAGTGATTCCGCACCAGTTCTTACAAACACTGAGGTCTCCCTTCTTTGGGAACTTGACAAGGTAACCCTCCTTCCAATCAATGGGCAGGTACCTTTTCTTCCTCCCACACCTTCTGGTGTGAGTATGTCCGCTGTTGTCTCTGTGTCTGTTTTCAGTGCTTCTGGTGGGATTCCATCTGGTCCTGCTGCTTTCCCACATTTCAGTAGCTTTATGGCGTTCACGACTTCCATTTTTGTTGGAGGATTTATGTTCACTTGTAGTTCAGCGGCTGTAGGTGGTTGTTATTTCTGGACGAAGTGCAGGTGGTGGTCGATTCAAGAGCTTCTTGAAGTGGTCGGCCCATTGTTTCCTTTGTTTCTCTTCTTTCGTAATTAAATATTCGTCATCATCTTTTATTGGTTTCATCTGAGTTGATCTCTTCCCAGATAGCAAACTGGTTATTTGATACAATGTTGTCAGTTCTCTGTCCCTCTTACCTGCAGCCTGTTCTGCTTCACTTGCCAGTGTGTCGTTGAGGTGTCTTTTGTCTTTGCGTGCACTCTTCTTCACTTCTTTGTCCAGTGTAGTGTTTTATACATTGTACTCAGTTCCTCTTCTCGTCGTTGAGCATCCTTGCACTGCACTGGTTCATCTTCTGCTTCACCATCCTCCCTCCCTGCCCTATCAGCTTCCATGTATCCATTGAGATCCATTCCTTATCTTCTTTCTTCTTCCTTCCTAATACGGCTGTGCAGGTTTCTTTCCACATAGCTTTCAAAGACTTCCAGTGTTCTTCCACACAGGTTTCTTCAGGGATGTTGCTCGATATCTCCCATTTTGTCTTGATGGCTGGCCGACGTGAAGATCTCCTTTGTAGTTTCATCCTTCAGTTTCCGAGTGCTGTACTTGAACTGTGGTCTATCATCAACTTCCTTGAAGGCTTTCAACTTGATTTGGAAGTTAGGTTCCTTGCACTAGATGCTGAGTGGTGTGAACCTACATCTGCTCCTCTTCTTCACCTTGTGTCAAGTGGACTGACTGTGTCTCCATTTTCTTGAGATTGAGATAAAGTCGATTTGACTTTTAGTGTGTCCTGATGTCTGGTGAAATCCATGTCGCTTTGTGGATATCTTTGTGCTTGAACACACCGCCCCACTCCAATCACCAAATCGTTGAATGCACAGAATTCTGCAAACAATTCTCCATTCTCGTTCATCACCTCACCGAGAGCTTCTCGACCCATGGTTAGTTCTCTTCCTGTATTGTCCCCTCCCAGTTTGGCATTCATGTCGCCCATCAGAATTTTGATATCACCAACTGAGATCTTGTCCAGTGTTGATTGCAGTTGTCTGCAGAATTCCTCCTACTTCTCTTCATACGCATTATTTGTAGGTGCGTGGTGTAGCATTGAATGATTTTGACTCTCCTTCCTTTTGAGTGGAACCTTGCTGTCATGATCCTGATGCTGGAGGAGATTGGTTCCCACTGCATCACAGAGAGCCTTTGATGCTGTTGGGGACGTGATGATAGCCACTCCATAACTCAGTGTGCTTGTGGTTGTCGTCTGTGTGGCAATATCGGAGTAGATTATTGATTCTCCAGTTGACAGTTTGGAGAGTCCACTCCCATTCCATCTGCTTTCGCAAATTCCAAGCACTTCAATGTGACAACTCTTCATCTCGTTTGCAATCTGGGCTGCCTTGCTGGGTTCAAACATCGTACGGACATTCCATGTCCCCACGTTTACTTTCGCTTTCATTGAGAGAAGACACATCGGCCAATTGGCTTCCCGAAGGCTTTCACCAACCGGCGTCATTTCGCTTCTCAGATTCCATTGAGGAATAATTTTGTTATTATTTTTTATATTTTGTTTGTGCTTTGAAGTCTCTTTAGTGGTTAGATTTGTTTTGCGGGGTAGGATTGCTAGCCCTATGCCCAAGCTTCCCTCTTTACGGGGGCTTAGGACCGGCTAGTAACTAGTGAACTAGTTAACCAGGCGAGGTTTAATGGTTTTATTTTATTTATTGATTTATTTTTATTTTCCATTTATTTTATTTATTATTATTTTTTTTATTCAGTAATTACATTTTTACACCAGAGAGATACAGCAGAACCAATAAATAATCACTGTATTCCCATTCAATAGAAAACATATATGTTAACAATTGTCACTCCCTTCCCTATTCGATGTTTCATCAACGATAGAACTCGGAGTACGCCTTCTTATCACCAGTCATTGAAACATCTTCGTAAAATTGTAGAGTCTAAAGAGTTATAAAATAAACTCAAATATCCTATGATTTGTTGACACGTAAAATTTTGACAGAAGTTTTGGTGAATAGAGTCAGTTCACTTTTATCAATTATCCTAAGCTACTTCACTTGGATTAAAATGGCAGTCAACTCTTCACCTCAACTTCATCGACTTTTAATAGGCCTTCGACTGCATCCACCGAGAAGTAATTTGGCAGGCAGCTGCTTCGACACTACAGCTTTAATGCCTTCAAACCTTTGTCAACCTCATTCAACAGCAGCTATATGATACTACATGCGAAGTGATTCACAATGGAAAGCTCAGTGATGATGCCTTTGAAGTGAAGACAGGAGGAGTACGACAAGGTTGACTACTATCACTGATGATCCTCCTGATTCTGGTCGACTGGATCACGCAACAAACTGTGAGGAGCGAGAAGAGAGGCATACGCTGTTTGGCCGATGAAAAGACTCTAGAAGATTTGGATTTCACCGATGATTTATGTCTAATGTCGCACAAGTTCGAAGATCTACAGGCAAAAACCAACAAGCTGATAGAAGAGACGAAATAGGAAGACGGGACTTGCTTCAGGTGAACGTAGAGAAGACAGAGGTGATGAAGATACCCAGCCAAAAACAATAAGCACCAATCACCACCAACGGGAGAAATCTAGTGGAAGTTGTCTCTTTCACCTACCTAGAGAGCATAGTCTCAACTACAGCAGGGCGACACAGATGAGGATGTCAAAGCCAGGACCGGAAAAACAGAAAGGTCTTCCTTCATTAATCTGAAATCAGTGCGGAGATCCACTACACTCAGCATAAGGAACAATATCCGAATTTTCAACGATAATGTCAGTCAAGTCAGTGCTTCTATGTAATGGTTGGGAGACTTGGTGCGCTACGAAAAGCATTTCCAACAAATTGTAGACATACATGATGAACAGCTACCGCCTACGCCCACTCGATACTGAAGATTAGATGGCCAGAAAGAATAAGCAACAAGGAACTCACTCTGGCTGGCAGCGAACCAAGTAAGAACCCATAGCCCAAAAATTAGGCAGAAGAAAGTGGAGATGAATCGGGCGTACACTGAAGAGACCATTTGAAGACATCACGCACTAGTCAAGGCCCTCGAATGGAACCCAAATGGGATACGATGAGTTGGGCGTATGAGGGTGACATAGAGGAGATCGTGTGAAGAAGAAATGAAAGCTTCTGAGCAGTGGTGTGGAGCCAGGTCCCAAAGATTGCAGAGAGGAGAGTGAAACGGCGATGTGCTACTGAAGCCCTATGTTCCCTTAGGAACCTAAGAGACAAATAATAATAACTTCACTCAGATACAGTCACTTGTTTGCATTTGGATAACTCTTGTGGTGCTGATTTCCTTCCGACAAATTTTTGTTCACCCGAAGAATTTTAAGTCATATCACAACGACTGATAAGCACCTTTATGTTATCAATAAAGTGATGAATTATTACGTAGTCGAATTGTCCTACCTCCTTAAGTTTCCGCCAATCTCTCCCAGCATCGTACTTCGAGGTAGGCAGTGGCTCGGCATGTGCAGATTATGTCCAAGACATCTCAATCAATGAAGGTTCACAACCTAATCAATCGACTTGCTCAGTACCTTTCGCTTGACTTCATCATTACTCACACGGTCATTCCACCAAACACGAACAATGCTACGAAGATACCTCAGATCAAGGACTTCAAACCGCTTCATATACTTTCATTTAAACAGCCATGCCTGGTAACTTCCTAACAAGACATAGCAAACTGCAGCGCAGCATATTTGTCCTTTATTAGGTAATCAGATATCTAGCCAGCGGCAGCTCAAGGTGTTCAGAAGACTCTCCATCTTGTTTGCGTATTCCAGGTCCACTAAAAATTCTCCTGTGATTAGGTTAATCCCTGTGTAGTTGGATGTCGAGAAGGAGACCACCATAAGAGCGTCTATGATAAAAGTGAATTGGAATGGAGAGGGTGGGCATCCTTGAAGGGCACAACTCACCTGAAAACTCATCACAAGCTCTAACACATACGGTTATTCAAGTGAAGAGCCTTCAGCACAGAGATGTGCTTACCTGATATCTTTTCCAGTGAGGAACATCGCCATGAGACCTCTCGATCGACAGAAAAGAGTGCCGCCATCAGGTCAATAAATACAGCTATTGTCGGGCGTCGGTAAGCCTGCCTGTGTTGCAGAACCTGATGGAGTATGAACATTTGATAGATACACCCACGCCCAGGTCTGTAGCCCATCTGGCGCTCTCAGGCTTGTTGTTACCGATCTCCATTCAGAAGTTTAATAATTATAGAACCTAGAATGTTAGACATTATGTTCGTCAGGCTGACTCCTCTGTGGTTATCACAAAACGACTTCTCGCCTTTTTAGGAAGACTGAGATAATCAATGATTGTGACCAGTCAGAGGGAATCCTATCTGACTGCAACACACTAGTTAGTACTTTAGATTAGTTGACTAGTATCACTCTACCACCGTCCTTATATACCTCAGGAACTAGTCCTTCTGGCCCCGCTGCCCTTCCTCGTTTCTAGTGACCTACCGTTTTCTAGAATGCTGCTGGTTTTAGGGGGCCTATCTAAATGTTCCATTCAGATTCCGACGGGATAGCGAGGAACGCAATAGTAGCTGGAGGCCAGTTGAACTGTTCCTCGAAGTGTTCCACCCATCGTCCCAGTGGTTTCCCTTGTGAATGAATCGCAGACGCATTATTCCCCGCCTTAGTCTTAATAACCGTAGACCTTTTCGCCTCAATTTTCTCAATAAGTCTTAATAAATCTCTTCTGTTACAACTCATTTGAAGTACAAAAATGTTTTCCTGTCTCCAATACTTCTTGAAACGTCTCTTAAAACTTTTATTAATTGATTGTACTGTACTGCTAAAAATCTACAGAGGTAATAACATCATCACACAGATCGGCATGTTTATAAATCAAGAGTTTAGAGTATTGATGTTGTAAGACAATCCTCTGCTATTTCCACTAGTCACTTTGCATTTCATTTTTGAGAGATCACTGTGAATTTAAACTTGTATATACATGATGAATACTAGTTTATCTGGTATTTTATGAATATATCATCTGCTCAGATTTGTGTTTTTAATTAAGTGCAAACTAAGACAAGTACTAAATCACACACATTTCAACTCCATGTTATGCATCAAGCAGAGATACAATAATAAAACTTAGATTTATTTCAACTGTAATCCAACTTTATCAAATTCTTTTATAGGTAAGTAGTCTGTCAAATAGTGTGGTGCTGCTTGGTTTAGCAAACATAAAAACATAGAGGATAAGAAAGAAAAAGTCAAAATTAGGCAGTAGATTTCTCTTTCTCCTTTAAATTTTTGTACAACTGGCATACACCCTTTGAATCTGCAGTCAGTATACCGACAAAATCTAATTTATCCATTTGTGTGCGTTGACGCTTTGAAGACTTCAAGTATTCGATAAACGTTGACCGATTAGCTGGAATACATAGGAAAATGCAGACAGAAAACAAAACTGTTATAATGACAGAAAAATATGCAGATTAACAATAAATCCAATTCAAAAACAGAAACAATTAGTGAGAGGTTCGTTTCGTCCTACTTAAGACTCGTCAGCTGGATGTGCCCACCTCCCAATGAACGATATTCCTTCCACTAAGACTCAGACACAGTGGATAACGTTTTGACATTCGAAGCGGTCAGTAATGGATGAGGGTCATAATGGGAACAACACCACTCACTGGAGTGCAAGCATATCCAGCTGACGACACCCGAATAGGACAGAACCCGTATCCTGGATCCAACTGCTAACCAACAAATATTAAGGCAATATCGAAGCACCGGGATCGGGAAATTAAAAGTAACAAAACCATGAACAGTAAAAGCTGAAAAGTAAAACAATCTGAAATTACACTTCATAGATCCAATGCCTTCAAAATCATTTTTATTTACCGACACTTGAAGAATCACTTCCAAACCACTAGTCATAGTTCACACGAATCTGCAACTTGAAAACAACTTTCAAAGAATAGACTCTAGGAGAAAAGCAGAGGTTGATTTCATCTGAATTATATGGGTAAAATTCATCGAACATTCCCAACTAACCCTACCAGTACGGTGGCAATATGTAGATGCCACATTCACAGTTTTGAAATCACAGTAAAAGATACAGTTATCAATTAAAAACCCTAACAACTTTTACTAGAATTGTTACAACCAATATGTTCAACTCTACTAAATTTGTAATACTGAACATTAGATGACTAGCGAAGATGCATAGTTAAACATTACAGATAATATTATGAACATCAATCAAAACACAGAAATGACTCCTCATTTAGACAAAGACAGACACACTGACTGACTGACTGACAGAAACAACCTATAGCTTCCCACACAAGTGTGTCGCTTCAAGTTCCAACAACTCACAGTAGCATACAAACAACATGTAAACAGAAACACACTGATATCAAAACACACAATGTTGGTTGACATAATAACCACTTCGAAAATAAACATCAGTGAAAATGTCAACCACTCAATACATATGAACCACTGCTACCCACCCACTTTCACCCATCCCAATAAAATATCTCAAATAACAATTCTCATCTTCTCAACGAACCCACTCACGTAGTCCACACACCTCGAACTAACAATCAAAGAAAGACTTCATCCACTTGTCCCACGTCTCGATAGGGTCACCCTCAAACCTCTCAAAACCTACTCCAACTTCCCTCACCATCGCAGCACGTTCAGGTAGGCAGTGACTCCGCATGTACAACACATGTCCTAGTCAAATAACCTCAGTGACTCAAAATCTACAATCTCGTCGACTGACCTCCTTGTCTTGCATAATACCTCTCACCTGAGCTCTACATTGCTCACATAATGATCCCACCGGACGTGAGCATTGCTATGAGAACACCGATAGTGAAAAAGCTGTAGTATTTTCATATCTTCTGCTCTCAACGGCTATATCTCAGTAAGTTTAACAAGACAGAACGAACTGTAGCGCAGTACACTCATTTTTCACGGGTGCTGGTGATTGACTCTGCTTTCGCACTTGGGCGTTAACGTCAGTTGCCTGACATTATGACTACATATGAACGTTTTGCTTTATGATGCGAAACTGACAGCTTCTCAGAATTCATCTTTTACATCATCCGAAATGCACCAGTAGGTGATGTAGACAAAGATTACGAATAGGCATCTATTTGTGTGACGATCTTTCCTAGTTCTCATAGACCCATTAACTTGGTACTCAGACGGAGTGCGCTCTCTCTGCTCTACAATTTATTGCTTCGCCTACACCAGTGAATACACAAGAGCCAGCTACTGAATCTCTGGACACCTATAGGATGGATTTTGAAGATTCACCAGATTGGCTATGAAGGTCAAGTGAGTAACCACACTTGGGTCCTGTATATGTGTCTCAAAGACATCATACATTCATGGCTCATGACTCCAGAGTTCTGGTGAGCGATGCTTGCTGCCTGATTCGACATAGAGTCCGGACGTTGAAAGCTCCTACATGAGATCGATGGCGGGGTTCTAGACGATGGTGGCATTAGTCGCAGAGTGAGAGGTTGAGGAAGTTGTATGAAGGTTAATATTCCAGGTCATCCGTGTGAAACACCTTAATTCTATCACACTCTATCCAAACAGCAGTACGATTTCCCCCTGGAATACCCATCATAGTTTTCGAATTTACGCTATAACAGTAACTGATTTTCGTTTAATCGCTATTTAATACACCTTTCTGGTGCGATAGGACCTCGAGGTAACAAGCACTGCAGCCAGTTTAGTTGGCTGGGTCATTGCGATATGCAAGCCCGACCACCACTTCAAAGTAGCAGCTATCTGTCGAGTAGTCTTCATTTAAATTATTTTTTTCCTGGAAACAACGCTGAAAATGAGGATCAACTATGGGAATAGTGTTTAATTTGCCACATCTTTTCGGAACACAAGTGAAAAAAAAATACCTCATTCTCAGACTTACCAGGTTCAATCATCACCATGACTTTAGAAGATTGGTTACTGGAAGAAGTTCTAGAAATTAGAATCAAAATGAGAAATCATAAAAATTTCAGAGTATTAATAGTAAAATGAGGTACTTAGATGTCTTTTTCATGCTCTCCTAGAAACACTTTCACCTACAAAACATTCAAAAAACTGTTACATACTGACAGCATGTATTTTCACCTAACAACATATCATAGTCACAGTCTAGAGACTCGTAACACCTCAGATATTCGTAAAAAAGTCCAAAACCACATTTACTTACCAAACTAGTTTTAACTGTATTTTTTATGAAGGAATTTGTTTGAGTAGAGAATAGGTCGTTAGAATATAAGATTGGATCTGCCTACATTCACCATAACAGTATGTAGATGTTAGAAGCAAAACTTAGTCATTGTATTCAATATGAAAAAAAACATCACATGTTAATAAACAGCTATGCGTTGTAGAATACCGCTTTTTAAAACATTTTTCAGGATTTTTTGTAGGTTATCTGACATACTTTCTAAGTAAGCTGTTACTTCATGTCTCCAATGTATATCTTTGCCAAACCCACAGGCCTACTAAGGTACTACTGCTTACACTGAATATCTGGTGAAATAATATGTTGGTATTGAAAGTTTCTAAACAATTAAAGTCAATTAAGTAGTTAAGTTGAATTAACCAAGTGTAACGTGACTAGATGGATAAAGGCATAGTTCAATTGTGGTGCCCGCTTTAGACCTTTGATTACCTAGTTTTCCCATGGAATATACTGCACCAAAATAACTCCTTTCTATGTCGTTTTAATTAGTTTTCCCTTATCATTGGGTCACGAGAATCTTCATACTTATCAGCTGAATTCCCAAAGCTTGCAATTCAACTCCATCCGTTTACCTCTGAGCAGTTTCACGCACTGTTTACTCTCCCTCTCTTCAAAGTACTTTTCAACTTTCCCATACGTACTTGTCTGTCATAGAACTCGTGTCAGTTTTTAGCCTTGGATGGAGCTTACTGCCCACTTTAAGCTTCATTTTCAAACAACCCGACTTCAAAGTTAGCACTGAGTAAAGCTTTTATCATTTATCTCTACTCCCCCCCCCTCCCACGAGCCTTTCACCCTCTGCGGGCCAGAATAGTAAGTCGAATTCATTGTTAGACATGAAACAGAGCGCTTATGCCGGGAACTAATCCCGTCTTGACAGTATACTAGTATCAGTGTTCATAAATGACTCTAGCGTATATAGAGCCTGTAAAAAAGAGTTCCACTGATGAATACTGACCTCTGTATCACAGATGATTTATTCAAAGTCTGTGGCAAATTACACAATGTGACCTTTGCATACCTTTCCAAGAAAGTGCAGTACAGATGCTGTTCACAATGTTCGAGAACTACACTGTAAGAAACAAACACAGATACATTTGTGGATGAAGTTTTAGACAACACTATCATTAATACTATAAGCTATTTTAGATCCCATCTTGATATTTGCAGCCCTGGTGAAACAATTATTAGGAGATTTGATAGACTTTCTTCTCTGCCTTTGAAGAAGTTCTGACGAGAAAAGAAAAGGTTGTGTACGATGAACGAATTAGGAGTGTACCGTCCAGAACCTATCCAGCTGTGAGACTCGTCTCACTGAATCAAACAACATGTACAATCACGCAATCCAGAGTAGACTTTTGTTAACCTCAAATGTACTTATTACTCCACGTGTACATATGGAAGCAAGTACGTAGGAAGAAAAGAGAGAAGGCTGTCTTACCACAATCGCCGAGCACATACCCCAGAGCCTACTTTTCACAAATACATCCTCATTTAACAGTGAAATAGCTAGTCACTTACATGATAAGGAACACCAAGAAGATGCGATGAAGTTCTTCATAGAAGTCAATAGACTACACGCTTACCTCAAATTGCAGAACTTGTCACTATTGGACGAGTACAACCCGAACTATGTGTACAAAAGGAGACGGTTATCAATATATTAGTGATGTTTTTCATCCTCCTACTACTTTCAAAACATTTTTAATGCCTTCATTATTCCTATTCCCATTAATACTGACCACCGTTTTATTATTACTGCATTTGCTACCATTATGACAATCTTATCTCATGCACTGAAGCCCATAAAAGAAGCGTTAATAATTATTAATTATCTACTAAGGTTAATTTCGAAATTTCTACGAACACGTAAGAAATGAAACACTAACAGTAACATGAGTACGAATAATGACGATAATACGTGAAGAAAGGTCACAGAGTCCATTGTGTTACCATAGAAAGAAGAAACATCAGAAACTCTATGTAGGATTCTCAACAAAGCTGGAATTAAGGTGGCATTTGAACCAACAAACTCACTCAGAGATAAGCTTTGTCCCCTTAAGGACCCAATAGATACAATTAAGCAGAACAAACTAATCTATCAAATTCCATATAACGTCTCCGAGGTCAACTACATAGGTCAAACTAGCCGATCGATTAACGGAAAACAGGAATTTAGCTATAAATATAGAATGACAGACCTGAATAAGATCAATAAAACACTCGAGTATTGCAATCCATCCATTAACAACCAACCACACAATAGAATGGGTGAGATAAAACCACCCTACTTAAATCCAAATATAATTAGGTAGAGAGAGAGAGAGATTGATTACTGAATCTTTGTTCATTGAATCAATACCCGAAACATGTAATGGAAATGACGCAACTCCCGGGGATATAGAAAATTCTACTACCAATAAAAAACTCATATGAGGTGACAGCACTATAAAAACCTGATGTCGAAAGGAGTATGATTACACTGATATGATTCTGAGCAGTAATTTATGCTCAAAACGTCATCAAGTAAATAATACTATATCGCTGTGTGTTATAAATCAAATTGGATATAGAACCACTTATCATTTTGTCAAGATATTTTCACATGATTGCGCAACCGCTTACACTTACTCCTAAACTTATCTCACTCATTATTATTATTGTTATTGATGGTACTACTGTAGAAAGTAAGTAGAATATTATCTATCTTGGACTGTTTTCCCATCGATCTGTCTCGGTCATCTCATATTTTGCTGACCTCCAATAAATCTTTTGTTGAAAATATTACATAAGGGAACTTAGATTTTCAGGCATGATTCAGGAGCTAATGTTACAGTTTATTGATTACTGTGTAGTGCCTATTCTTTCTTATTGTTTCCCGTTAGACTTTCCTGGTCAGCTAAAAAAAAGACTATTGATGACATATCCTTGTTATATATATAACCCTGTGGTGGCTGGTTCGAATCCGGCTGCAGTCCAGATTTTCATCTCACCTTCAATCATCACCCAGTATGAATACTACCCTGACAAACTACGGCTATCTCAGATAGTCAAATGATTATATATATATATATATATATATATATATATATATATATATATATATATATATATAAAAGAGTGAACACTTGAACAATAATCTTTAGATCCCACCCCCTGATAGTCCCTCGATTCCTCGATAAATATAAAAAGCGCTAAGATGACAAGAAGTGCAATGCAACATCAAAATATGTATTTAAAAAATACAATGGTTTGTATGTGTCTACAATGGCCTTGACTATTCTAGGCCTCTCTGGAAGGGTATAGTTTATTGATTTTCCCTTTTTAACCAGTCTGATATTTATAAGATGTGTTTTTTCGCGAAACTTCGTAACAAAATGATTGGTTGTGGAGGCCTTCAGGGATTAGGAGCTTCGTATAAGGATCTGGGGAATCTTACTGTAAACTATAACAATCGCGTAATGTTTTGAAAGATGTCAGTAGAGTTGGTGACGTGCATCTGCCTCCGCTGATTGACATCAAAATCGACAAGCACTTAAACTAACGTAGATAACTAGCTACAATCACTTTAGCAGACAGTGAGCATCTTGTTCATTTATAGCTCTCTCTTTGTATCTTCACAGGGGAGGAAAGAAGCTATTACAAAGATTCAACTGTAATTTATCTAGTATGCGTTTTATATGAAGGGAAATACGTTAGAACAGAACTTAGTCATCAACTTGTCAATGGTAAATGATACTACTATTGGAAATGTTATAAAGGGATCAATTTTTGTTGCAACACTACACGCTGAGAATTTCAAACGGTATTAAAAATATTGTCTGGAATAAAGTGATTATTATTATTATTAGTTTCAGGAACTATATAAACTTCAAAACTCTCTCCCCTTTCTTCTCGTTAACACTTGAAAGTTGACTTTGAAGTTCTGTTCATCTATCTTTGTCAGTAGTTTTCCTAATGCATCAGATTAGTTCAATGAGAAACTAACATCACAACTGTGGTACACATATCTGGAAGCCTACAACTCGCCACACCAAAAAAAAATCAATGACCACGAGACTTCATATAAGGAAAAAAAATACGGTAAATACAAGTAGTCTAAACATAACTGAGACAGTTTACGCTGGTCTACAAGTTACTGTTTGCAGACAAGAAAATGAATGAAGTGTGCGTAGCAAAATTCCAAGTTGCGACAATATAGTTAGAGAATTTCGCTCAAATCATTCATTAACCCAATGCGGCTTTTTAAAAAAATGGCAATTTTGTCGTCTACCTCCTCTAAAAATCGCCTTCGTAACAACAAAAATCACCAACTAAGTTGTTTTTATATCAGCCAGCATGCTAATTCTTCCAAACAGATACATCTAAGCAGTAATTTCAGTAGTTGCTAAAGTGATCTTTGAAGTCATTCTTATTACATTCATTCTAAAAAGCTTCCGTTCATGAATTTGGAATTTAAAGATGGAGCAACACCAGTCATCCTAAGAAAATCTCTTTCTAGATCAATTAGTAAGACTGTCCTCACAACCAAACTTCATTTGAATTTCAATACTCGTAAATTGTTCTGCGTTTGTGTTGAAGACAATATCCCTCGACAGGCCACTTACATATGTATCTACCGATTCACCTGCTTCTATGGAGCAACGTACATCGGTCGTAGTAAGAGATTACTGTCAGCACGTATACGAGAACATATTTCAGCCTGGTTTTATAAGTTTGTAAGCAAATCCATTTGAAGTTCTTTCATTGTACATTCAATCGATACCAACCATTCAACCGACTCTAACAGTAATTTTAAGCCTGTCTGTCTAATTCCCTCAAACATCTCACGTTCCCCCTGTCTTCAACTTCGATAAACAGCAGAGAATTCGGTTATCAGTGAACTCCAGTCTAACCTTTATGCGCAAAAAAAGTATGTACAGTCTTCGCTTCTACATTAGCCTCAACTTATTTTGGTCTTGATGTATCTCATTCCCTTTGTTTTTTTAACTCCCCATTTCGTTAAATTAATCTTTGTACTCTTAAACTGCCATTATCATTTTCATTTTTACATTTAATTGTATCCCCCTTATAAACTATTCTTAAGAAAATCTTACTTAACCCCTTTCAGTCATCATTCAACATTCACCTCATCAACTAGCAACATTATTATAACTAATAACTACTATTAATGTTATTTCAAACTCTCATTATACAAGTTAAATCTTCCTCACAGATTGCAGTCTTTAAATATCATATCTATGTACATGAATATACAGCTTGAGAATAAATTCGTTGAGAAAGAATCCTCTTCACTGAATATTTTGTTTTTGATTTCACTCTTATTGTTTGCGATGTTGATAAGTGGTTCATAAATATAAAAAACCAGCGGTATATTAATACATTTTATCAACGACCAATTGCATGGAATCAAAAAAGTAAAATCATACCCTAATTATAAAACCTTAAAATGAATGACATACTTTTGATGCATTTGATTGGTATCCTTAGAATCATGAACATCTGTGCATACACGAAGACGATCACATAACATTGTCAAACTTTTCATGGTTGTAGTCAGAGTAGGCAGAATTGTTGAGTCAATCATATCTGTTTGATCACAAGCAACAGTTTTTGCTAAACGAATCATTTCTGAAAGATTCAATGAAGTCAATTCACCTCCATTGGAACGAATTAGTTCATTTGATGCAATACTTTTTGAAGAATTTAGAGTCTGTAACCAAAAATTACGAATTTGTTCATGTTCAGCTGATATATCACTGTATAAAGAAAGAATATAGTCGAATTCTGTAGCCATTGCTATTGCTTCAGCTTGTAATGCAGGTGCAACAGGCAAGGAAGATCCAGAAGAACCTCTAGAAATCAAAAAGCAGTAAATAAAAAAAGATAGCTGTTTCGTTTAGGTTTTCCAACTGATGTCAGTTCGTTATGAATATCAATCAACATTTTCAGTCATCAGTTGCTAAAGGTAAAAGTTATGGATTTTTATTTTATGCCACTGTGTGGTTAAGAAAAACTTGGTTGGACAATTTTGTCCTACAGCTGACCAATCAAAATAAGTTATTGAACTTTTGATCTAGTGCTTTTATGTATTCATGAACACTATATATTAAATGATGTACTTTCGGTGAATAAAGTGTCTTGCTTACTGTCATAAGGTGGTCACTTTAAAATCAATAAATCCTCATAAACCTCCGAATTGAATCGCTATCCATTAAATTAACATTCATGAAAATTTTCCTTCAATCTACTTTAATTTCACCGGTTAGTTTAAAATTTTGCCACATCATTTGAAGCTGCAATTTACGTGATAAACTATTATCCAGTAATAAAATTTGTTAGGTATTTCCATTTTGTAATATAACTGCACTGCATCTTAATATTAATTTAACAATGGCTTTCATTATTCTTTTCTTAAATCATGGTATTTATTATCTTTTACGTCGAAAGGATTCATTTAAGAAGAACTATTGTTCTAATAACCCTTGCATTAGTTACTTGCTGACAATTCTTCTTCTAATTGAAAAAGAAATGTTTTCAGTTCATGTTCAAGTTTGAGCATTAGCTAAAACCTTTAAGCTGAAATTTTCATGATAAATGAAGCTGTTCAAAGTCGAAGTGATGCTGGTGACTAATCCTAAAATTATAAAAAACTAATAAGATGATTGCACACTGTTGTGATCAGTCCCATAGAACAACAATAGGAGATATGCTCTCACTTGACATCAACATCTTGCGAATTAATATCTATTTGATTGGAAAAGAAAAACTGTAAGTTTTCAAAAAGAATCTAAATGTACACAGCATTCATTTGCACATTCTTCCAGTAAGGCAGCGAGCCTCACTTATTATAAGATAACTAATGATACTATCAGATCGTCTAAGCCTTAGCAGGTGAACTAATGTTCGAACCCAAGGTCCACTTTTGGAAATTAATAGCCTAAACCAGTGAGTCATTTCTGTAAACAACATCGCACTACCCTTTCTTTCATTTACTACTAATTAAATTGCTACTGGTTATTTTTTTGGACATTCCGAATCCAGTAATTTATGTCGTGAGTGTAGTTACGGGAAGTATTTTAGGTTAAAATGCTGTGTTACAGTTGAGCATAATAACATGAGAACGAGAAGAATGAAACATGTCTTCAATGATAGCTTTTACTATGTCAATAACAATTAAAAAAATCCACCAACCAAAACGTTGGTGTATGCATAAATGAGGAATAAATGATTGGCTTAGCAGCAATGAAATGACCAATGAGAAAAATAAGTTAAAGGTTGGTTGGAGGTGACCGACAGAGAGCCCTGTCCAACCTAGGTTTCGTGCTTGTTGGCACTCGTCAGCAAGGTATATCTGCAACCTTGGGGAATTTATGTCCTCTCTGACATTCAAATAATGGGGATGTTGAAAAGAATATACATTCATAATTCCCATTGTGATATCAAAAAACAAAATGTTCAGTGAAGAGGATTCTTTCTCAACGAATTTATTCTCAAGCTGTACATTCATGTACATACATATGATATTTAAAGACTGCAATCTGTGAGGAAGATTTAACTTGTATAATGAGAGTTTGAAATAACATTAATAGTAGTTATTAGTTATAATAATGTTGCTAGTTGATGAGGTGAATGTTGAATGATGACTGAAAGGGGTTAAGTAAGATTTTCTTAAGAATAGTTTATAAGCGGGATATAGATTACAAAGGGATTGAGAACGTGGTAGAGTTAATAAGCAAGCAAAGGATTAGGTTAATATGAATAAATAGAAAATGATTTTTTAGATGAATGGGGATTTTTAATTCAGAGGTAGTATTTATCATGGACTGATATCAGTTGGGGAATCATTGGAAACCTGGGAGCACTGGACAGCCGTTTCGTTCTACAATGGAACTCCTCAACAGTACGCACCCACGACACGGCTAAGGATCGAACTCAGGAGTTTCAGGTTTCACGGCGAACGCGTTAACCATTCAGCCACTGAGTCGGAGTTCAAAGGTTCACAATTTCCAACCTCTGTCAAATCACAATATGATGCGACTATCACCCAAAGTAGCATCCACTTAGCATCCACTTCACTTATGACTGGTTGACCCCACAGGTCATGGCTTCTCATTACAGCTTCGTGATATCCATCTGGAAGCATGCTATATGGTGAATTGACAGAAGTTGGAAATTCTGAACCACTGAACTACGACCCAGTAGCAGAATGGCTAACGCGTTCACCATGAAACCTGAAGGTCCCTGAGTTCGATTTCTAGCCGTGTCGTGGGTGCGCGCTTCTGAGTCCCATACTAAGAAAAAACAGCAGTCCAGTGCTCCCAGGTTTCCAATGGTTCCCCAACTGATGTCAGTCCATGATGAATACCACTTCTGAAAAGTTCCTATTTTTAGGAAGATCAAATGAAGTAGTTTCACCGGAAACAATTAAATGTTAAAATGAAAATGATGATGGCAATTTAAGAGTACAAAGATTAATTTAACGAAATGAGGAGTTGAAAAAACAAAAGGGATTGAGGCACATCAAGACCAAAATAAGTTGGGGCTAATATAGAAGAGATCAACGCAGACGAAACCAATAAAAGATAATGACAGAAATTTAATTACGAAAGAAGAGAAACAAAGAAAACAATGGGCCGACCACTTCAAAAAGCTCTTGAATCGACCACCACCACCACCACCTGCACTTCGTCCACAAATACCACCTGCAGCCCAGCCGCTGAACTACAAGTGAACATAAATCCTCCAACAAAAAAGGAAGTCGTGAACGCCATAAAGCTACTGGAATGTGGGAAAGCAGCAGGACCAGATGGAATCCCACCAGAAGCACTGAAAACAGATGCAGAGACAACAGCAGACATGCTCACACCACTATTTCAGAAGGTGTGGAAGGAAGAGAAGGTACCTGGCCATTGATTGGAAGGAGGGTTACCTTGTCAAGCTCCCGAAGAAGGGAGACCTCAGTGTTTGCGAGAACTGGCGCGGAATCACTCTCCTGTCCACCCAGAGCAAGCAAAATATTAAGCCGCATCATCCTGGAGAGGCTAAAGGATGCACTGGATTCAAAACTACGACCGGAACAGGCAGGCTGACTGGCTTCAGGAAGTACAAATCATGTGCAGACCAATTTGCAACGCTTCGCATCATCATAGAACAGAGCATAGAATGGCAGTCAACTGAATCTTCACTTCAACTTTATCGACTTGGAGAAGGCCTTTGACAGCGTCGACCGAGAGGTGACTTGGAAAGTGCTTCAATACCACGGAATACCGCAAACCTTTATCAGCCTCATTCAACAAGTTTATGAAGATGTCACATGTCAGCCAAGTAATTCACAATGGGAAGCTCAGTGATGATTTTGAAGTGAAGACAGGAGTGAAACAAGGTTGCCTACTATCCCCCATGATATTCCTGATTGTCGTCGACTGGACTGGATCATGCAGCAAACAGTAGGCAGCGAGAAGAGGGGGATACACTGGACTGCGGAAAAGAACCTAGAAGATTTGGATTTCGCCAACGATGACTTGTGTCTGATGTCACATAAACTTGAAGATCTACAGGCGAAAACTAACAAGTTGACAGAATAGGCAGCTAAGACGGGACTTCAGGTGAATATACAGAAGACGAAAGTGATGAAGATACCGCACCAACAACTCCAACAACAACAACAACAACAACAAACTCCAGTCAGCGTGAACGGGAGAAACTAAAATGAAGTAACCTCCTTCACCTATCTCGGAAGCATTGTTTCAACTACGGATGGGACAGACGAGGATGTCGAGGTCAGAATCGGAAAAGCAAGACAGGCGTTCATTAGCCTGAAACCAGTGTGGAGATCTTCTGCATTCAGCATAAAGCGTGAACAAGATCCGGATTTTCAACACCAACACCAGTCAGGTCAGTGCTTCTGTATGGTTCAGAGACTTGGCGCGTTACGAAAGGCATTCCCAACAAACTACAGACATTCATCAACAACTGCTTATGCTGGCTCGTTACTGAAGATCAGATGGCCAGAATAATAAGAATAAGCAACAAGGAACTCTGGGAACGAACCAACCAAGAACCTATCGCTCAACAAATATGCACTGGAAGGAAGTGAAGATGGATTGGGCATATACTGAGAAGGCCAACTGGGGACATCACGCATCAGGCCAGTCGCTCGAGTGGAACCTCGATGGAAAGCGATGAGTTGGGTGTCCGAGGTGAGGGTGACATGGAGGAGATCATGCGAGGAGGAAATGAGAGTTTGTGGGCTGTCGTGGAACCAGGTTCAAAAGATTTCAGAGAACAGAGTTTACTGGAGATGTGCTACTAAAGCCCTATGTTGCATTAGGAACCCAAGGGACTAATAATAATAACAATAATGTAGAAGCGAAGACTGTACATACTTTTTTTGCACATAAAGGTTAGACTGGAGTTCACTGATAACCGAATTCTCTGCTGTTTATCGAAGCTGAAGACAGGGGAAACGTGAGATGTTTGAGGGAATTAGACAGACAGGCTTAAAATTACCGTTAGGGTCGGTTGAATGGTTGGTATCGATTAAGTGTTCAATTATTATTATAACAACGATCACCACTATTTAATCCCCCTCCATTATTTAGTTTAAATCTTCTTCATAGATTACAGTCCTTATATATATCAAAGTTTGAAAAATATATTTCAACTTCATGAAAATTAAGGTCATATGTGGCCCTAGATAATGGGTAAGATCTGATTTCAGAAATGGTATCCTCAGTACAATGATGGAAAATACTTGTATAAACAGTGTTTTAAGCAGAACAATTTACCGAAAATCCATAGAACCCCTATAGGCTTACCGTTTTAACGTTGTTTTTCCTGAATCGGACAGACAGACATGCTGTTTTATTGAGTTTACAATATTTACTATTGCTTCCTCACAGGCGGATACTTCACTTAGTTCCAAATATTCTTTAGGCAAATGTTCGAAAATAGGATTGGCTAGCTATAATGACAATAATTGTAATAAACTATAATGAAAATCAAAATATTGGTCTTAAAAATCGTCTGACAGATAATTCACAAAGATATGTATCCAGTACGTAATAGATCATTAAGGCATTATTTATCATGGACCGATATCAGTTGGAGGACTATTGTAAAACCACGGAGCATTGGACAGCTGTTTTGTCTTAGTATGAAACTCCTCGGCAGTAGGCACCCACAAACCTGAAGGTCCTAAGTTTGATTACTGGCCGGGTGGTGGGTGCGTACAAGGCATATCAAGTTCAACTGAAAGTAATCAGAACGCTATTTAGTAGGCACTAGGAGACAAAAGTATGGGTTAATAAAACATCAGATCTAATTAGATTTCCCATTCTCAGTTAATCCTTGGACACAATAATTTATGACTATATTTCAACACATCTGCACTATAAAATGGTTGTCTAGTGCGGAAAAGTAGCACAATCATGATATAGGTGCTGATCAGTGAAATCATTGGTCGCTCCTACAAACTGTGTAGAGAACGACAGGATTCGATAGTTTCTCAAGTCATTTTATGATTTGCAATAATGAACCAACGAACAAGACAGAATCCTAGTTCCACCTCATCCCTTAACAGAATGGTAGTGCAACGTTGCTAAGAATGCTAACCATCTGACAGTCATCACATACTAAGAAAATAACTTTATTCGTGTACCCTTCACATTACAAAAACGATTGTCTTCGGTTTTACTGATCACCAAAATCACAAGAAACAGGAATTCTAGTCTAAACAACTCGACTGGGATAGAGCGACTATTATTATTATTATTATTATTATTATTATTATTATTATTATTATTATTATTATTATTATTATTATACTAAACTGGATCACTGTGACGGACAAGTCTAAACACCAGAATTATGAAACCAATGCATTATTTTTTATAACCTAGGAAGCTTCATCATATGTGGTAACGGTTGTTGACTTTCAGAGCTTAGGAATTTAGAAAGCAGAGAACATTTGCAGTTCAGGATGAGGATGACAATTCTTCGGTATTCTCCGACCTGTGAGGTTTGTTCTTGAACGTTTTTTCACCAGGCTAAGCGACTTCATCCACATTTACTTCATACATAAGGGAAGCATTTTTAAGTCCCATATATGTTCATAAAGGATATTTACCGACCTTGATCGTTATTGGTTTGTGGATAGGCGGTGACCTGCCCTTCTTTTTATCAGAGGCTGGTCATCATAATGGTTGTTGTCGTCAGATTTATGTTGTTGAACTAGTGTCTGATTATTAACTTGATTGACTCCCGTTGGTTGATCTTTTCTTAGTAGTCCATATGTGACAGTTGATTGCTAACTGATTAGAGCACCATGCTTCCAGGAACTCTCCTGCAATTTTTGAGTTTGCTTATGGTGGTATTTTCACTTCTTCCCGGTCAAAGTTGTGGCCGCGTCCACCTACATGTATCGATATCAATGACGATTTATCACGTCATTTGACTCCAAGATGGTGCTCATAAGTTTTTTGGCCTAATCGACAACAGGGTTGGCCAACAGGCTAACGTTGAAAGTCTTTGTGTTGTCTTCTTTGGGTAGTGGATCCTTTAAATTACATAATATGTTCTTCAGGGGCCTGGTTGGTTTGCATGCGACGCCGATACCAAATGGATGAAGTAATCGGTTCACAGTTTCTAAGACACCTTTGATGTATAGTAAAATAAATTCGTTTTTGTAGGCTGAGGTAACTGTCCTGATGCTTGTTATGTTTATAGGCATTTCTTGGTGAAATTGACTGGATAGTGATTGGCTGAGAACACTTCGTAAAGCTGGTCTGACTTCCGCAGTTGTTGAGTGCTGTAATGAGTCTTGGCACATGCGAATAACGTTTGTGCACAACTCTCCCTATAAGACGTTGGGTTGTTACTGTTTTAGTTCAAAACTTAATCTATGTGTGTCACCTTCCTGCACACCTGAGTTCCTAAAATTCCATCATGGGTTCTTCTGATAGGCACATCTGGGAACGCAATTTCATTATTTTCTTCTTCTTCTTCGTCTTCTGTGAATCGAATACTTTCAACGCTTTGATGATGACAACGCAGTGTTTTATAAATTACTCGTCCCGATTATTAGAAAAATGTCGCTTATTTCATTCAAATTCTAATTAGATTGCATCAAAATATACTTCTTTACCTGTCAAAAGCTACCCTTTCCTCCAAATATTCAAGTTTATGATAATGGAGACGTAGAGGGAAGCACCCGTGTGTATACTATTGACTAACCTTATCCATCGAATCTTAATCATTTCCTTAATATTTATGCAAGTGAATGTTCTACCTGACACCAACCTTGAAAGCCCACTGATACAATGATGGATACATTTTTATGAAATATATGCTATATGATACGTGAACTGTATTGTTTATTCACATTCTACAATAAACATGTTTTTTTTAAGAAAATATTAATCTATATTAAATCTATCCCCATACGAGTGTGCACGTTTTTCATTTCATTTTGCAAAGTTTAAAACATTCAGCCACCTAAGTCAACAACAATGTTCCCCTCAAGATAGATTCATATACCTCTCTATTTTAACAGATATTTAGCCCCTCAAAAAGTGCATACCAAGAATAAAAATGCATTTTTCACTTTGGTCATATAGAATAGGCAATCACATAAAATAACCTTCTTATAATATCTGTAGAGATTGTGGTAAGATTCATTACTGTTATGTTTGACCTTGAAAGGTTTACTTATCAGTTAGTTATTCCTTGGAGTTGCATAACAAAATCATGAAAACAACACACACACACACACACACCAAGATCATATGAAATCAAACAAATCATCAACTTTTGTGCAATCGAAAATAATTTAAAATATGTCGTTTAGAAACTGTGTACACATGTGTTTTAGATGTAGCCACAACTACTGTATGATAGCTAAGACTGGCCACATATTGGTGGGTGGAGTGACGTCTGAGACTAATCCACTATCTAGAAGGTGATGCTTAGTCCAATGGCTTACAGCTTTATGCATATCCAAATACAGTGTATATTGGCCGAAAGACGTTAAGTCACTAAGTCATAGAGAAAATAGTACACTTGGTTTTCAGAATAACCAGCATACTCAGCTCACAGCTGGACATCCTAAATGACAAACCTTCAAAAAGATACTCTGGAACACTGACACATTAATTGTTCACATGGCCTGTGTCTTTACATATTCTCTTTCTTCTGTTTCTTGAGTCTTTTAGATCCAACTTGTTTTAGCTCATTGCATTGTTGTGATATATAAAAGATCAAGTCAATGATTCACTAGTCTATTTCGCTTGAATTAGTCCTAATAATTAGTTCAATTACTTTTAATAAGTGTAAAATGAAAAACAAGGAGTTGAAACCGAAACAGCCATGCCGCCACTATTCATCAAACACTGATTCCTATTGTCCGAGGGACTCCAACAAAGTAGTCTACACCTCCAGCCCCATACAGCTCATATCAACAGTCAGGAACTTCAACGACTGATGCCATGTCTTAGTCTGGCCGCTTTGAGCTCTTTTGTAACTTAATCTAGCTTTTTCTACCACTGTACGCCGAGGTAGGCGCTGGCTTGGCATGCACAATATATGTCTAAGCCACCTCAGTCAATGAAGGTTCCCAACCTCAATATTGCTCACATACTGATTCTACAATACGCGAGAAATGCTACGAAGACATCTGTAATCGAAACCCAGTAATCGTTTTATGTCTTCTATTTTCAACGGACGTATCTCACAGCCGTACATGAGGACAGAAAGGACTGCAGTGCAGTATACTCATCCTTTGACAAATAATCGGATATTTCGCCAGTCGCCACCAGAGGCAACGCAAGTTAGCAAATGCTAGACGAGACTTCTGCATCCGAGCATACGTTTCGTCAGCAACCATCCCACTTGAGCTGATGCAACTCCCCAAGTAAGTGAAATGGTCGACATGGTCCACCACTTTACTCTATATCCTTAAGGTGGGAGTAGTTGTAGACCAGCCCTGAAGCATCATTTTACGTCTGATATGTGCAGAACGCATCCTAAACATACTCAGATCTCTGTTCAACGAGTTCAGAAGACCCTGAGTTGCGTCAGCATCTTCAATGAGCAGAACATTACCATCTGCATACTCCAAGTCAACTAGATAACTTCCAGAGAGTAGGCCAATCCTTGTGAAGTCAGACGTACCTAAGGTTATGTCCATTACTACATCTATGACGATGGTAAATAGGAACAGTGACCGTGTGCATCCCTGCCGGATACCACTAGTTGTCGTCAATTCTAGTGACAACTCTTCATAAAACTTCATATAGTCGCATGAGTTCGAATAGAGAGCTATACACTTGCTCGATACTCCTTTCACGTTCGATATGTATAAAAGAAGAAACAGGATAAAACACGATAAGTCAGTACTGAAATCATTCAAATCACTATTCACTAACCTTATTTTTCCCTAACAACGTCTGTGATTCCATAAGTGGCCAATACCTTGTCTGGCGTTCAATATGCTGTTGAGCTGAATGTAATATGAAGGTTTGCAAAACAAAGTTACGGTTACCACAAATGAAACATAATGGATATATGCCCCATAGGATATGATTTGGTTTACAAAAGCCAAAATGTTAAGTATAAAGTCAAATCACGGAGAGTTTATAAGAAAATCATATTTAGAGGTAGTATTCATCATGGACTGATATCAGTTGGAAAATCATTGGAAACCTAGGAACACTAAACAGCTGTCTCGTCCAACAATGAGACCTTCAGCAATATGCACCCACGACCAGGCTAGGAACTGAACTCAGGACCTTCAGGTTTCACGGCGAACGCGCTAACCATTCAGCCAATGGGTCGGAGTTCAGTGGTTTACAGTTTCCAACTTCTGTCGATTCACGATAAAGCGCGACTATCACTCAAGGTCTTGAGTAGCCATTCACTCTCCTTCCGACTGGCTGACCCCGCAAGTCACGGCTTCTGATTGGAACTTCGTGATATCCATCTGGAAGTATGTCACTAATGAGCACAATACAGTAATGTATTATTGAGATAAGTAGGGATTTTAGTTTTGTGGTAGCATTTATCACGGAGTGACATCCAGTTGGGGAACCATTGAAAACCTGAACAGCTGTACCGTCCTAGAATGGGAATCTAGAATGTGAACCACTGAACCCCGACCCATTGGCTGAGTGGTTAGCGCGTTCGCCGTGAAACCTGAAGGTCCTGGGTTCAACTCCTAGCTTGGTCGCAGGTGCATACTGCTGAGGAGTTCCATTGTAGAACGAAACAGCTGTTTAGTACCCCAAGGTTTTCAATGGTTCCCCAACTGATGTCAGCTCCTGATGAATACTACCTCTAAGTGAAAATCCCCATTTATCTCAAAAAACCATATTTGCACAAAATGTCATAAAAACTGCTTCAAGTCCCATAGCTTTGTATTGCTACTGGTTTGATGGAACGGAACCCTTTGAAGTACAAAGTTTTGATCGATACCAGTATTAATCACTTTATTCCAGACAATATTTTCGACACGGTATGGAATTCTTAACATGTAATATTCCATCGAATTTATTTATTGTACAACATTTTCAAATCAAATAATCGTAGTTTCTAAATAATGTTAATAATAACAGTATTATAAGCAGTAATATGTTAGGCTATGTTTAGGCAGTTGACTTTCAACCAGTGGGTCACAGGTTCCAACCCCGCTTCACTTACCGAGGGTCTAGGCAGTCAGATAGTCTCATTAGCCTTTGCACAACAGATGTGGCTCATTGCCTACTGACCAAAATTGCAAGTGCTTGTTGAGTGATTTTTTTCGGTGTTAGCTTAACGTCCAATCTGTAGGTATATTGTTGAAGGCGGGGACGAATTAAAAAGTGTGCGTCAGTTTGCTGGTAGTGGTTCATCCAACCAGCACGAAAATCTGTAGTTCAAGCTAACAAATTTCAGGAATATTTCTACGATATATTGCTAAACGCTTAGAGACGCATTGCCATTTACAGTGACGTTTTCTACTAATTTTACTGTTAACTCACAAAACAGATTGAAAATATTCTTAAAATGCACAACAGTAAATGATACGACTTAAAGACATCAGAATGATTCAAACAAGTTCAAAAGAAGCAATCTGATGTACAATATTTAGTAGAAAATTTCTGACACCCCAAGGTTTAAGTGTACAAGCCCTAGAGCACACTTAACATGTAATTTCAGGCCGTCTGGTTATAAAATAAAGTAAACAGGTTAGTATTGATACTAAGTGATGATTGAAGGCGGGATGAAAATTCGAGTCACGGTAGGATTCGAACCAGCGATCACCGGGTTTCCGGCCCGATGCTCTACCAAATTTTCATTTCACCTTTAATCATCCGACTGACAGATAAAATCAACGCAGAACCTCAAACACAAGTCCATCAGCTCAAGTTACCACACTTTACGGTAGTACACAAAGAATACATGGGTAGAAAAGGATTGACATTAAAGCAGATAAAGTTGTGTGAGAGAATAAACAATCTGAAAATAAAAGTTAGTGCAAATATTCAAGCTTTAGATGGCAAGGAGGGAATACATCTGTGCCACTGAGACAGATTTTCAACCATGTCACCAACAGTCCTCAACCGCTGATTCCTTTCGTCTCGTGGACCCCAAACAGCCACTCTACATTACTCTACACGACTCAGGTCAACACTTAGAGACTTAGTCGACTGATGTCCCATCTTGGTTTGCCCACCCTGAATCGTCTTCTAATCTAATCCAACTTTCCCTAGCATAGTGAGTCGAGGTAGGCAGTGGATCAGCATATGCAGTACATATCCAAGCCAGCTCAGTCAAACAAGATTCATAGCCTCATTAATCGATTTGGCTTTCTTGCCTGGTACCCTTCCCCTGATCTCAACACTTCTCATACAGTGATTCCACCAAACGCAAGCAATTCTATGAAGACACTAATGATCAAAATCCTACAACCACCGCATGTCATCTACCTTTAACGGCGATGCCTCACAGCCGTATAACAGGACACAACGAACTAAAGAGCAGTATACTCACCCTTTGGCAGATATCTCATCAGTCGGTGCCACAGGTAACGCAAGTTAGCAAATATCAAACAGGCCTTCTGTATCCTGGCTGAGATTTAGTCAGCAACCATCCCATTCTAGCTGATGCAACTCCCCAAGTAGGTGAAGTGTTCGACACATTCCACCACTTTACTCCCAATCAGTAAAATGGGAATGGTTGCAGACCAATGCTGGAGCATCACTCTTACCCTATATCAATACAAGTCTACTACATCACAGTTACCCCATATAATCAAACTGATAATTAACAGGTTAGTGTTAATTATTGTATTGCATTCATTGAACTAACTAGCTGAAATTAAATTAGTCTCCGTATGTGGAAAGAAGCATTGACGAAACTACAAAACTAAAAGACGATTAGAAAAAATTGGCTTAGTACAGTATACGAAGGAAGACTATCTTTAAGTGATGAAGTAATAAAGTACGTTTTTTAAATGTTTGGATTCCATCTGATGAAATAAAATCCAAAGATTGTACCAATCGTTAGAATTCGAATCAACAGAAAAGTTGAAGCTCCATTGAATTCGGTCTTTCTTTGCCCATAACAGTCAAAATAAGTAAATATATAGAATGGGAATACTTAATCGTTTTATTATTAGAACCATTAATTCAGTTCATCATAGTGTGGTCACTGGAATCACTAGTGAATCTATATGCAGTATTTGGGATTAAGTTGAAAAGTACTTTCGTCAATAAGCGAAATGATATAGCTTAAGACGTGAGCGATATTGAAATGAAATGTACTCAGTAACCTTGAGCACATTCGTGCAGTAGGCAATGAATCATCTGTTGTTGAAGGGTAAATGATACTACCTGGCTGACCAAACCTCGATAGGTGAAGTGGCGTTCGCATCCATGGCCGTTTGGTTGAAAGTTATCTGACTAAACCAATGATCCACAACCTTGACGTGAATCCCGCACTAAATGATACATATGATTGTGAAACGTTCTACATTTTCCTTAGCTGATAACCATCATGTTGATATTTCTCTCTATTAGAACAAATGGGTCAAAAAAACATGGGTTGGCGAAGGCTAACAGTCAGACCGACAATGACCGTAATGGTATCAGAGCTTTCCTGCTAGAGAAATGCATAATCACATTTATGGAGCCAACTATAAGGCTATGTTTAAAAAAGTTAATCCTAACAGTGACTAGAAGAAAAGATACCCATTCAATGTGAGAAGTTGGAGGCTGCTTGCGTCAGAAATCAAACGCTAACACACTTCAGCAACTAAAGATGAAGTTGGCGAAAATATAAAAACCACACAAGCGAACGTTTGTTTAAGTCCCTTGCATCTCTGTCGGAAGCGATTTGCAGAACAAACAAAATAGCTACTAACAAAGTGGAAAAGATGAAGTTCTGGTTTAAAACCATGGAGTGGATAGTAGAAAGTCAAACGCTACCTTATATGGTACACTTCTGCTTGACAAATTCAGATTACCATCAACAGTTATTACCGGGAATACGTATATTTCTATCTTCGAGTCTTGGTAGAAACCAATAGATTTCTGCGATATACTGAAAGAAAGCATTCTAATTTGAGCAATCTAACCCTTGAAGGTACTATACTTCCCTTCATGGTTTGCTTGAAAAGTGAATATCTGTACCCATTTCCTAAAGTTATAAGAATTCACCCAAAAACATGGTACCCATCTAAGAGATGATCTCCCAACAAGGGAACTAAGTTAAATAATATGCCTGCGTAATTACCTTTCTTCCCTTAAAAGCTGATCATCACACACTGGAAATTTGATTCGTTAATCACGATTTCATCAGCTTAAATTGACTCATTCAGTGTTGCAATTTCATAAAAAACTTAAGCAATTTTATGGAATAGGTTGTATTCTGTGAAATTAATACACTATAGTCTGTTGGTCACGTCTACAGCTTCCTCAACAGATTGTAGTTCAGATCTGTCATCCTGTTCCTACATATTTATGCCTTCTATAAAGGGAACTAGGTAAAACACTACGGTTTATCACGTTTATATTAACTGACGAAATATACCCATTTATTCATTGACAAGAACAAGGCATATATCAGCGAAGAAATATTTCTTTTCAATGACTTCATTATCAAGCTGTACAGTCGTACTTACTGAGTATAAATACGACTGTACAGCTTGATAATGAAGTCATTGAAAAGAAATATTTCTTCGCTGATACATTTATATTACACATTCAAATACACATAAAGGACCTTCAGATTTCACGGAGAGCACGTTGCCATTCTGTCAGTGGGTCAAAGTTCAATGGGTTACATTTTTCTACCTCTGCCAACTCGCGATACAGCGCGAACTTCACCCAATGACATCATTGAATATTTGTCCTCACACATGACTTAGTTGACTCCAGAGGTCACAGTTTCTTATTACAACTTAGGGAAATCCATCTCGAATTACTTTGCTAGTGAGCATTAGACAGCAATTTCATCCTCAATATCAACATAAGAACAGTCATTACTGCGTGACAGTTCAAGCCCCACCTACTGGGTCGGGTGTGACTTACCAGGTAAGTGAAGTAGTCGACGCACTCAACTTCTTAACTTTTTTATTAGCTGGGGCATCTCCGGAGACCAGTCCTGAGCAACAACTTGCATTCGGGTGGCGAGGAACATATCCCAAACACTCTTAAACTGCCACTCACGGTGTCCAGAAGACTCTGCATCTTGTTAGCGTCTTTCTTTAACAGGATTACGTCATCCGTGCATTGTAGATCTATTGAGGATTATTGTGTGATTACAGTAATTCCTGTGAAGTCAGACAACGACAGGCAGACCTCAAAAGGAACGTCTATGATTGAGTAGGAACGAAGATAGTGGGCATCCCTGAAGGACACCACTCGATATACACAACTCACCTGGAAACTCATTACAGCCTCTAACACACAGATGGTTATTCAAGTGCAGAGCCTTCAGCACACAGATGTGCTTACTCGACATCTTTTTCAATGAGAGACACCGCCATAAGATTTCTCGATCGACAGAGCCGAATGCCGCCTTTAAGTCAAGAAATACAGCCAGTGTAGTGCGTCGACAAGCGTGCTTTTGTTCTATAACCTGGTGCAGTGTGAATGTCTGATCGAAACACCCACAAACAAGTCTGAAGCCTGTCTGGTTTCCTTGCGTTTGCTGTTCCCGAGCTACACTCATACGCCTAATGTTCATAGAACCCAGAATCATAGACATTATGTTCGTCAGGTTGATTCATCTGTGATTAGTACAAGTAGGCTCCTCACCTTTCTGGAAGAATGGGACGACCAGTGGTTGAGACCAGTCAGAAGGGATCCTATTAGACTTCTACACACCAGCTAACAGTTCAGTTAACTTCGCTAAAAATCCCCAACCACCTTCCTTAAATACCTCTGGAACTAGTCCGTCTGGCTCTGCTGCTCTGCCTCATTTCAGCTTACCTACAGTGCTCACAACCTTTGCAAGTTTTGAGAGTTCGATCTCAATGTTCCATTCAGGCTCCGACTGAATAGCGGGCGAAGGGATATTAGCTGGATGCCACCTGAACTGTTCCGCCAATCGTTTCACTTGTCTCCTATATCAGTGAAACATAGATCCATACTTCTCCCCTACTGTCTCACTAACCACTGACCCCTTGGTTCCAGTTTCCTTGATAAATCTAAGTAACTATCTACTATTACCTATCGCCGCTGTCTTTTCTATCTCTCTAGCTTTTCCTGCCCATCGCTTTTTGCGGTCATTGCGAAGACTTTTTGTCAGTCTATATTTCAATTATTTCCGTTCCACATTGAATTCGGAGCCTGAAAGGATGAGTTTGCGTGCATCCATTAATTCCGAAGAAGCTGTTGATATGCGCTGCCTTTTTTAAACCACTTTCTGAGAGTCAAATACGGTCTTCAACGCTGTTTTTACAGCAGACTAGAGATGGCATCAAGCTTCTTCTGGGTGGATGATATTGTTCCGTAGCAATAACTATTGAGTCAGTCTCTCACCGAAAGCGGCCTTAGTACACTCACTGTCGAGCTGCACTCGCAGTGGTCTTATCACTGAAGTTTTCCTATGTCCATTGAGACGCAGACATACATACGTTTGAACAAACGCGTGGATTGTCGTCCCAAACACGTGCTCAAGAAAGAGCAACAGTCTTCCATCAACCCTTTTTAGCGATGACTGATGGCAATGTGGTCTATCTTTGTGCACTAATGTGTTGAGGTCGGTGGACGTCAAGTTTCTTTGTATTTCTGAAGTTTGTGTTGGTTAGAAATAGGCGATGATCTGAACACAGCATAAGTAGGTGATCACCGTTACATGTTCGTCCAACTGATATTCCGAAAGCGCCACGTGAGTACCCTTCTGTCTGACTTAACCTACCTACTAGTGAACTGAAATCAACTGCTACAACTGCCACCTCTGAACGCTTTGCTTTCAGTTGGGAAATAGGCAATTTTTGGTACAAATCATCCTTTACTTCATGTGAACTACAGTCAGTGGGTGCGTAAGCAGAGATTGCAGTGAGATAATGGCAAGTTTTACTATTCTTTTTAACCTTTACTGTGCGATTCAGTCAAACAGCGCATACACGCCTATCAACTGGGATGCAGTCGAGTAGTGCTGACAGAGTTGTGACCGTGGTTGAGACTCTCCGGTTGCCCACACTGTGGAAAACTAGTTCTTCTTGAGTTACCTAAAAAAGAAGGGTTAGTGAGTAGCCGTAGAGCCCATGGAACATATGCTTGAGGCTTGTCACACACAGCATGTGAGGATTTTTGGTGCGAGGTTTGACTGTTCTAATGTCGGACAGCAAAAACGCATACCGCCAGAACCGAAAGACTGTGGAGAAGGGAGGAGTGTACGATTTTCTAACCTTTCGTTCATGTAAGGAGGGGAGCATCAGAGCGATACTACTGGCAATCCAAGGAAAATACCATACTGCTGTCACATTCCCGTCCAATCAGTAGTATGATTTCACCCTCAGACCTCCATCATAGCATAATAATTTACACCATAATGGTAAGTGCTTTTTACTGAACTACTATCTAACACACCTTTCTAGTATGGTAGAACCTCGAGAGAAAAGTATTCCACCAGTATAGTTCGTCGAAACATTGTGATATGCAAGCCCGAGCACCACGTCAAGGTAGCAGTTATCGGTCGGCAGACAGTGACTTAGTTTGGAGGTTAGCAGGAATTGATTGATTTCAAGGTGGCGCACATCATGGATTAAAGTCAGTCAAGTCAGAGGGGAAGTGGATGTCCAATGGTGACATTGGATGTTGGCCGTGCTGTACCGCAAGTTGACAGAAATAGGAAAACATGGACCACTGGCCTCTGACCTAGTCACAGAATGGCAATGTGGTTGGTACGAGACCTGAAGGTTCTTGACTCGGTCCCCGGCGGGGTCATGGATGCACAATGCTGAGAGGCACCGTACTAGGGACGAAACAGCTGTCTAGTGCTCCCAAGTTTTCCGTGGTTCTACAACTGGACACCACCCTGTAACTAATATGTCACCACAACCCACAACTTTGGTAACTACTAACATTACACCGTTTATTGCTGACAGTTTAGTCCAAATATGAAGTCGATTAAAACAGAATTCCACTCAAAAACTACCAAGATATGGCAGGCATTGTACTACCTCAACAGAATAAAAACTGATTGTACAATTAGTATTTACCTCTTTCTTTAGGAAGTACAGAATAATTTAATCTAGCTGACGCTGGAGCTAGACGAGAAGGACGTAAAACGTGATCAATAAAGGCTTGTGTACGATAATCCATCGACATCATACTTGAATCAGGCGTCAAAGGAATATTCTGGGGATGAGTCATTGGGAAAATGGTCGCTAACACATGTAAATACATCACCGATCCATGACAAGTTAAAAGAAGAGCTTCATCTGTTGAACAAGATGCAAGGAAATCTGCACGTTTAGGTAACGCTGGAAAGGGACATTCAACACGATGAGCTAATGCAACGGAGCGACCTAAAGTTAAATCGCAAGAAAAAAGAGTAACTGATTACCAACAGTAATAAAAATGTTGAAATTACTTCGTACTGATATGAAATTGACAAATGATCTACTGACAATTAAAAAAACAAATAGCTTGAAAATGAGAAGAATGAAGTAGATCTTTAATCATAGCTCTTACTATGTCGACAACAAAAAATTAAAACTAGCTAAAACGCTGGTGTACGCGTAAATAAGGAATATGAAACTGGCTTAACAGCGATGAAATGACTAATGAGAAAACAAAGTTACGAGTTGCTTGGAGGCGATGGAAAGGAAGCTTTGCTCGACCTAAGTTTCGTGCCTGTTAGCCTTGGCCTATTCGGTAGGTAGCTTGGGAGGAACCCTCGTGCATGAAATGTTGGTGAAAGGAGGATCTTTATCCTCTGGAAAGGTGAGCTACATCGTTTTCTGCAAGATTGTGAAGCTTTTGTGAAACGTATCCCACACACGTCTGCTCACGGAGAGGTGGATACGGTCAACGACCCGATCACCCGGCGAATGTGGATCCATTGATGCAGGATAGATGGGAGGGAGGGATGTAATGATCAGCTTTGAGGGAGCGTTAATAGAATGCTCCGGCAGGAGTATTCACGTGGTTGCGTTACTGTGGATATTTTCTGCTCGGTGAGGAGATTGATCCCTCAAGGTTAAGAGATAATTCGTCCAAGTAGACGAAGTTCAGTCTTAAACTGGAAGCTAAGTCGGAAATTGGAGCAGAACTCTCTCTGATTTTACAATGAGTAAAACTGTGGTTATAAACGTGGAGTATTCAAAAATGTTCTGTTGTTTCAAAGATAGTCAATAAAACTGTCATTACGCGTTTAGATAAACTGAAACAACAACATACACAAGATTTAAATTCTACTAAAAACGTCTTCGAGTAAATAATACTACTACTATTAACTGTTCCGTTCAAAACGATGTAAATAACTCCTAGTCATTTTATTCTTCAGTATCAACTTGTTACAACCTCCAAACTGTTTATAGTCCTAATTGGCCTAGTTAAATTATTTACTCTGTGTTGCCATGCCTCGTTCAAGGTTTTTGTCTACATTACCTGTGTGTGTGTGTTTTTTCACCACATAACAGTATGTACAGTGATGTATGCAGAAAACAAAGCTGACGAGTCCGACTGAAACTTATGAATCCAATAAATCCAGTTTTAATAACGTTTGTTACTTGTTTTAAATAATACCACTGAGCGCTATATAAAATAAACAATCTAATATGAAAGTATACTGTACCAAAATGCTAAAGTTCTACTTTAAAATATACACTCAGTGATCATTAAGACTGTTAACTTACCGCCCAAAACAAACTGAGCTAAACACGTAGAGGCTCTGTGGCAAACATCAGCGAGAGTAACCCGATACGTTGCAACAGTGAAACGTAGATAATCTATGTTTTGAAAAATATTACAAAACAAAACAAATTGTTAGGTATAGGTGAGTTTATGATAACACATTAGTGATTAAACTAAGTAGTAATTAACTGACATACATTGTGTAATAATAATGAAAATAGCTCAATTTCACTTGGAGACGTGGTATTTTGTATTGGTGTCACAGTGTGGAATAAAATCACCATGACTTTCATAAAAAGCTCTAAATCCTTGAAGCCTATTACAACCAATCGTTTTGCTGCGAAGTTTCGACAGAAAGTACATAAACCAACGTGTAAACATCAGATTGGTTGAAGAGATAAAAACCAATCGGATATTCAAATCAGGAAAAGCCTAGAAATGACAAAGGCCATTGTAAACCTTTGTGTTTTGTACATGTTTGACATTGCAATGCACTTTCTGCTATATTAACACATTTTTCATTTATCCAGAAGCTGAGTGACCATCAAGAAGGTGGGATATGAAGATTACTGTTCAAGTCCCCACATATATATAATTTGGGTTATATCAAGTAGTTATTACAAGAATATAACAATGAGACAAACAGACGGAGAGAGACTAAATCAAGAAAGGACCAGGCATTACTGCTTAAGCAGTCCAAGTTCTCACACCTCTCATATCAGCACATCAAGCAAGAAAGCACTAAGACAAAAGATAAAGTAATAGAGAAGAAAGCAGTCGAAAGTGGAAGAAAGTCATGCGTCTGTGGACACATCAGCGCCGCTGACATCGATTCAGAAACAATGTCACCTATAGTCTCCACCGCACCCGGAAAGTCTACATTCCCCTACACAACTCAGTACAATAGTCAAAGACTTCATGGACTGATGCCATTAGACAGGATCACATGCGTACGAATAAGGACAAAAATATCATTCACCGTCAACTGAGATTAACATACACTGAAACATTTATGCGCCTACCTAACGCTTTTCAAAGGCAATGAAGCATGTATGTTGGATTCCATAGCAAATTACCCTCTAATGCTATTAGAGGAAATTTTATCTAAAAACCAGTAGGCTAGAAACATTAAGCTGAATGTAGAATATCCAAAATGAAAAAACAGTCACTGTTTAATTCACTGTTGAACTGAAGGCATTTACGGTACTTTTTTGGTTTGCTATCAACAGCTGCACAAAAGAATAAAGTAGAAACTTTCTATAATGTCTTTAGTCATTTTATTTTGGAATACTCCACACTTTAAGAACTGTTTACATCACTCTGAAAACAATTTCCGTCAACGGATAACGAAACACTGTTTTTAAAAAGGTTACAGAAGCAAATGAAAGTCTGATATCTTTTTAATTTGTACTGTATTTCCTACTACTAATTATGCTTGTTGACACGTAAACTCGGAAACTCCCTATCCCTGTGTCCTTAGAACTATATGATTATTTTATGTATCAAGATGCATGAGGTGAGTCGCTTTCAAAGAATAGTGGTTTAGTCAAGGATGAGTGACCTACTATAAATTTAGTGCTGATGACGCTATCAAATTCATCAATGAAGCGTCCATAATTAAACACCGAAGCTAATAGAAGCTCCTGAAGAAGCAACGTTATGTGATATTCTGTACCTAACTCTTAAGATAAGAAAACAATCCCAAAGATGAATGCTTAACATAATGATTTAGAGTTGTTCACAAATAGCCTAGCAGTAGTATCTGCTATCGAATCAGCCTTAATATCAATAAAGGAAAACAAGGTTCTCATAATCAGCAAAGCAACCTGAAAAAAATATCTTGTACTCCCCGAGAAACCTGAAGGTCCTAGGTTCGATCCCTAGAGGATTCATGCGTGCGCACTGCTTAGGGGTCCCACACTAAGACGAAATAGCTGTTCAGTGCTCCCAGATTTTCAAAAATCCACCAAATAATGTCACTGTCTGATGAACACTACCTTAAAATCAATAAATCTTCCCAAATATTCGAATTGAAGTCAAAAGAAGAATACAAAGATATCAATATCGGAGTCAGTGAAGTAAGAATAGCCATGCTGTGGTTGAAAAAACACCGAGGCTCAACAGGACTGGTAACGGAAAGCTAAGATAGGAAGAATATTCACAATTTACAACAGAATGAAAGCCCTAGCCAACAAATAACTGAGAAGTATTCCTCTTGACCTGAAAGTGGGATCTGACTCTGTCAACCATGAGGCGTTATGGCAGTGGCTGACTGTGAATGGAGTACCGAGCAAGTATATAACGCTAATCAAAGCTCTCTACTCGGACTTACGTAGCGGTGTAAGGCCTTACGGGGAGTTGTCATATGAATCGATGACAACTAGTGTTCACTAGTGTTGTTTACTGTCACGGTTTCAATCTACCACCGCCATAGACGTACTAATGGACACAACCTTAGATTCCTCTGACTTCACAAGGAGTGACATACTCTCTGGAGGTCATCTGGTTGACTTGGAGTATGTAAATGGTAATGTCCTGCTGTATAAAGATATTAACAAAATGAAGGGTCTTTTTAATATGTTGGATAGAAATGAGTATGTTTAGGATGCGTTTTGAACCTGTCAAATGTCAGATAATGCTCCGGGACAGGTGTACTGCAAGTACTCTTAATTTAATGATAGTGAAGTTGCGTAACGTGTCGACCACTTCACTTACTTGATTAAGTCTGTTAGCCCGAACAGGCAAGTTGCTGACGAAATTTTGGTTCGAATACACAAAGCTCGTTGAGCATTTGCCAACTTGCGTCATCCGTGGCACCGAGTGGCATGATATCCGACTACCTGTTGAATGACGAGTATATTGCGCTGCAGTTCCTTCTTTCCTGTTAGAAAGTTATCCGACATAACTGTTCAAAGTAGATATGAAGCGGGTAGTAAGTCGTTGATCATAGGTGTCGTCGTAGCATTGTTTGCGTTTGGTGGAATCAACGCGTGAACAGTGTTAAAGTCAGGCGAAGGATACTAATCAAGAAAGGCAAGTCAACTGATGACGTTGTGAGACCTAGTCGATTAAAATGGCTCAGACATATACTGCGCATGCCAAGCCACTGTCTACCTCGACAAGGCCATACTAAGGCTATGGGAAGCTGGATTAGGATGGAAGCGGATTCAAAGTGCCGAGACCAAGAAGTGGGACCAAAAGATAAAGTCTCTGACTCGGTCTAAGTCGTGTGAGATGTAAACTACCCGCCTGGGGTCTCCGAGACAAAAGGAGTCAGTGGTTGAAGACTCTTGGTGACATGGCTGAAAATCTGTCAAAATGGACCAGATGTATTCACTTCTTCTAAAACCTGAATATTTGCCCTAACCATTATATCCAGATTGTTTATTCTCTATTACAACTTTGTCTACTTTGATATCACTCCCATGTTTTTGTGTACCATTGTGAAGTAGAGGCAACTTGAACCGATTCACCTGTGTGCGACGTTCTACGTTGATTTTATCATCCAATAAGTAATCCCATCAACAAAAATGTTTACAGCATTGAACAAATCACATCCTTTCACATACCGACATCACGTTATATATATATATATATATATATATATATATATATATATATATATATATATATATATATATATATATATATATATATATAGCAACAGGCTGGATGTACACCATATACCTGAAACAAATATTATGTAACCAACCTCGCCTGGTTAACTAGTTTACTAGTTACTAGCCGGTCCTAAGCCCCCGTAAAGAGGGAAGGTTGGGCATAGGGCTAGCAACCCTACCCCGTAAAACAAATCTAACCGCTAAACAAACTTCAAAGCACAAACAAAATATAAAAAATGAAAACAAACTTATTCCCCGCTGGAATCGGAGAGGCGAAATGACGCCAGTTGGTGAAAGCCTTCACGAAGCCAATTGGCCGATGTGTCTTCTCTCGATGAAAGCAAAAGTAAACGTGGGGACATGGAATGTCCGCACCATGTTTGAACCCAGTAAGGCAGCCCAGATTGCAAACGAGATGAGAAGGTATAACATCGAAGTGCTTGGGGTTTGCGAAAGCAGATGGAATGGGAGTGGACTCTCCAAACTGTCAACTGGAGAATCAATAATCTACTCCGGTCACCCAGACGCCAACCACGAGCACACTGAGTTATGGAGTGGCTATCATGATGTCCTCAAGAGCATCGAAGGCTCTCATGCAGTGGGAACCAATCTCCTCCAGGATCATGACAGCAAGATTCAACTCAAAAGGAAGGAAGGAAGGTCACAATCATACAATGTTATGCACCTACAAATAATGCAGAGCAAGAGAAAAAGGAGGAATTCTACAGACAACTTCAATCAACACTGGACAAGACGTCAGTTGGCGATATCAAAATTCTAATGGGCGACATGAATGCCAAACTTGGAGGGGACAACACGGGAAGAGAACTAACCATGGGTCGAGAGGCGCTAGGTGAAATGAATGAGAATGGAGAATTGTTTGCAGAATTCTGTGCATTCAACGATTTGGTGATTGGAGGCAGTGTGTTCAGGCACAAAGATATCCACAAAGCTAGCGACATGGATTTCACCAGATGGACACACTAAAAATCAAATCGACTTTATCTCAATCTCAAGAAAATGGAGACGCAGTCTACTTAACACAAGGTCAAGAAGAGGAGCAGATGTAGGTTCAGACCACTATCTAGTGCAACGAACCTTCGAAATCAAGTTAAAAGCCTTCAAGGAAGCTGGTGATAGACCTCAATTCAAGTACAACACTCGGAAACTGAAGGATAAAACTACAAAGGAGATCTTCAAGGCAGCCATCAAGACAAAATGGGAGACATCGAGCAACATCCCTGAAGAAACCTGTGTGGAAGTAAACTACAAGTCTTTGAAAGAGATGTGGAAAGAAACCTGCACAACAGTATTAGGAAGGAAGAAGAAAGAAGACAAGGAATGGATCTCGACGGATACCTGGAAGCTGATAGAGGAGAGGAGGATGGTGAAGCAGAAGATAAACCAGTGCAAGGATGCTCAACGACAAGAGGAACTGAGCACAATGTATAAAACACTGGACAAAGAAGTGAAGAAGAGTGCACGCAAAGACAAAAGACACTTCTACGAAACACTGGCAAGTGAAGCAGAACAGGCTGCAGGTAAGAGAGACCTGACGACATTGTATCAAATAACCAGGTTGCTATCAGGGAAGAGACCAACACAGATGAAACCAATAAAAGATGAAGAAGGAAATTTAATTACAAAAGAAGAGAAACAGAGGAAACGATGGGCCGACCACTTCAAGAAGCTCTTGAATCGACCACCACCACCACCACCACCTGCACTTCGTCCACAAATACCACCTGCAGCCGCTGAATTACAAGTGAACATTAATCCCCCAACGAAAATGGAAGTCCTGAACGCCATAAAGCTACTGAAATGCGGGAAAGCAGCAGGACCAGATGGAATACCGCCAGAAGCACTGAGAACAGATGCAGAGACAACAGCGGACATGCTCACACCACTATTGCACAAGGTGTGGAAGGAAGAGAAGGTACCTGACGATTGGAAGAAGGGTTACCTTGTCAAACTGCCGAAGAAGGGAGACCTCAGTGCTTGCAAGAACTGGCGCGGAATCACTCTCCTGTCCACCCAGAGCAAGCAAAATATTAAGCCGCATCATCCTAGAGAGGCTTAAAGACGCACTGGATTCAAAACTACGACAGGAACAGGCAGGCTTCAGGAAGTACAAATCATGTGCAGACCAATTTGCAACGCAACACTTCGCATCATCATAGAACAGAGCATAGAATGACAATCAGCTCTCTGCCTCAACTTCATCGACTTTGAGAAGGCCTTTGACAGCGTCGACCGAGAAGTAATTTGGAAACTGCTTCAATACTACGGAGTACCGCAAACCTTTATCCGCCTCATTCAACAACTATATGAAGATGCCACATGCCAAGTAATCCACAATGGGAAGCTCAGTGATGCCTTTGAAGTGAAGACAGGAGTGAAACAAGGTTGCCTACTATCCTCCATGATATTCCTTATTGTGGTGGACTGGATCATGCAGCAAACAGTAGGCAGCGAGAAGAAGGGGATACACTGGAGGACGGAAAAGAACCTAGAAGACTTGGATTTCGCCGATGACTTATGCCTAATGTCACACAAACTTGAAGATCTACAGGCAAAAACTAACAAGTTGATAGAAGAGGCAGCTAAGACGGGACTTCAGGTGAATATAGAGAAGACAGAAGTGATGAAGATACCACACCACCACCATCAACAATAACAACAAACTCCAATCACCGTCAACGGGAGAAACTTGAAGGAAGTAACCTCCTTCACTTATCTAGGAAGCACTGTTTCAACTACAGGCGGGACGGACGAGGACGTCAAAGTCAGAATCGGAAAAGCAAGACAGGTGTTCATTAGCCTGAAACCAGTGTGGAAATCTTCTGCACTCAGCATGCGGAACAAGATACGCATTTTCAACACCAACGTCAAGTCAGTGCTCTTGTATGGCTCAGAGACTTGGCGCGTCACGAAAGGCATTTCCAATAAACTACAGACATTCATCAACAACTGCTTATGCTGGCTCGTTACTGAAGATCAGATGGCCAGAATAATAAGAATAAGCAACAAGGAACTCTGGGAACGAACCAACCAAGAACCTATCACGCAACAAATATGCAGGAAGAAGTGGAGATGGATTGGCCATGCACTGAGAAGGCCGACTGAGGACATCACGCGTCAGGCCAGTCGCTCGAGTGGAATCCCCAGGGGAAGCGACGAGTTGGACGTCCGAGGGTGACATGGAGGAGGTCGTGCGAGGAGGAAATGAGAGCTTCTGGGCTGTCGTGGGACCAGGTTCAAAAGATCTCAGAGAACAGAGGTCACTGGAGGCGTGCTACTGAAGCCCTATGTTCCACTAGGAACCCAAGGGACTAACAATAATAAATAATAATAATCCCTAGAGAATACGGTACTGCGATGCAGAGACAAAATGGGGACGATGATAGTGACTTCGGAATTTATAGAAAGAAAAGGGATAATATAAGTGAATAATTGCTGAAAGTCCATACTCTGATTAGAACTGAAAGCACCAGTTATAAAGACGCTGTGAACAAACTTCGATTATAATGGTTACAATATTCCCTTGCTACGAGGTTTTATCATTGCACAGTGGTTCCATTAATATTGATCCAGGTCTGAGGCAATCAACCAATCTAAGTAAACTTTTCATCAACATTTTCGTGTCTAGATAGAATTGCCCTTGGGATTTATCATGAATTTAGTAGTAAACAGTATTATATATTCTCATAAATTAATTTCCTGACAAAGTTATATTATTGGACTCTTGGAAGGTAACCTAGGAATAAACGTTCAGATTGTTTTTTTAATAGGACTTAAAATGTATATTATTACCATATATAAAGTTGCATAACAATAACGGCATACCATATTGTGTTTCCGATACAAAGTCCAATAGATTATTGAATTCAGTTAGAAACTACAGTTTACGGTAAATCTGTAAACCATTCTCAGTGTTAACAGAATCCTCTGTATAAAAAAAACTGAAAAGCTCAGCAGGAAAATAAATTATCGACATTCAGTAACCTGTACTACAGACTACTAAACATTTCATTTCTTTGTAAAATACTATAAGTTTACCATTTCATCGAATAGGCAGGAATAGTTCTAAGTGATATATGAAAAGAGTGGGTCTCTTGAACAGGAACAAAAAACTGATTAACAGCCACAGACACAGAGAGAAACTCTAGGTTTTTCAAGTTAAATGAATGCACTCACTTGCATCCGATGTCTTAGGTGTAACCCATTTGATACCTAACGTTTTTGAAAATCCGGAATTTGGTCGTGACAAAGATTTATTACTCTCACTCTCTGTACGTATTAGCAACTTCTCAAATATGCCTGCACGTTTTAATAAATCATGAACCTCAGCTCGATGTAAAAGTTCAACACCATACATTGAACTACCAGAATTAACATTTGCCTCTTCTTTCATTGGAATATCTTGAACAAGTGTACTCGATAGATTGTAATGAGATTCTGCGAGACGCATTAGACCTTGATACAATTCTTGACTAGTAGCTTGAAGTTTATGATAGAAAAACCGATGATAAACATTTGTATTTATATTATCCGGCAACTGGAAATAAATTGAACACAATAGAAAAAAGAATTGAATAGTTCCACATGTAGAAACAGCAAGTACTGCTTATGCCAACTAGTACAATTTCTATCTACAAAAAAGGGACTCAACTACCTCACCAACCACTTACAAGTTTAGGCTCACAGTAATAGGCCTTACATGTTGTGTGAGGGTTAATGATACTACCCGGCTGCCCAAATTGCGATAAGCTAAGCCGTATTTGAACTCATGACCCAGTGGTTCGATCTATAAGAAATGTCAATCTGACATGAAACTAAACGTACAACCACAGGGTGAATAAACTATTTTAATAGAAGCGCTTATTAAAAAAACTCAACATTGAGTTTTGATATCACCTATAACCGTTAGGTATATACACATCACTCTAATGATAGCATAATAGAGTATCTCTCAAAAATCAAAACTACCAAACGACCATCAACTTTTAACATGTTTAGTCTGAAATAATAGAGTATAATTAGTGATAATTGTTTTAGATTAATTTCTCTTCAAAAACATTCATTTACAAGAGTACAGTCCGATAAATCATAAGATTTTATGGCTTTAAATGGTTTCAAAAAAAATGGAAACCTCAAAATTTGAAAACGTTGTGATACTAAACTGCTCTCCTCGCTTACTTCCGACGAAAACAACTATACAAACTAACGACAAATGACTCCTTGATAACTGAGCTTTTCATTTCAATGTATTTTGGTTTCTGATAGCTACTTCTGTTTAGTTTTCGTCATCTTTTAGTCACAATGTTCTGCTAAGAACAATTCTTAGTTTTTTTTCACAAATTTTGTATTCTTTTAATAAATACAACAATGATAAACGAACCTCAACTTGTTTTGGATGAAGTTCATTTACTTCGTTTAAAGATTCTGAAGCTGGAAACAGGTCAATAAATATCCATTCACTTGAAGTAACAGCCATATATCTGAAAATAAATAAAAGCAGTTTGATTAAAGGTGGTTGATTTAAGATAGACAAAATCAACGCAGAACGTCACATACGAGTGCATCGGTTCAACTTTCCACACTTCAAAGTAGTATACAAAGAAGCAGTGGATAGAAAATGAGTGATATCAAGGTAGACAAAACTGTGTGGCAGGACAGTGAATATATCTGCGCTATTGTGACTGAATTTTAGTCATTCTACCAAGGGTCCTCAACCACTGTTTCCTATTGTCCTGGGGACCCGCTGGTAACTATCGAAGAAATATAGGAATTATCCAATTATTAACAGCTAGAAATAACTGGTGATAAGTTTGTATTCATCATGGACTGACATCAGTTGGGGGAACCATTGGGAACTTGGGGGTACTGGACAACTGTTTTATCCCAGTATGGGATTTCACAGAAGTACACAGCTGTGACCATACACTAGGGTGAAACAGCTGCTCAGTGCTCCTAGGTTATAAAAAGTCTATAAACTGATGTCACTCCGTGGTGAACAACACCTTAAAAATAAAATATCAATAAACCTCAAACCAAGGTAATGTAATGTTAACCCTTGCCAATACACGTGGGATCTTTGATACTTAGTTTATAGGAAATCATAAATCACAACACCTACAACCACAAACATTCTAAAGTGTACCATCAAAATCATGTGATTCAATGTACACATGACTATCCGGAAGGAAATTAAATTATCTGTTTAATTGAATAATAACTTTGATGGACAGTGAAAACGATTCAAAGGTAAATAAACTTACTCCGGTAAATCAATAGGCTTTTCTAAATTTAGTAGAATGTCTGGAATCCAAGATCTTATCCGGTCGCTGAAACAAAATTTGATTAGAATAAGTTATGGCGTATTACCTCATACACATGCTTAGAACAACCACTCTACCCTTATTATCAACAGAGTTACTTTCTTTCTGATATGGTGTCAACATCTGTAATAGATGGCAGGCTGAAGACAAACCGGGAAGTGATTTACGATCAAGGTTAACTGAAGTGTTCTTTGGAGGACCCTCCTGTGAAAATATATTCCAAATCTTGTTAGATTACCATTAACTTGAGTTAAATATGCTTACTGTTTCTAAATTCTGATCTTCATTTAGCCATATTGAATGGATCTTTTCTTCATCATCAAAAGTTACAATAGATATCTTGATAAGTGAATATTTTATCAAAAGAAACTTACAGGTTTTTCTGTAGAAAAAATGTCGAATACAACACGACAGTATTGTATGACAGCTTCAACAAGATTACTCCATATTGATTTACGAAATGTCGCCTTTTTCGAAACAAACTTAACTCCTGAATCCAAGTGTATTTCATCTCCAGAAGAACAGCTAACCATATGTGTATGGTTTAAAACAAGTACAGTTTTTCCATTATATTCATCAGTCTGCATATCTGATAGATCAAAACAGTTTGCATATATCCAGTGACAGTATATATACGTTCTATAAAAGAAAAACAGCATCAAGAGTATATTTAACCAATTTTTCGATCATTTTTAGCGCCAGTTTTACGACACTTTTTCTGTAACTGATTTCTAATCACGATTTTACATATATTACTGCCTTTATATGAGCAACTTATGAATCGTATGAAAACGCTTATCACTAGTCAACAGTTCCCAGCTGCTTTCGGCATCTTTTTTAGCGGAAATGTGAGAAGAGAAGATAATGCTTCCATGAAAGAAACAACATGAACCAACGATGGTTGTCTGAACATATTCAAATGGCAAACTATCCAAACAGTTAGTGTGTGAGATTTGACGATAACTAAAACCAAAGAACACAAGTGAGCGAAGACATTTAGCGCCCAAAAAGATTCTTCTAAATTTCGAATTCAAAAATGACACTGCTTTATATATCCTCGAAAAATGACTTTAAAGATCCTTAGACAGAACACATTTTGCCGCCAACCTTCGATTCATTTTTTCCTGCAGGAAACTTCCGAAGCAGTGTGCAAAATACAAGCTAACACATTGGGCTACATAAATGTGCATATCAGTTTACTTGCTCCTGTGGAGCTGGATACACTGAGCATACCATACGTCCGCTTGTAAAACGTGCTCGCGAACACTAGCCAGCCTGACTAACAAATGGAGAATGGAAAAGCATTTTTGAGCTCAATAACAGAACATCTTGTGAATTCACACTACTCAACTTCGTTTGAGAACTCATTCAAAATCTCCCAAAGGTTTCAACCAGACCACTCGAATGGACTGAGATTAAGGCATTTGGGTATAGCCACACTACCCAATCGGAACTTCAAACCAACGCAGTGTCTAAAAAAGGTACGTTTGACCTTCGTCTTTGCCATGGTCATCATTAAGTCTCGACTGTCAAATATCAATCCTGTAACACGTAATTATACCTTTTATTTTCATAATCCCTTGTTTATTTTCCTGCGCTAAACCCTCATTTGTATTACGCCCCTTTGTTTCGTTATTCAATATATTTTGACCCCTAACCAGAAATAATTCTAGAACATTCTGCCCGCAGTAACATTCACGAATGTATATGTAGCCTGGCAAGTGACTTCATCGGGAAAAAAATTTGCTTAGCTGCAACCGTCCTTTTTGTATTTTCGAATAGCTGAAAGGCCGCATCAATTAATCAGAACTACTAGTTTCAAGAAAAAGTTTGAACTTGAATACAGGTACGTACTTTGAGATTTGGAACCGATTTCGTTCAGTAAAAATGCGCACGTTCATATATTAGGCTGAAACATCGTGACATGTAATACAAGTTGTACAATACTTAGCAAACACAGTAACATCCGAGTCTGTTACCCAATAAAAGCAGCGTAACTGAGCAAATACATGCTAAATGTCTGGATGCCGCTTGAAAAAATGGTGTTACAGTATAACGACTAAAAAATTTTTAATACGTTTTAAAACAATAGCGAAAAAACCATGAGTAACCATTTTGCGTTACCTACCAATTAACTGAGAAACTGGATTTACTTTTGCAGTAGTTTATATGCAATTTACACTCGTGTTACGAAATTTCGAATCAACCAATTAATTTCGTTCAAAATGTTGTAATAAACCCATTTGATAGTAGGAAAAGATTTAAAGAGAAGAAAAAGAAGAAGAGAAAAATTTTTTTATTTTCCACGAACTCACTCTTTTAGATGTACATTCATGGACATATAGAAGAAAGGAGAGTATTTAGCAGAATAATTTCCGGCCAAATGTAAAAAAAATTGCATAAAAAGGGCAGCTACGTAATAAACATGTGGGGATTTAGAATACAGAAATAAATATAATTAGAAAATAATATAAAACTAGATCATAATAGAATTATCTAGAGTCGTTATTCCTTCACAATAGCGACGGCAAAGAAGAAGTTTAAAACACTTCTTTTGTATGCATAATTATGGCTTGAACTTTAGGATTGCTAATACTTCAGCTAGGCTCAGATACCTTAACCTTACTCTTTCCGAGCGTCGTGGTCTGATTTTATACAATATTTTGAAGGACTTATTAAAAGGAGTCAAGTGTCTTGAGATTCCTAAGTGTTCCCTTAAAATGCCAAAGATGCATTTCCATTATGCTCTTGTCAGTCAGGCTGGATAGTGTTCGTGAGTGATGTATAGTGGGGCACATATATTCCGATCCACGGTAACAAGTAAACTGAAACACAGGCACTAATGTGACCCAACGCTTTAACTTATCCTTTGTTCAATCGAGAATCGGTTTCTGACAGGAGAATGCGATTTTGAAACTGGTGGCAAAAAATGTTCTCTATGGATCTCGATAGTTGCTTCCTAAAGATATCTGGCACTTAGTCATTCTTGAATTCGGGGTTCAGTAGTAAGACCTGTATGTATTGTGGTACCATTTGGCTTTAAATTCCTTTCAGTAAATTCCAGTGCGTATCCATTTTTCATCAGGATTTCTCACAGGTCCTTAATTTCACAACTAACGGCATCTATTGTTCGTTTTGTAACTTAGTAAGATAAGAAATGCAGTTAACTTTTATCACTATATGTTCGGGAGGGAAATACTTTGTGCTTTTCTAGGTTAGAAGTGGAATCAGTTTATTTGTTTACGACCGGTGTCAATAAATGCCACTAAACGAATCATCTATCTCACTGAGTTTTTCAGAACTACAGGTCATCCACAAAAACTAGCGAAGAAAAACACTTAACTTGTGGACATTTTCAGAAGCAGAAACAAAAAGTGGTTCGAATTATGCATTTTGAGAAACTATGAAAGCATAAAATGCTTGAGACGACTGTTTTATAGTTGCTTATAGGCAAATTTTCTTATCATATGAGTGTGCTTTGAAACAAATAAACTTAGTTCCTCTTCGATGAACTGTTCAGTTTATCGTAAACCATCTAAATGAAATAATCCCTAGTGATACTTTCCTGGAACTAACGCAGTGAACCAGAGGTTAGAAGAGGGTTGTAGGAAACTGAAGGGGGTCAAATGTGAGAAAATAAACATCTTGCCGGAAATCAATAAATATTTTTTCGGTACAATTTACGCTACTAGTACATTAACAGTAGTCTACATATCATGACGTAAACTATATAAGTAGGAAACTCGCTACTAAACATGCAAATAAGCCAAGAATCAAAAAACATCTGTACAAAACATGCCTCATCCCAATTCAACAAAATGACATTCCTAATGTGGAAATGCCAACCTAGGAGAAATCGCAACTCAACATTTCTTTAGGGTTGCAATATACAATACGTCGGCCATGTAGCTATTTGTATAACGAGAAAGAATCCTGATGAGACAAGCATAAGGTTTAAAATCATGTGGTTCGTATGTTGTCATACTCACCACTTACTGAGTACACGTCCCATAATATCTCTTCTTTCTTTCTCAAAAAGCAATACAATCGCATTTAAATACAACTTATGTTCACATCCAATGGTCAAAAATGTCAATATGGTTTTTAGAACCATAATAGTGTTAAGTTTTCACCAGAAAAATAATATGGAAGTCATAATTACGTAAGAAGAACCGAAATATTAGAGTTCACCTACTCCTGTGGAGACAGGTATGCAGATCCTAGTAGACGCAGACTGTTCAACATTAACCCTAACACCTCATAAGGCGGCTAAGTTAGGATGAGTCTATACCAACTTAAAGTTTTTTCCCACATTATTTGGGTGACAGTGAACAGAGAACTAACTTTGTGTAAATTACAGAATACAGGAAAAACTCTCCAGAGATACGAGTAAATTCATCCGAACATTACTGAAGCTTTAGTAGTACGCGAGTGAAAGTCAGAATTGTGTTCAAATGCAAGTTTTCATTTACATTCCCTATTTATTTCTTTAACACACCAATTCCTGGAACTCAATTAACTCTTTTCCGCTTCTAATTTTATGACTTTGTCATAAAGTTAACTTACACTTCAGATACTCAGTTATCTTGAATATTATTTTCTGCATCACTGACAACTATTCAGCCATATGGTTACGCATTCTCCAAATTTGATTTCAAACTATGGGTATTTCGCTAGTTAATCATTTACATTCTCAGACATGTTTATGCTTCTTGGGTAATCATCCCTCTCTTATTAATTTTCCGACCACAACCGAACAAGAATTGATTTCAAAAACAATGCTGACCATTACTAATGGCTGGGTGCTACTATGCTCATCCCGAGACTCGACAGTTCTGGATCGGATGCCTAGTTCGGTCGTGGATGCGCACTACTGATTTCCAAACGTAGACGAAACAGCTACGTAGTACTTATGTTTGCCGACCGATAGACTTCACCTTGACATGATGATCGGTCTTGCATATCAAAGTGACGTCACTAACCAAGGCAATAAGAACATTTGTTTCTTTAAGGTTTGACCATCCCAGAAAGGTCTCTTGGAAAGTATAGCAAACAGAAGTTACCCTAATAGTGTGAACAGCTCATTTACGGTGGGGTCTGAGAGCGAAGCCGAGATGCTGGCTGGACATAGTTCAAAAGCAGTAAGGTGTTTCCGGTGGATGACCAGCACCACCATGCTGAAGCTACCCGCACCCTCTCGCCACAGGAAGAACGGGTTTAGAAAAGATCAGCTCCGAAAACGGTACACTCCTGCCTGGCCTCCGGTATTCCACTGGTGACAGTTTTGGCTTTTTTCAAACATTAACACAATGAAACCTCAATTCAACAATCTTAAAAACATCATGCATGACAAGTCTGAGGCAGATGGTCCATGGGCTCTGTGGTCATGCAACCTAGTCACTTTTCCTGGCACTTTGCAGAAATAACATCTATGGTGGGGACAGACAGGAAGTGTCAACCATCCACACGCTTCCAGTAGTATTCAAAACCAAATCAAACATAGTTTACCCTTCTTACCCTTTCCTTCACTTTTTGGTACCAATATTAAGCCTCTTACAACTTCCTCCACCTCTCACTTTGCGACCATTTTCAACTATCAAAGCCAGCAACACACCATTACCAATCCTTTGAAACCCCGCTATCGGTTTAACAATGTAACTATCAACATCTAAACCCTATACCAAGTCGGACAATAAGCATTTGGAATCTGGAACAATGGATGCATATCGTGCTTCTGAGACACATACAGGACACAGGTATGGTTGTCCACTTAATGACCTGGCAAATTTGTAAGACTCACTCTTCAAATCTCTGGGGATTCAATGGCTAGTTCTCGCAGCTATAGAGAGGCACGCACATCAGGAAGTGAAATACTTGAGTGGGGTCTAATTGACGGTCCTTTATGCATCATTTGACTGGTTGATGTAGTGAGGACTTCAAAAATGATGAAAAGCCGTCATCGTTTTCCATTCCCTGCTCACACAACTACTACCAGCAGCTTAGATGAAGCGAGGGATGAGTTCGACCAAAACTATAGTCTTACAACTCAACGGTTGACATAGATCATACTGCGGTCAGTCATTGCTCGAGAAGGTTGATGGAAGATTGCCACACCTTCTGGAGTACGTCCGTGCGCAACGACCACGCGTGTCTGTGCCTACATGGACACTGGCATCATTCCAAACACAAACTGATTAATCTCTAGGCGAAATAACCCAACCCTGCATGGGCTTATAGGTATTTACACGTGAATTAATGACAAACAATGGTGCCTGCCACGGATCCTCGCTGTCAGTGTTCCTGCTCAACCTTGTTATAGACATGATAAATGACAAAATAGTTTGTCTGACTTCACAGGGACTGACCTACTCGCTGGACGGCATCTGGAGCACGCAGAGAACATTATCCTGCGGATGCAGACAAAATATAAGGCTTTTTAAGCGCATTGGGCATAAATCCAAGTAAGCTTAGCATGCGCCTCACACCTGTGGAATGTAAGATGATGCTTCAGGACTAGTCTGTAAGAACTCTCGGTTTAATGATAGCGAGTGAAGTGGTGGAGAGCACGGACCACTTCACTTACTTCAATAGTTAAATCAACTCTGATGAGTTGGTTGCCAACGAAATCTCATTTTGGCCAGATAAAATGCGTTTGACATTTGCCAACGCGCATCATCTGTGGCGTTGGCTGGCAAGTTATCCGAATGTCTGTTAAAGGACGAGTGTTGCTCCTCAGTCTTTTGTGTACCGCTATGCAGCTGAGACGGCTGTTGAAAATAGACGACATCGAAAGACAACAGTCATTTTACAGTGTTCCTCCTCAGAAATTCACCATAATAATCTGACTGGGCATGTACACATATGTATACGAATATCAAAATTTCTATTTCTCCATGACATTTAAGTTTTCCTTTACCATTGAACAACTGCTGGGAGTAGTAGAAGCAGAGATCCTTAAGCGTCACTTGACTGTAGTCTCACGGCAAAAATGACCTTCGAAACAAGTTAGGCGCTCCAATTCCAGCTATAGGGATACGATTATGCGAAGCTTTCATGTCTAGTTCCTCGGAGTTTAACCTTGCTTCTCGAATCGGCAAAGGAATCTTATTTGGGTTCAAATAAACTTCGGTGACAGGAATCCTTGAGGATCCAATCCAATATCCAATATTGATAGTGCGAGCGTAGAAAACTAGTAGTTTTTGATCTCTCGCGTCTAGTTCTTAGGGCTTGGTTCCAGTTGTTCGGTTTACTCCTGCAGTGGACGAGGAAATCCCCTCTGCTTTCTTGCTTTTAGCTTCGGTGAGGTGGATGTTTTGTGGGTTAGTAGGTTGTAATTTGTAGAGTGATTAGGGAGCTACGGGTTGCTGGGAAGTTTAGAGAACTGCCATGACTCCTGTCTGTGTAGGTACCTGGAAGAGAATAGTAAGGTAGTGGTAAAGGAATGAAGAGAGAATAAAGAAGAGAGTGAAGTAGCACCATAGAGACTCTGGGAGCTGGGTTAAGGCCGTATCGCTAACCATCCTTGCCTTTAAACAGGAGTTTGCGTAGATAGCCACTCCCCCTCCTGCTCTATGTTCCCTGTCCCTGCGGAAGAGTTCCATGCCAGCAACACGCATCTCTTCGTCGGAGATGTCCGATGAGAGCCAGGATTCGGTGATGAATATGATGTCGGAGTGCTGATGTTCACGCAGCGTCCTCATTTTTGCTACCTTCCCTATTAGCCCCCTAACGTTGCTGTACATACATATTAGAGTGTACCTGATGAGGGGGAGGTCTGGATGTGTATTTTCGCAGGATGAGCGCTTACGTGGTTGGATTTAGCCTCGCCAGTCCTCATAGGACTGGCATTGTTCCGTTTTTTTGTGTTTTGTTCTTAACTTGGGTGGGGGCTGTAGCAGTGGTGGCTTCTTTACTTGATGTATCTAACTCACTGGTCAGCGCCTGTGTGACGACCACTGACTCCAGAGGTCTTGGTGGTTGCCGTCTCTCCTCTTGCCTTGTGGGTCTAGGCTTACTTTCACATATACGTATTGAGCCACCCATGCGATCTTTCGCATTATACCATGCGTGCAGAACGTCTGTGAGGGAGGCATATGAGTCGAACTGGACGGCAAGTAGTCTGGGATTGGGTATGGTCTTCAGGTGCGCTGGCCTTGGCAGTCTACTGACGCTGTTGGCCGGTATACTGTTGAGACCAACTTTGGTTGAGAGCCATTGCCATTGTTGGACGTCGTGAAAGTACCGATCTTTGACCGAGCTGTCACTTGGCAATTCTGGAATCCCATGTACAACTATAGTGTTGTTTCTGTTGGGATTTCCAACCGCTGACTTTCTCTCCTCCTCTCTTACTGACCATGGCTTGTCAGGCCTGGCCCGAATTTTACAGGCATTAACAACGTCCGGTTGTCGCGAGAGGAGGAGTGTGTCTTCAGCCTCTTTGGCGGTATTTAGGGACACACGTAAAGGGGGGGCTTATCTCGGGGTGCATGGCTTCCTCGAGAAAGGCGACACAAAGTTGCAGGGAGGGGAGGGAGTCCCAGCATCTGACAGTAGTCGGTCCACATTCGGCTGTCAAATTGTTCCCTCTCGACCAACAATGAGTCTGTCGATACATCGACGTTGAACAAAATGATCGAGTTGGTCCTCCTGTGACCTGGGTTCGTTGTGGGTGGCACGCCCGACTTACCAATGGGTTTGAGTAATTCCACTGGTTGTTTCTCAGTCACGGTGTGTGGGGTGTTCGGAATGGGTTTCGTAGAGGCTTCGGCGGTCGATGTCTTTGGCCATGCGCTTGACGTCCCCTGGGGCCGGGTGGGGGTATGGAGACTTGACCTAATATGGTCCCCACGCGAGATGGCGTGCCCACAGCTGGAGCTCTAGGTCTGTTTCCAGGTCTCTCTGTGTTATCCTTTGGTGTTAACCCTACCTTATTCGAGGATGCTGGTAGCTTTTGCGTGGCGGAGAGCATCTCCTTCAGGCTTTCTGTGCGGAGTGCGGGCATTTTCCTGCACTCTGGACAGATGTACCAGAACCACTTGCATGGTTGTCTCTTCATCAGCTTATAGTATTGTCGGGGGACTTTGGTATCGCAGTGGCAATGCACCCATCGTTGACACAGGTTGCATGCAAATGCCTCATCGACTACCGAAACAACTTTGGTGCAAACACTGCAGCCATCGGGTGTCGTAATACAGCCTTCCTTCCATGAATAAGGTGCTACGGATTGTGGCGAACTGCTTGTGGCTGCCTTGTTCTGAAGCCTTTTACGTCGTCTTCTATGTTCAGGCATGGTATGATCCTTGCTCAAGATAGGACTAGTTTGTGACGGGCTAGTGCTACTCTGTGTCACCTGTCTGATGGCTACTGGAATTCTAGAAACATGGGTTGGCCACTTCTTCAGAAGTTCGATGTTCTGCCCTACCTCTGTTTGTCTTCTAGTACAGACTAGTGTGTTGTTTAGGGTGTTACTGGCCGTTGTTGTGCACGACCGCGTTATCCGTGTCAAAGCTTCAGACCTAGCGTTTTGGGCAGACATGTCGCTATGATATAAACTTCTTGGGAAAACAAGTAGTTAACAACAATAAGAGGGTTGAAGATTTTTTTTTTTTTTTTTTTTTTTTTTTTTTTTTTTTTTTTTTTTTTTTTTTTTTTCTTCAGACACTTGTCACTTGATCCTCTGCTCTTGACCAACGAGTTTAACCGTAAGCTCCAGATGCGTATGTATAACCAGGGAAGATATTTCCTGGGGAATGACCTCCGAGGAGAACCGAGAGCTAAGGCAGTTTGGCAGCTGAAACGCCCAAGAACCACTGACAGGAGGTAGACCGGTTGGTTCAAAGGAATAATAATGCCAATTTTCAACTGTTGAGGAGTGAGCTGACGAATGCGCAGGGGTGAGGTGCGTGGACAGACAGAAGTGCTGCAAACGTTCTATGTTTTCAGATTGAGTATTGAAAGTGGGAGTTTTTCATTGTGGAAAAATCCAAAAGCTGAGAGACGAGCGAAACACGTCACTACTCAAGGAGCGCGCCGCATGACCAATACGGTCGCGTATGTTGAAGATCTACAGGCGAAAACTAACAAGTTGGCAGAAGAGGCGAGGCAGCGAAGGAAGACGGGACTTCAAGTGAATATAGAGAAGACAGAGGTGGTGAGGATACCGCACCACCACCATCAACAACAACAACAAACTCCAGTCACCATCAACGGAGAAACTTAAAGGAAGTAGCCTCCTTCACCTACCTAGGAAGCACTGTTTCAACTACAGGTGGCGGCATAGACAAGGATGTCAAAGTTAGAATCGGAAATGCAAGACAGGCGTTCATTAGCCTGAAACCAGTGTGGAAATCTTCTGCACCGAACTCAGCATGTGGAACAAGATGCGGATTTTCAACACCAACACCAGTCAGGTCAGTGCTTCTGTATGGTTCAGAGACTTGGCCCGTTACGAAAGGCATTCCCAACAAATTACAGACATTCATCAACAACTGCTTACGCTCGCCACTGAAGATCAGATGGCCAGAATAGTCAGGATAAGCAACAAGGAACTCTGGCCTGACAACGAACCAACCAAGAACCTATCGTTCAATAAATATGCACTGGAAGGAAGTGAAGATGGATTGGGCACACACTGAGAAGGCCAACTGGGGACATCATGCGTCAGGCCAGTCGCTCGAGTGGAACCTCGATGGAAAGCAATGAGTTGGGTGTCCGAGGTGAGGGTGACATGGAGGAGATTGTGAGAGGAGAAAATGAGAGCTCGTGGGCTGGCGTGGTGACAGGTTGAAAAGATTTCAGAGAACAGAGTGCATTGGAGACGTGCTACTGAAGCCCTATATTCCATTAGGAACCCAAGGGACTAATAATAATAATTTTGAGGTCAGTCATTCGTCTCATCTTTCTACAGTGTTCAACAACAGCACTAAACAGCATAGGAAACTGATAGCTTCTGATCTGTTGCATTTATTTCTTAAAGCTTGGTCCATTATTTTTGTTTTGCTCCTATAATGGACAAGGAAATCTTTTCTGCTTTCCTGTTTAGCTCCGGTAATATGAATGTTTTCAAGGGTTAGTATTTGTATTTGTAGAATGATTGGGAAGCTACAGATTGTTGAAAGGATAAGGGATCTTCCCTGTTTCTTGTCTGTACGGGTGCCTGAACGGAGACAGCAAGACGGTAGGTAAGCGTATATCTGAATTACACAGAAGGTAAGAGTAGACAGTATGGTTTTAGTTACTTGAGAAGAGCTATTAGATAACGCAGGTGTATTGTCAAGAGATGTCATAAGTGGCAAGCGGGGAGAAATTAGTGATGGGCTAGTGATGCTAATAAATTCCTGAGTAAATCTATGGTAAACCTTGCGAATGGTATAACTCTCTAACTGTCTTTTGAATCAGTCTACTAAGGGGACTGTAACTACACCCCATGGTAAGGCATTCCACAAAACACATACTCACGCTTGCTGGTGCTGCATGAAGTTCTGATGAATTGCGAAGAACATGGTGGAAGTGGATAAATATCTTGTTGGGAAACGTGGGTGTTACGTTGGAAGACGACTGGACAAACTACATACAAACTGACAAGTCACAGAATCTCGGTATATATGACGGAAATACAAAGAGAAGACTCTCAGTAGACAAAGGATAGATCAGAAAAATCTGTCCCCCCTAATATGGCAGAAGGGTAGCATCTGGTACAGCGGTATACACAAATGCTTTTCAAGCCATACATTCCATTATCTAGAGTGAGTGACTCCCACCTTGTTATCGCTCACTACAAAACTTCAATGATAGCCCAACTGAAGTGCACACAAACAATTTCGAAAGCATGTGCAGTCTCCTTGTGAGTTAAGTAGGAAGTGGACAAACGGTAGCAAAGACGCTGGCATGGTCTCTTGAATGAAAATCCAGATACTTTCTTTTCATGTGAAGCGCCTATATACCATATATGAAGTACTGTTGAACCCAGGGGCTTATGGCTAACGCTCTGAACGATTTGTTTC